CTCTCCCCTGCCCACTCTTCCCCTCAGGCACTGTCACCGGTCTCCACATACCCTCTCTTCGCGCTAATCTCCTCTCGCAAAGGTCCCTTCAACAAGCCGGTATCACCACAGTATTCCCAGCTTATGCTAACTATTGCGCTCTCTACCATTCCGCCACCGGTCAGTTCATTTCTCGCATTCCATTTTGCCCTCGCTCCCGTCTGTACACCCTTCGTGTTCCTCGCCTCCCCTCCTGTCAGGTCATCTCTCGTCCTCCCCTCCACCCTCTCATCCCACCCCCTCCTCTCCCTCCCACTAACCCGGACCTCCCTTCACGCCCCCCCCCTGACTCCTCTTGCTCCTGTCGCTCCCTCTCCCACCCTGCCGTCCTCCTCCATCACAGGCTAGGTCACCCTAACTTCGCTACTCTACGCTCCTCTGTTTCCTCCGGTCTCCTCCATGGTCTCCCCTCCTCCCTCCCTCCTCTCCCCAAATCCCCTGCCCCCCCCTGCACCGTCTGCGTTCAGAGCAAGCTCAAGCAGCAGCCGCACCGGAGCTCCCCCTCCGCTGCTGCTCAGCCACTTGATCTTGTTCACATGGACCTCTGGGGCCCCAATCCCTCTCCCACTCGCCAGGGCCATCGATACCTCCTCGTACTCGTCGATGATCACAGTCGGTACTCGTCCGTCTCTCTCCTTCGGACGAAGGCAGATGCCCCGGCTGCGATCATCGCCTGGCTCGAGCGAGCAAACACCCATTTTGGGCGCCCTGTTCGCCGCCTTCACTCTGATGGTGGTGGTGAGTTCCTTAACAACCAAATATCCTCCTATTGCCAGTCTCATGGCATTCTTCAGACTTACACCCTCCCTCACTCCCCACAGCAGAACGGTGTGGCTGAAAGTCGTGTTCGAGAGATCACCAAAACTGCCCGGTGTCTCCTTGTCCACGCCTCCTGCCCTCCTTCTCTGTGGGGCTACGCCCTCCTTCATGCCGCCCTGCTTACTAACCTTTACCCTCACCCTCTTCTCCCATCCACCACCCCCACTGAGCTGTGGACGAACAACAAGCCTGATGTCTCATCTCTTCGTGTCTGGGGCTCAAAGGCTTATGTCCTTCTTCACCCCGCTGACCGCTCCCGTTCTATGGGAAAGCTTGCCCCTCGTACCCTTCCCTGCATCTTTCTTGGTCATAACTCCTCCTCACCTGACTACCTTTTCCTCCATCCCCCCTCAGGTCGTCTATTCCGCAGTAGGGATGTGGTCTTTGATGAGTCCACTCCTTACTACTCCTCTCCCCCATCCACTGACCCACTCCCCCGTCTTCTCCGTCCCCTTGTCTGGTCTGACACCACCCCTCCCCCTCTACTTCCTCCTCCCCCCATCCTCCCTCCCCCTCCCCCACCGTCGTCCTCGTCCCACGGTGCCCCTCCCTTGTCTGGTGATATATTTGACCCGGAACCTCTGTCCTCTCCCGTCTCCCCCACACATTCCTCTCCTAGTGCCCCTCCCGCCCCTCCTTCACCTCCCTCGCTGCCGACTCGTCCTTCCCCCCCTCCCCGCACTGTACTAACCCGGTACCCCCATACCAGGTCACAAGACAGTATCCTTGGTGCACCGCCCCCTGTTACCCTCTCTACCTCTACCCTCCCCCCACTCTCCCCTCTCCTTCACCACTTCTTCCAGGCTGTTCTGCATCAACCTCCCCCTGCAGCAGCCCCCGCCGCCACCTCTCCAGCAGCGGCGCCAGCAGCAGCACCAGCAGCACGACCAGCAGCGGCACCAGCAGCAGGACCAGCAGCGGCACCAGCAGCAGGACCAGCAGCGGTACCAGCAGCAGGACCAGCGGCGGCACCAGCAGCGGCACCAGCAGCGGCACCAGCAGCGGCACCAGCAGCAGGACCAGCAGCGGCACCAGCAGCAGGACCAGCAGCGGCACCAGCAGCGGCACCAGCAGCGGCACCAGCAGCGGCACCAGCAGCGGCACCAGCAGCGGCACGTGCAGCAGCACCAGCGGCACCAACGGTCATCCGCTCCTTCCACACCTCCCTCTCTGAGGACTCCCATGAGGAGTTCCTTGACCTCCACCTCTGTGACCCTTCCCTTCTACCCATCACCTTCGACCTTTCTGGGACACCTGTCTTCGCATTCTCCTCTGCTCCCTCCGTTTTCATCCCTACCACGTATGAGGAGGCCATGGCTTGCCCCGACGCCCCACTCTGGCTCGCCGCCATTATCAAGGAGCTGGAGGCCTTTGTCGCCAACTCCTCCTTTGTTGATGTGCCTCGCCCTCCCTCCTCTACGAACGTGGTGAAGGGGAAGTGGGTGTTTCGCGTCAAACAACTGCCAGGGGAGCCGCCCGTCTACAAGGCTCGTTACTGCGCCAAGGGGTTCACGCAGCGGTATGGTTTTGACTTCTTCGATACCTTCTCCCCCACTGCCAAGCCCGCTACTGTTCGCGCCGTGCTCGACCTCGCCGCTCGCCTCAATATGGAGATCCACTCGATGGACGTCTCTAACGCCTTCCTCCAAGGCGTCCTCCGCGAGCTTATCTACATGGAGCGTCCTGCCGGTTTTCACCTTCCCTTCCCTGCGGACTCTGTCTGGCAGCTGCGTCGCCCTGTGTATGGGCTCCGACAGGCCCCGAGGGAGTGGCATGCTAAGCTTGCCGCCACCCTTGCTGAACTTGGATTCCGCACCTCCCGTTCTGACGCCAGCCTCTTCCTCCGCGCCTCCCCCTCCCCCTTCTACATCCTTGTCTATGTCGATGACATGATTCTACTCACTGCCGACCTCAGCGAGTTGGAGCGTGTTAAGGCTGAGTTGGGCAGCCGTCTCAAGTGCAAGGACTTGGGCGAATTGCAGCATTACCTGGGCATGACAATCACCCGCGATCGCTCCGCCCGCACCATCTCTCTCTCCCAGGGTCATTACTTGCAGCAGGTCTTGGAGCGGTTTGACATGGTCCGCGGCGGCGCCCAACCTACTCCTCTTTCTGTCGGGCACCACCTCTCTCCACCCACCTCCCCCTCAGCCTCCTCCCATCCTTATCCCGAGCTCATCGGCTCCCTCATGTACGCCATGGTCTCCACTCGCCCTGACCTTGCCTACCCCATCAGCGTCCTCGCTCGTTTTGTTGGCGCAGGCAAGCATACGGAAGAGCACTGGCAGGCCGCCAAGCGTGTCCTCCGGTACCTTCGTGGCACCAAGGACTATGTCCTTACCCTCGGCGGCCCCTCCCCACCTACCCTCAGCGGCTACAGTGACTCCTCCTGGGCTGATTCCCAGCCAGATCGTCGCTCCTCCCAGGGCTATGGCTTCTCTCTTGGCAGCGGCCTTATCAGCTGGCGCTCCACCCGCTCCTCGGCTGTCGCCCTCTCCTCCTGCGAGGCGGAGTTGTATGCCGCCACCATGGCTGCGCAAGAGGCCCGCTGGCTCACCTTCCTCCTTGAGGAACTTGGTGCCCCCCAGCGCTGTCCCACCATTTGGTGTGACAATGCCAGTACCATTCACCTCACCAAAGATGCCGTGTTTCACGGGCGTTCCAAGCACATTGAGCTCCGTCATTTCTTCATTCGCGATCTTGTTCAGGCGGGGCACCTTCGGCTCGACAAGGTTGACTCGGCGGCCAACCTTGCCGACATCTTCACAAAAGCTCTTCCTCATGTCGCTCACTCTTTCCTACTTCGTCTTCTTGGCCTCACTCCTCCTAAGTCGCCTCCCGCCTCTTGATTCTAGCCTTCTAGCCTTATGCATGTTGGGGGGTTGTGTTGTAATTTCATAATTTGTACAACATACATAGGCTAGAATTAGATCTGTAGTACACTTATAAATTGGGGGTTGTTTAGTGTACCCTCCAACCACATTTTGTGGTTGGTTGGGATTGGTCCCTAGCTCAACCAATCCCAACCAACACACATTTGTGGTTGCTTGGGTCACAAGCAAGCTCACCCATTGGCCAACTTATTGGCCAATAGGGTAAGCTTCCCTTTCATCTCTCTCTTGCTCATTGTTTGTACTAAAGGGCCTCTTGGCTCATTATTCAATGTATCTCTTCTAGCTTTTCAACACTTCTATCAGGTAGGGCGGCAGTTCATGGCCTTCTATCAGGTAGGGCGGCAGTTCATGGCCTTCTATCAGGTAGGGCGGCAGTTCATGGCCTTCTATCAGGTAGGGCGGCAGTTCATGGCCTTCTATCAGGTAGGGCGGCAGTTCATGGCCTTCTATCAGGTAGGGCGGCAGTTCATGGCCTTCTATCAGGTAGGGCGGCAGTTCATGGCCTTCTATCAGGTAGGGCGGCAGTTCATGGCCTTCTATCAGGTAGGGCGGCAGTTCATGGCCTTCTATCAGGTAGGGCGGCAGTTCATGGCCTTCTATCAGGTAGGGCGGCAGTTCATGGCCTTCTATCAGGTAGGGCGGCAGTTCATGGCCTTCTATCAGGTAGGGCGGCAGTTCATGGCCTTCTATCAGGTAGGGCGGCAGTTCATGGCCTTCTATCAGGTAGGGCGGCAGTTCATGGCCTTCTATCAGGTAGGGCGGCAGTTCATGGCCTTCTTTCAGGTAGGCGGCAGTTCATGGCCTTCTATCAGGTAGGGCGGCAGTTCATGGCCTTCTATCAGGTAGGGCGGCAGTTCATGGCCTTCTATCAGGTAGGGCGGCAGTTCATGGCCTTCTATCAGGTAGGGCGGCAGTTCATGGCCTTCTATCAGGTAGGCCGGCAGTTCATGGCCTTCTATCAGGTAGGGCGGCAGTTCATGGCCTTCTATCAGGTAGGGCGGCAGTTCATGGCCTTCTATCAGGTAGGGCGGCAGTTTATTGCTTCCATGCTCACCGGTCACTCTTTGTGACATGCTTCTTGTCTAACGATCTCTCCTTGTAATTTCTATTGTAGTCCAATGCTGCCTTTTGCGTGTAGTCCAATGCTGCCTTTGCCCATCACAGGCACCCACATGCGCCATCACATGCACCCATCACATGTGCGTATCGATCATCACATGTCCCCATGGCTGCACGGCTGTGCCGCAGAGGGAGATCGCAGCCTACACCGTGCGCAGCCTCGATGCGCCCTTCACTGCCTTCCGCCTCGACCATGACCTTGACCTCAACTTCCGCGTACGTTTCTGGGATGGGACGGTCCACATGAGTTCTGGGGTAAAGTTCTGGTGTCCGAGGCATATTAGATGGACGGTGTTACTCCTTTGTTTGGGATCCTTGCTGTTCCATGTGGAGTGTGCTGCATCTATCTTCTCATGCTGCCCCTCAGCATTCTTGTCTTGTTCTTGTTCTTTTCATTCTTGTTGCCCTCCACGCCTGTCTTGCTTCAAGCACAAGTGCCCTCTCCCACCGCCACTCCCCTCACTGTGCCCCCAGGAGGCGTGGGTAAAGAAGCTCTCGCCTTGGACACTCTTCCCCGCCTACCAGCCCATCCGCCTCACCCAACCAATCCTTGCGGCAGCCTCCCAAGCCTCGCTGCCAAGCCTGTCAAAGCAGGCGCTGGTTCTGATTGGCGAGGCTGACAGGATTGGGCAGCGCACGCAGTACCACGTGGACGGGTTCTTCCCCAACCACCGCCAGGTGTGCCGCCATGGCCGTGCCCTGCACCGCCAGTCGGACAGCTGAAGGGGGGGGGGGGGGGGAACACAGCGTGCGAGCATGGTGGGTGGTGGTATTGAGAGCGATGTGTTGCACGCAATGGTGGTATTGAGAGCGATGTGTTGCACGCAATGGTGGTATTGAGAGCGATGTGTTGCACGCAATGGTGGTATTGAGAGCGATGTGTTGCACGCAATGGTGGTATTGAGAGCGATGTGTTGCACGCAATGGTGGTATTGAGAGCGATGTGTTGCACGCAATGGTGGTATTGAGAGCGATGTGTTGCACGCAATGGTGGGGACAGGCAGGGTTACTCGTGGTACGATCACAGGGTAGAATGTGCCTGAAATAAGAGCTGGAATACATCCATGGATTTTGGCAGAGCGACTTCAAATGGTAACGAAAAGGTGGTGTTACTACCTTGGTACGTAATTCACCACCTCGGTGCGTATGTCATGTTTTTCTAGGAAAGTGCCCCTATCATAGCAATTTTGCAACGCATTATGTCAGGCAGTTTTTTTTCCATTTTTTCTATTTTTCTTTCTGGTTGGTCCCGAGTTGCTCGGAGTCGCCTCATCCGTGCAACTCGGAGCAACTCGGAGCAACTCGGCCATTTATCGCTGATTTGCATTGCTCCGAGTTGCTCCGGGTTGCTCCGAGTTGCTCCGATGAGGCGACTTGGGCTGGTCCCAAGGGGCTTGGGTTGGCCAAATGGGTGCTCAAGTCGCCCACAGTCAAGATGGGGACGTGAGGGACCCTCAAAGTGGGCCTGGAAGCGCCCTCATTCGTGGAACCGCGATTCCACGAATTGGAAACGCGAATTCCAAGCTGGAGTCGCCTTTCCAATGTTGAAATTTGTTGGTCCAGGCTGGAGCCGCGTCCCCGAGGTTGGGAACGTCACTCAGGGGGCACCTTATAGCTAATATAACACAACCCCTATTGTCTACAATATAATAATGTAGACAAATACATACAAACCATTAATGAACTAGTGAACAAAATCTCTAGCAAGTTAAAACGAAGACAAGTACCCAACAACACACCCCCTTAGGGTGACATTGAGGGAGAGTTCAAAGAAGAAGTAGCAGGGCGAAGGCCGATGCAGGACTAAAGACGCTGAATTAAAATTCTCTTTACAGAAAATCCGTGAGAACTCATAACGATTTTTTAGGCACCTTAAATATGTTTGACTTGAACCTGTTCATGTTCGATCCAAGAAACCCAATTTTATGGATTTGATAAGAATCAAACATGACAATTCTAAAACCAGTTTGACTCGAACCAAGCATGTTCGGTTTGACTTTTCCAGGTGTTTGGAACTGTTGACACGGAACATGTTCGAGTTGCAAAGATTTGAGCTTGCCTTTGGCTCAAGCCTCCCCACATACCCCACGCCCCGAACCCTGCATTCTCACCCCGCCGCCATGTTCTCATGTTTCTTATTCGATGCAACCTTGTCATGGTGCATGTGTGACATGGCTTGCTGTGCTCTTGACATGTGATGGGATGACATGGTGTTGCCGGTGTGTTGATGCCAGTACCGCATGGCAGGGCTAGCCATGCTCGACATCATGCAGCGAGTCGCATCCACGTGGCAAGCCATGGCCTCTGCCACGTCATCACAGAATAGCAGCGCGTCTTATGATCCCACGTCATCACATGAAGCTACGTGCTCGCCTGCCACAGCGCTGGACAGCGAGGCTGCTCCACCTCCAGCCTCGCCTCATTCCCCCTCCCCCTCCGTGCCTCTCCCCTCACACACTGCTGCCACCGCTGCCACCGCTGCCGCCGCTGCCACTGCTGCCACCGCTGCCGACGCTGCTGTGGCTGGAAGGAGCGAGAAGTGTAGCAACAGCAATCGAGGGAAGGGTGACGCCGGAAGGCGGCGGAGGGGCAGAGGCGGCAACGACAAGGGCAAAGGCAAGGGGCAAGGAGGCGAGGTGATTGGTGGTTGGAGGGAGGTGTTTGACAGCATCGTGCGGTGGAGGCAGATTGCTGAGCCCACCCACACCGTTGCGTGGATCGATGCTCTCAAGTGAGTCGCGTGGATCGATGCTCTCAAGTGAGTCGCGTGGATCGATGCTCTCAAGTGAGTCGCGTGGATCGATGCTCTCAAGTGAGTCGCGTGGATCGATGCTCTCAAGTGAGTCGCGTGGATCGATGCTCTCAAGTGAGTTGCGTGGATCGATGCTCTCAAGTGAGTCGCGTGGATCGATGCTCTCAAGTGAGTCGCGTGGATCGATGCTCTCAAGTGAGTCGCGTGGATCGATGCTCTCAAGTGAGTCGCGTGGATCGATGCTTTCAGGTGAGTCGCGAGGATCGATGCTCTCAAGTGAGTCGCGTGGATCGATGCTCTCAAGTGAGTCGCGTGGATCGATGCTCTCAAGTGAGTCGCGTGGATCGATGCTCTCAAGTGAGTCGCGTGGATCGATGCTCTCAAGTGAGTCGCGTGGATCGATGCTCTCAAGTGAGTCGCGTGGATCGATGCTCTCAATTGAATCGCGTGGATCGATGCTCTCAAGTGAGTCGCATGGATCGATGCTCTCAAGTGAGTCGCGTGGGTTGACATCCCTTACATGTGATTCGTGCTCTCAAATCAGTTGTTTGTGACGCACTGCTGCTCCCATGCCACGTGCATCAATTCACCTGCCATGCATCAATTCACCTGCCATGCATCAATTCACCTGCCATGCATCAATTCACCTGCCATGCATCAATTCACCTGCCATGCATCTGCACGGTGTTGCGTGTGGGGTGGCAGGAACGAGTTTGAGGGCGGGTTTGGGTCCATCACAGCCATGGCGGTGGGCCCGTCGCGCAACCTCAAGTACCACCCGCTCGCCCCCCGCGCCCTCGCCCTGCTGCGCTCCCGCCTCCTGCAAACCCGCCTTGCCGCCAATGCTGCTGGCTCGCCCCTCCCTTTGCCAACCACCCGCCTGCCCGAGGTCAGTCCTGCCCGAGGTCAGTCCTGCCCGAAGTGAGTCCTGCCCGAGGTGAGTCCTGCCCGAAGTGAGTCCTGCGCGAAGTGGCATGCCCAGCGCCATGACAGCATGCCCAGCGCCATGACATCATGCCCAGCGCCATGACAGCATGCCCACGCGCCATGGCAGCATGCCGACACGCTACGGCAACAGCGAGAGAAATTAAGGCTTAAAATACACCAATTTTTAGTCCAATATTTTCTTCTGTCAACACTTTCATGACAATCAAGACACGCAGTGAGAGGGGCACACATGCAAAGGTCTTCAACTGCACACTCACCTGCAGGACTCACCTCGGGCAGGACTCACCTCGGGCATGACTCACCTCGGGCATGACTCACCTGTCATGGCGCTGGGCATGCTGTCATGGCGCTGGGCATGCTGGCATGGCGCGTGGGCATGCTGTCATGGCGCTGGGCATGCTGGCATGGCGCTGGGCATGCTGGCATGGCGCTGGGCATGCTGGCATGGCGCTGGGCATGCTTCCCGGAACATGTTCACCACCAGTCCACTCATCCCCCGCGGTCATCACCCGTCCGCCGCACTGCGATGTGTGTGGCATGGGGTGCGTGCATGCAGGTCGAGAGGGCGCAGTCAGTGGGCGAGGTGCACGCGGTGGTGGGGGAGAACTTCTTTGTCACCACCGAGTGCCACAGCCTCACCTTCCCGGGGTCAGCGCCCTGCTGCCCGCCCGCTCGCCTGCTTTCTGTCTCGCCTGCTTTCTGTCTCGCCTGCTTTCTGTCTTGCGTGCTCGCCTGCTCCGTTTGTCCTAGGCTGCATTTTGTGCCCGGCAGCAACTCGCTTCCTTTGTCACAGGCTCACTGCAAAGCCTTGCAGGCTGAGGCGGGTGAGGGGGGTGAGGCGGGTGAGGGGGGTGAGGGGGGTGAGGGGGGTGAGGGGGGTGAGGGGAGTGAAGCGGGTGATGGGTGGGAAGGTTCCTACCTTGACTTCTCGCGTTGCAGCACACACTGCCACAGGCGCAACTTTACAAATCTTGCAGCGTGCTACATGCATGGCTTGCCAACCTATAGATGCCAACTCTCTTTGCCCATGCCATCATTTATCCCTATCCCACCAGTCTCTGTCCCCTGCCACACCCCCTCCCCTGTGCCCTCCATGCGCGCATGGCATGTGGTGGCGACAGCCAAGTGCTCAACGGCACGCAGCTCACCGTCGTCCACTCGTGAGTGCTGCTCCACATCCTCCCCCCCCCCTTCTCCTCTCCTCTCCTCTCCTCTCCTGTCCTCGTGTTCCTCCCCACTCCCGCCCACTCCACTCCCCCCCACTCCACTCACCCGTCACTCTACCCACCTCCCCTCTGTGTGCCACACTCGTTCAACTGCGTCTGCAATGCCCCATTATAGTGCCGCCCTCCCCCACCCATTCCCCTACGGTCTGCCCCGCTGCGCCCCTGGTTGTGCGTGCATGGCAGGGGGGCGGGGTTTGACTTTGCCATCCGCACGCCCGTCACGCCGCCGCGCTGGAAGCAGTTTGACGCCGAGCTCACTGCCGCGTGGCGGGTGAGCGCAGGGGGGTGAGAGGGGGGGGGTGGGAGCAGGGGGGTGGGAGCAGGGGGGTGGGAGCGGGGGGGTGGGAGCAGGGGGGTGGGAGCGGGGGGGTGGGAGCAGGGGGGTGGGAGCGGGGGGGTGGGAGCAGGGGGGTGGGAGCGGGGGGGTGGGACCAGGGGGGTGGGAGCAGGGGGGTGGGAGCAGGGGGGTGGGAGCAGGGGGGTGGGAGCAGGGGGTTGGGAGCAGGGGGGTGGGAGCAGGGGGGTGGGAGCAGGGGGGTGGGCGAGAGGAGGGGGGTGGGCGAGTGAAGGGGGGTGAGCGAGTGAAGGGGGGGTGAGCGAGTGAAGGGGGGTGGGGAAGTGGAGGCGGGTGGGCGAGTGGAGGGTTCGCTGATGCTGCTGCCATGTGGCGGGTGAGTGCTGGCCAGCGGTGGTGAACAGAGGAGATGGCGCGGAGGCAGTGGTGGTGACGGGCGAGTGGGGGCGAGGACAGCCTCTACTCTACGCACTGATGCTGCTCCGCACCCTCAATGTCACTCGGCACACTTCCCCTTCCCACGCGCCTCTGCCTTCCCACGCGCCTCTGCCTTCTCGTCGGGTTTGACAGGATCTGTGTGCCGCTGTTTTGGACCGTGCCCTGGAGACAGCTGATGCCACCCGCTATCGCCAGCGCATTCAGGAGAACATACTACGGATTGGATACTACTGGTAAATGTCGTGCTGTGGCATGCTCTCACGGGATGAGCGGCACGGGGCCATGGAGTTGAGGCGTGTGTGGGGAAATGAGGCGGAATGGGAGGTGGACAGTTGAGAATATATGCTGAGCTCTACATGCGCCTGCTACGTTTCAACTCTGCCACACTCGCCTGTTTTACGTGCCTTCATGTCTCCTCTCCCCTACATCTCCTGCCCTACCTGTCTTGCCTCACTCCCCTGTCTCCCCCCTCGTCTGTACACCGTGGGCCGTGTGGGTGGGCAGGTACCAGTTGATGCCGTTGACGAGGGGCAGTGCCATGGTGGGGCTCATCGCCGTGATCGGCCTCTCCATGGCCGCCGCCATGCTCCCCACCGCCCCCATTCCGCATGGCATGCAGGTCCCTGCTCCTCTCCTTTACTCTGCCACCTCGCTTCTCATGTCGGTCATTTAGCTCTGCTGCTTCTGCTCCGCCCTTCACTGCACAGCTGCTACGGCTGCTAGAGGCAGCTCATCCCTCGTGGCACTGTGCTCGTCTTGACTGTGCTCGCCCGCCCGTGCGCGTGCCATGAGCAGGTGGACTGGGAGGCCATCCTCCAGCCGCACTTTGCCGCCTTCAACGCCTCCGTGGCGCCGTGGCTCTACGCGCCTGCCACCGTGCTCGCTGCGCCCTCCCACCTGCCGCTCGTGGCCCACGTGCTACCCACCACACGCCACGTCATTGCTGCTCTTAACCGTCAAGGCTAACCTACCACGCCAGCCACCATAGTGCCATATGAACGAGCAATCAGCATGGTTGTGCCATGTGAACGAGCAATCAGCATGGTTGTGCCATGTGAACGAGCAATCAGCATGGTTGTGCCATGTGAACGAGCAATCAGCATGGTTGTGCCATGTGAACGAGCAATCAGCATGGTTGTGCCATGTGAACGAGCAATCAGCATGGTTGTGCCATGTGAACGAGCAATCAGCATGGTTGTGCCATGTGAACGAGCAATCAGCATGGTTGTGACATGTGAACGAGCAATCAGCATGGTTGTGCCATGTGAACGAGCAATCAGCATGGTTGTGCCATGTGAACGAGCAATCAGCATGGTTGTGCCATGTGAACGAGCAATCAGCATGGTTGTGCCATGTGCACGAGCAATCAGCATGGTTGTGCCATGTGAACGAGCAATCAGCATGGTTGTGCCATGTGAACGAGCAATCAGCATGGTTGTGCCATGTGAACGAGCAATCAGCATGGTTGTGACATGTGAACGAGCAATCAGCATGGTTGTGCCATGTGAACGAGCAATCAGCATGGTTGTGCCATGTGCACGAGCAATCAGCATGGTTGTGCCATGTGAACGAGCAATCAGCATGGTTGTGCCATGTGAACGAGCAATCAGCATGGTTGTGCCATGTGAACGAGCAATCAGCATGGTTGTGCCATGTGAACGAGCAATCAGCATGGTTGTGACATGTGAACGAGCAATCAGCATGGTTGTGCCATGTGAACGAGCAATCAGCATGGTTGTGCCATGTGAACGAGCAATCAGCATGGTTGTGCCATGTGAACGAGCAATCAGCATGGTTGTGACATGTGAACGAGCAATCAGCATGGTTGTGCCATGTGAATGAGCAATCAGCATGGTTGTGCCATGTGCACGAGCAATCAGCATGGTTGTGCCATGTGAACGAGCAATCAGCATGGTTGTGCCATGTGAACGAGCAATCAGCATGGTTGTGCCATGTGAACGAGCAATCAGCATGGTTGTGCCATGTGAACGAGCAATCAGCATGGTTGTGACATGTGAACGAGCAATCAGCATGGTTGTGCCATGTGCACGAGCAATCAGCATGGTTGTGCCATGTGAACGAGTAATACGGGCTGTAATTCGGGCTGTACTCGCTATAGAGTACCCCACTGCAGGCTAGACAAACATCACATTTTGACACACCCCCATAGTCAAAGTGGGGTATAATTAGCACAGCAAGCAATCGTAGCAATAGTTCACAATAAACAAGCAAGCTAGAGGCTATCACAGAGGGCAAGTGAGGAGGAGGAGAAACTGTGGGGGCGAGAAGATGGGAGGCGACGGTTGAAGCTGCAGACACACGGGCAACAGGAGTGCGCAGCACTGTCGCTACCAGGCTAAACCCGGACTACACGGTGACAGGCGCAGCTGGCTCGCTATGCTTTCAGGAGTGCGCAGCACTGTCGCTACCAGGCTAAACCCGGACTACACGGCGACAGGCGCAGCTGGCTCTCTGGACTACAGGCGCTGCGGACGACAAGACGGCTACCTCCACTCAACTTCCCCCAGCTGTCCCACACCCCTTCACACACCTCCTGCTGTACCTCTAGTACTGCTCACACACGTCTGGCCTGTACACACTGCATGTTGAGTCTGCACATTTCGCGGGGTCCGATCGGGTAGCTGTGTCGTGCTCGTGTCGGTCGCTCACGCACCCGTCCCTCCTCTGGCACCACCGTCTTGGTCACCCCTCCCTGCAGAGTCTACGTCGCATGCATTCGCGTCTCCTTGTCTCGGGCCTTCCGAGGTCCCTGCCCCCGCTCCCTCCGTCGCTTGCGCCGCTGTACACTCCCTGCGTCGAGGGGCGGCAGCGCGCCGCTCCTCACTCCTCATTCCCTCTGACGGAGGCTTCTCTGCAGACACATTGACGGAGGCTTTACATGGACGTGTGGGGCCCTGCCCCCGTCCTTCGGCCGGGCCCGGAACGCTACTTCCTGCTGGTCGTCGACGACTATACGCGCTACGCCACGATGTTTCCCTTGCGGAGCAAGGGCGACGTCTGTCTTGTTTTGATCCCTTGGATCCGCGCTGTTCGTCGCCAGCTTCGCACGCGGTTCCGTCAGGACCTCCCGGTGCTCCATTTGCACTCTGACCGTGGAGGTGAGTTTTCCTCCGGTCTCCTTGAGGGCTTTTGTCGTGAGGAGGGCATCACCCAGTCGTTCACGCTTCTGGCTTCTCTGCATGAGAATGGGATTGCTGAGCGCCGCATTGGCTTGATCATAAAGGTTGCCTCGCACCTCCATGATCCATGCGGCTACTCCCCATTTTCTGTGGCCGTTTGCGGTCCGATACGTTGCGCATCAGCTCAACCTCTGGCCCCGTGTCTCCGTGCCAAAGACCTCGCCTACACTGCGTTGGACGGGGGAGATTGGCAATGCGTCGGCGTTTCAGGTCTGGAGCTCGATGGCCCTTGTCCGCGATACTATTGCGGACAAGCTCTCTTCTCCCACCGTTCGCTGCGTCTTCCTTGGTTTTCCTACTGACGCGCCTGGCTGGCAGTTTTACCACCCAGCCACTCGTCGTGTCCTGTCTTCCTAGGACGTCACATTTGACAAGTCGGTTTGCTACTTGCCTCATGTACCTGATGACTTGTACTCGACTTGACCTCACGTACCTTGTTAGCATCCTGGCTCGTTTCGTTGCTCCCGGTAGACACAAGAAGGAGCACTGAACAGCTGCGCAGAGGGTACTGCGTTACTTGTGCAGTACATCAGGCATGGGGCTTGTGCTTGGAGGACGGGGTCAAGTTGTGCTCACTGCGCACTTAGACGCTTCTTGGGCGGACGACCAGGCGACTCAGCGGTCGTCACAGGGTTACACTTTCAGTCTCGGTACTGGTTCTGTCTCCTGGAGGTCCACCCGCTCGTATTCTGTTCTCAGCTCCAGTTGTGAGGCTGAGATCTACGCGGGAGCCATGGCTGTACAGGAGTTACGCTGGCTGACTTACCTGCTGACCGACTTGGGTGAGCGGCCTCGTTCTCTTCCGGTCATGTATGTCGACAACAAGGCCATGATTGCCTTGTGTCGGGAGCAAAGACTGGAGCACAGAACGAAGCACATATATCTGCGTTACTTTTTCGCTCGAGAGCTGCAGCAGCGTGGTCAGCTACGCCTTGCTTACGTGGCCTCACAGGCCAACACAGCTGATATCTTCACCAAGTCCCTAGGGTTTGGTGATCATCATAACTTTTGCCAGAAAATTGCAAGTTTTTATCCAAACAACAATCGTCTTGCGTTTAAATCCGCAAAATATGATTCCTCAGGTTTATAATGAGAGGATCATGTACAGTATATCCTTTTTTTGGTCCCTCCCAAACGTGCAGACAAGTTTGAACTTCCCCGGATAGTTTCCAACACGATATACGGAAATTTTGCGGAATTCATCAGTGTTGTGGTCTATCCAACTCTGGCATCAACCTGGTGAAATGAGGCCACTTTGAAATACCAGCCCTATGTACCGTATTCTCCTGGATAAAACACCCGGGGGTATTATGATAACCACGGGGAAAAAATGGGGGGGGGGTCTCCTCAACGGAAATCCTATATAATACCCGGGTCTATTCATATGACATTTTTTAATATAAGAATTTCGAAAAAAGGACAGCTTTGGTGTTTTCGAAGTTGGTTAACCAGCACACTCAGAGGCGGGAACGCGATTTTCGGCAAGCGATATCTTGACCACCTCTCTGGCCAAAGATTCGCCAGCGTGGCGACCGCGAAATTGTGGGAGGGGGGGAATCTCGGCAGATATCATTTGAAAATTCCCTGAAATTTTGTAGAGGGAGGGATTTTCGCGTCCTCCATACTTGCACGCACTCGTTATCAGCTATTATAATAAGAAATCTATATGAAACGGGGGGTGTTATGGAAAATCACCCCAAAAGGGGGGGTATAGTACTAACGGGGTCAAATATAACACCCACCCCGCACAAGCTACCCGGGTGGGTACAATTCGGGGTGGGTGTTTTATCCGGGAGAATACGGTAAAAGAATGTTTTTGCAAAAAGGGGGTCTAAACATACCCCGCCTTACAGTAAAGTATCATAGGGTGATTCACCCTCCTAACAGAGGCCAAGCCATCACAGGCCCCGGTGGCGTCAGAAGAAGCTGTCTGGCACCTCATGCACGGGCAGGCCGCGGTCGTTGCGGGTCATGATGCGGCGAGCCAGCCCCACCTGCCCGCCCTGCACGAACACATACACCGTACCCGTGCCGCCCGCTCCCCTGGCCGTGCGGCCCACGCGGCGGACATACTCGCTGGGGTCGCGCGGGAAGTCAAAGAGCACCACTCGGTCCACATCGATGCTGTCTATGCCGCGCGACGCCCTGCCATGCACCGTCAAAGGGGAAGAGGAGTGGGGGGGGGAGAAAGGGGGCAATACCGCTCGGAGGACAGGGAGAAGATGAGGGCACAGGGGTACGCAGGCCGCACCAGGAATGGCACTTTAAAGAGCCGACAGTGAACGGCAGAGAAGAGGTAGAGAGAGGCAGGGAGAGATAGGGATGGGCAGAGAGAGATAGAGGGATGTAGGGCGAGCAGGTGGGTCCAGGGGGGGGTACCTGTCAGTGCAGACGAGGATGAGCGGCAGGGGCGGGTTGGGTGTGAGCAGGTGGTCCAAGGCCTGGCGGCGTGCGTCGGGGGCGATGCCCGCGTGGCACACGAGCACCCTGTAGCGGCGCTGCTGGCGGTCCGCCCTCACCAACATGTTCTCCACGCGGCGACACGTCTCTATCTGATGGCCACGCCCCAGCACACTCACAACCATGCACCCACGTGATCACACATGCAAGCACACAACACACCAACAGACATAAACTCACACGAGCAGTGGACACACACGCACAAACACACGTGCGCGCGCCGCACACGCACGCACGCACGAACGAGGAGGGCAAGGAATGGTAATCAATCAGGCTGAAGAAAGTGCGACGAGGAGTGCATCAGTGCACGATGGATGTTAGCCACAGGTGCCAAGGCAATGAGCACAGTGCAAGAACGAGCAGAGCAGCACACCTTGTTGCAGAAGACAATCGTCTTCTTTGACCCAACGCTGCTCTCCTCGCCTTCTCTCACTGCACCCACACTCCCGTCCTCCCCCTCCCCCTCGGCGTCCCCCCTGCGCCTGCCCCTGCCCGCCCCCACGATCTGCAGCAGCGCCGCCCGCTTGCGTGCAAAGCCGCCCTCCTCCGACCGCTGCTCGCCCGCCGGCTGCGAGCAGTCCACCAGCACCTGGGGGGGGGGGGGGGGGGGGTGGGGGGGCGAAGGCGAGGGGGGGGTGGGTGGGGGGGGGAAGGCGAAGGGGGGGGTGGGGCGGGTGCTTCGAGCAACCCACTTGCAGCGGAATGCGGTGATGGGTATGGAGGTGCTGTGACTGGCGAGTGGCATGAAACGCACCTCGTGCAGGCCGGAGGAGGTGAGGTGCAGCGAGGGGCCGATGAGGGAGACGGCGGTGGGGTAGTCTTGCAGCAGCTGCTGGTGCACGTCCGCTTGCAGCGTGGCGGTGACATGCACCACCTGGCAGGCGCGCGGGCACCCCATGCGGATGGGCTTGAGGGCGGTGCTGAAGTCATCGTCGTCAAACATGATGTCCGCCTCGCACCACCACACTGCACCGCACACCATCACAGGGGGGTGCCTTGTGGGAGGGTTGCTGACAAGTGAGGTGTGCAAGTGGCATTGGAAGCATGACAATACTAACTGTGGCCTCTCCTCCCTGGTGACGCCTTGTAGCATGCTCTCACCAAGTGACATGGTCCAGCAGCATGCTCTCACCACGTGACATGGTCCAGCAGCATGCTCTCACCACGTGACATCGTCCAGCAGCATGCTCTCACCACGTGACATGGTCCAGCAGCATGCTCTCACCACGTGACATCGTCCAGCAGCATGCTCTCACCACGTGACATGGTCCAGTAGCATGCTCTCACCACGTGACATGGTCCAGCAGCATGCTCTCACCACGTGACATGGTCCAGCAGCATGCTCTCACCACGTGACATGGTCCAGCAGCATGCTCTCACCAAGTGACATGGTCCAGCAGCATGCTCTCACCACGTGACATCGTCCAGCAGCATGCTCTCACCACGTGACATCGTCCAGCAGCATGCTCTCACCACGTGACATCATCCAGCAGCATGCTCTCACCACGTGACATCGTCCAGCAGCATGCTCTCACCACGTGACATCATCCAGCAGCATGCTCTCACCACGTGACATCGTCCAGCAGCATGGAACCGGCATCGAGGTGTTGCAGCACGCGGCCAGGCGTGCCCACCACCACGTCCACGCCGCCCGCCAGCGCCTCCACCTGCGTGCGCCAGCGGTGCCTGCCCGTCACCGCCACCGACCGCACCCTCATGCCACCCGCTGACAGCTGCCGCGCCACCCGCACCACCTGGAAGGGAGAGCCAAGGGAAGGGGGGAAGATGGGGGTGGGTGATGAGGGTCTTTGAAGGCTATGAAGCGACACGTGCTTGCCATGTTAATGTCCTCGTGAATTTGCATATCGTTCTGCTTGTGTGTTTATGCATTCAAATGTAGGTACTCTACCTAACATCTCGTTTTTTTCTCCAGGTTTGACTGCACGGTCATGCAAAATAGATCAAGAAAAATCCAGCTACACAAGGTCTCCTTATTCCGAACAATACTGCACCCAGATTATTTTGATATACAAAATATCCGAACATTGGAAGCAAGTTATTTCAGTTGGGTGGATGGGAAGGGACTTTCAAACTTCAATCAAAATGACTACAACCAAGTGTTGGTAGACATTGCAGCCTAAGTTGGCATATGCGTTTTGAGGCTTTAGCGTATACACGCTATTCGCTATACGCTAAAAATATATGTTGTGAGGCTTTATTGTATACACGCTATACGCTATACGCTGCAAATATGCCACACGCAACCAGAAAAGTTTTGAGGCTACCTGGGAAAAAAAAAATCGAGAAATAGAAGCGGATTTTGCAGGTGAGCATTTCGCCAAAGTCGAAATGCACACTCGTGGTCTAGGCAAGGGGGGTATATAGTTGGATTCGGAACTATATATTGAAACCCATCCCATCTACCGCATTAAACCCCATGTCACCTATGAACTTGTCAAAATTGAAACCCCAACAGACCTCACGCTTCTTACCAGCCAGCCCAACTGCTCGTCGTTTCCTATCAATTTCCGCTTCCAGCATAATTACCGTCCACTCCAACTTCTCTCTCAAGCAAAAAAGTCGACTCCACCTCCCACCCCACCCACCTTTCAGAATCATGAAAATGCTAGAGGACGCCTGTGAGAATAGGGAGTACATTTTTTCACCCTGCCCGAGTAAAAATATGCGTGGAAAAGTGTATCCCAAATCTGAGACCTACCCAGTTAGCGCAGACACGCTAGCGTATACACACTATGTGTGACGAAGATACAACACCGTATGCACTTAACACGCATATGCAAACATAGATTGCGACAGCAGCTTGGCAAATCCAGTATCAGTGGATTTCACATCCAACACCACGAGCATCCTGGTTCGCCAGCTCAGTGGTGGGCACACCTGGTTCGCCAGCTCAGCACACCTGGTTCGCCAGCTCAGTGGTGGGCACACCTGGTTCGCCAGCTCAGTGGTGGGCACCAACACAATCGCCGCCGGTCGCTTCGGCGCTGCTCCCATGCGCGCACCGCCCGCACGCCTTTCGCCTTCCCCCTCTCCACTGGCACTGACCCCCTCACTCCCCCCCGCGCGTTGCAGCTCGCGGGCCTTGAGGCGCTGCAGCAGCGGCAGCAGGTAGGCGAGCGTCTTGCCGGACCCCGTCTGGTCCGCCACGATGCAGTCCGCCCCGCGCTCCACGTACGGGAACGCCGCTGCCTGCCCCCATGCACCGGTGCCAGGGGGAAGGGAGAAGGAAGGACGGTTGAGGTTGCAGGGAAAGGCAGCAGCAGATGGGAGTGATGCAGGCAACGGATGAAGGAGGCCGGTGGGGAAATGCTGAGGAAGGGAAAAGAAGGAAGGTGGTGAAGCGGTGGGTGCTGAAGAACATGCAGGGCAAGGCAGTGCAGTGTCACCGGGTTGGACTCCACACACGGAGCAATGAATCTAAGCTCTCTATTCAAACAGGCTTCTCCGCCATTCCACCGCACACCAACCCGTTCCACCGCACACGACCCATTCCACCGCACACAACCCATTCCACCGCACACAACCCGTTCCACCGCACACGACCCATTCCACCGCACACAACCCATTCCACCGCACACAACCCGTTCCACCGCACACAACCCGTTCCACCGCACACAACCCGTTCCACCGCACACAACCCATTCCACGGCGCCCACCTGGATGTGTGAGGGGCGGGTGATGCCAAGCGTCTGAAGGGCAGAGAGGGCGGCGGGGGAGGCACCGAGTTGGGCGAATGAGGTGCGGCTGAAGAACTGGTCGGCCAGCGCGGGGTCGTAGTTGTCGCGCTGCCAGGGCGCCGCCACCGCTGCCCTGCCCGCGCCAGACGCATCTGATGCCGCGCCTGCTGCTGCTGCTGCTGCTGCTGCTGCTGCTGCTGCTGCTGCTGCTGCTGCTGCTGCTGCTGCTGCTGCTGCTGCATCCCGCCCACCACTCTCCTTGTTCGCATCCTTCCCCTTCTCCCCCTGCTCTGCCTTGCCCCCACCACGCCCCTGGTCGCCGTGCCTGTCCCGGGGCACCACCTGTCGGCGCAAGGCATCCAGCACGCTGGGACCCTCGCCCGCCCCACCTGCTGCTCCACCCTCCTGCCGCCGCCTGCCCGCCCTGCCCTGCGCGTCCGCCCCCCATGCACCATCACCATCATCATCAGCATCGTCCAGCTCAATGATGCCTTCAAACGGCGCCTCCATGCCGTACCGCGCCCACTCCGACCCACTCGCCCACTCCCCTCGCTCCTCCTCTTCCTCCTCCTGCGTTTTCCTCCCCCTCCTCCCTGCCTCACGCACCTCCTCCGCGCCCTGCCACCCCGCCTCACTCCCTCCCCGTGTGCCCTCACCCCACTGCTGCTGCGCGCTGCCAGCACTGCCAGCACTGCCAGCACTGCCAGCACTGCCAGCACTGCCAGCACTGCCAGCACTGCCGGCGCGCACACCCAGCCTCTGCCTGCTGTCACCACCAGCGCTCAAGGCCGCCACGTCAGCACGCACTGCTGCCACGCCACTCCATGCAGACAGGTTGGCATCCTCGTCACCGTCCCTCGCCTTGCCTGCCTGGCTGCGCCCAAAGTCCCGCCCAAACAGCCGCACGCCCCTCACCCGCCTACCGCCCGCCCCCTCCTCGCCCCTCCTCCCTGTCCTCATGCCCTCTCGCCCTTCCGCCTCGTCCTCTCCCCCCCACCCTCCCCCCTGCCCAGGTATTTCCACCTCCACCTCTTCCCCCTCGCTGTCCGACTCGTCCCCGCGCTCTGCCTCCCTCCCCTCCCGTCCCCTCCCCTCATCTCCCTCCATCACTCCTGCCCTCCCAAAAGCCCCCCCTTCCTCCTCCCCCCCTCCCCCCTCTTTCCCCTCGTCGTCCCCCGCGTCGTCCCCCTCGTTGTCCCCCACGAGTCGGTCGCCGTCCATCACGGACCACCACCGCGCGTCGCTCACCACGCCCGACCGCACGCGGCGCGCGCGCGCCCACACGAGGTCGCGCGGGGAGAGCGCGGGGGGGCGGCCCTCGACGCCCACGACGAGCACGCCGTCCCCGTCGGGGTCGGGCAGCACGAACGACCCCGCCGGCAGCTCCTCCTCCTCCTCCGCGCCCTCCTCGCTCCCCCACCGCCCCTCTCCTCGCCTCCCCCACGCCCCCCTTCCGCCCGCCTGCCCACCCCGTCCCCCGCCTCGCTCGCCTGCGCCTCTTCCCCCTCGGCCCACGACGCGGACGATCCCGCCCTGCCTCTCCCCCCTCGGCTCCGCGCGTCCCATGATCTGCCACCGCGCCCGCCGCCCCGCCCCCTTTCCGCGCGACCGCCTTCCGTGCTCCATGCGTCCCTGCCATCCCTCCTCTCCAGCCCTCGGTCGCGTGCGCTCTCCGCTCCCCCGCCCCATTGCCTTCCCCACTCCCCTTCCTCACCGCGCGATCCCTCCCGCCGCCCTGCGCCCTCCCTGTCCCTTAAACCTCCGCTGTCCCCTTCGCCGCCCCCCCATCCTCCGCTACCGCCTCGCCGTCCCCCTCGCTCCCATCCGCCACCTGACCGTCCCTCGTCTCTCCGTCCCCTGTCGGACCACCCTTCGCCGTTTCCGCCTGCCTCTCTGCGCCCCTCCGCACTCTGCCTCCACTGCTCAACGCCCGGTCCCGCACTGCTCCTGCTTTCGCCCCGCGCTAAAATCCCTCCCCGTATTCCGCTGCGCAATTTGTCCGACTGCGCTCGGGCAGCCGCGGAGCGAAACCCGCTAGCAGCGCCTGCTGACTCTCCCCGTGCCCATTCCGCCCTCGACGCACTCAACGCTTCGCTTACCCCAGATCCCAACCGTGAGGATGGGTTGAGGCGCTGTCCTGATTCACTCGAAAGAACGCGGAGGCAGCAAGGCGGTTGGTCGAGTGAGAGTTGTGAGGCGAAAGCGGCTGCGGAGAGGAAGTGGGTGGACATGGTCTCTGGTGTGTGAAGGAAATTGAGCGAGGGAAGAATGATGCTTCAAAAGTTTCAGGTTTTTCATACCTCATCGAAGAGCATCCGTTGTAGTCTAGTCGGTTAGGATATTCCGCTCTCACACGAAAGTCCCGGGTTCAAGTCCCGGCAACGGAACACTTTTGGGACAGCATGTTTGTCTCAAATGTTGACTTCTCACCTTGCTACCCCTCAAAGTCTTCCAACATTTTACTCGTCCCCGTGACCTGCTGTCCCCTGGCACCCTTACGAATCAGCATATCCCCTCGTTCTCAAGAACTTGGTTGGTGTGTGCCATCTTACGGATCCAGGCACGAGCGGCTTGCAACAAGTATAGACTCAACCACTGGGGCTCCTCTTGCCATGTTCACGCAGGAGTCTAAGTCCGGTCTCTTCTCGTTGCGAACTGAATACACCTCAGTGTCTGTATCTGGTCAGGTAGTTGTGTCATGCTCGTGTCAAACTCTCACCCACTCGTCGATCCTCTGGCACCACCACCTTGGTCACCCCTCTTTCCCGCGTCTCCGTCACAGGGTATACTGTCGCCTTCTCTCAAGTCTCCCAAAGTCGCTTGCCTTGCTTCATATCTCATCTGGGCCGTTGGCACTTCTGGCGTTGAGGGCCGACAGTGCGCTGCCTCCACACTGTCTCGCACCACTATGCCTCTTAAGACCTTGCTTCTTCACCTCTGCGGCCCTACCCGCTTGCTGGGCCTTGCGCTGACTGCTACTTTCTGGTTCTAGTGGAAAAGCACACCCCCTAAGCCACAGTGTTCCTGTTGCAACAAACGATGACGTGCCTCCCTCTTCTGTCGTGAATCGTGGCCGTTCGCACCCAGCAAGGCTAGTCTGTGGTTGGTTTGCACTTTGACCCGGGTGGTGAGTTCAACTCCGGTGGGGTGGAGTGGTTCTTGTAGCACACTAGGCATCCGCAAAGTGTTCACGTAGCAGAAATTGACGCAGCAGAATGAGATCGCTGAGTGGCTCATTGTAAGGGTGTAAAGGGTAAGCTCGCAAAGATCCTAGCGGACGAGCAACGACTTCTTGGGAGAGTAAAGGTTGCGGACGGGACAAAATAAGTGCACCAACAAATTTGCAGACATCTTGTCGAAGCAGAAAACGGCATGAGGCCATGTGTAAGCACCCCTTTGGGTCATCTCACGCCGCTCCCCTTAACCACAGTTACACATGTCTTTGATACTACGTACTAGAATAATTTGGGTGTGTATTATATCACTTTTATACGTTCAAAAGAGCACGTTCATAGCTTTGACTATGTGAGCCTTCATTCTTCTCCTCCTCTCCTCCCCACCCCTTCTCAGCCATCCTTCAATGTCTTCCCTCCTATGTTATCTGACTTCCTCCGTGCCACTCTGTTGGAATGTATTTGTATACATTCATATAAATGCCTACAGTACCTAGTGTAGTTATCTTAGTTTCCTGCTAGGTGGTGTACCACTTGCCTAATTCCTTGCCTATATCTTGTATGCCCTCTACTATTGATCTCCTCTTTTGGCTTGCATTTCCTCTCGCTACCTTCCTAAGCCTAAACCCTAGGCTTTCCTTAGCCTCCTATTATCAACATGCTATCAGAGCAAGGTTTCTCCTAGGACCTGTCTCATAGGGCCCACCACTACGCTTCCGCTCATGGGCCTCTCTGCTGCCCGTCGCGCGCCCGGGGCGCGCGTCGGTTTTCTGCCCGCCACGCGCCCCGGGCGCGCGTCAATTTTCTGCTCGTCGCGCGCCCCGGGCGTGCGGCGATTTCGTCCCCGTTACGCGCCCCGGACGCGCGACGGTTTCCTGCCCGTCGCGCGCCCCGGGCGTGCGACGGTTCTCTGCCCGTCGCGCGCCCCGGGCGTGCGACGGTTCTCTGCCCGTCGCGCGCCCCGGGCGTGCGACGGTTTCTGCCCGTCGCGTGCCCTGGACGCGCGACGGATTCTGCCCGCTAGCGTGCCCTGCTGTCGCCCGCGCACCTCCCACCCCGCCCCCCCTTCCCCTTCATCTCCCTGCTGCGCGTGTGGCAGTGGGGGGGAGGGTATGGGGGTGGCGGGTGTGAGTGATTTGCTGCCCCCCCTCCTCCTCTCTCTCCCACTGCCGCACTTGCTGCTGGATCGGGGGGGGGGGGGGGGGGGGGGGGAGGGTGAGGGGAAACGGGGGGAGTGTGTGAGGATGGCGAGAGAGATTCTGCAAAGCCAGCAGCCGCCCCTCCTCTCTCTCTCACTGCCGCTCGTGCTGCTGTGAGGTGGAGGGTAAGAGAGGGTGGCGGAAGGCAACCAGGCATCTGCAGCTGTCACCCGCTACTACCGTGGCACCTCCTGCTGCCGCCCCTGCCGCCACCTGCCCTTGTTTCTGCTGCCTGCTGCTGGGGCCTGCAGGTGCTGCCGTCGAGCCGCTGCTGTCCTGCTGCACGTTGCAGCGACGAGCCTACACCTGCTACTGCTTTTGACTTGGCTGAAGGCGTGCTGCAGCTGTATTTGCCACTAATGCACCGGCTGCCACTGTTATTGCCTGCTGCTACTTCTTCCACTGCACCGGGTGTACCCCTGCAGGCTTTGTGCTACACACGGGTTTCTACTGTAGGCATTTAGGGGGTGTGTTCGAATGTATTTGTATACATTCATATAAATGCCTACAGTACCTAGTGTAGTTATCTTAGTTTCCTGCTAGGTGGTGTACCACTTGCCTAATTCCTTGCCTATATCTTGTATGCCCTCTACTATTGAACTCCTCTTTTGGCTTGCATTTCCTCTCGCTACCTTCCTAAGCCTAAACCCTAGGCTTTCCTTAGCCTCCTATTATCAACACACTCGTCCTATACTCTCTTGTGCCCTTTCTTCCCTTCTTACTGACCCTATGGCTCTTCCTTCGTCTATCTTGACTCTTGTCGTTGCTGGACTAACTTTGCCTCTACCCGCTGAATGACTATGCTACTCAATTAGTCTCTGACGCTACCCGTCCTCTCTATGCCAATAGCGCCTTGCCCTTGGCTGTAACGTCCTAGAGGATAGGAAGCTTGAATTGCCTTTCTTGCAGCTGCTGCTCCTCATTTCTAGGCCATGTTGCCAGCTCCTAAGGGTGACGAGAGCATATTGGCGGTCCACTTGCATTTACATTGACGCAATTCCCCCTCATGGGGCAAATGTGGTTGACGGCATGCGGATCTTCAGGGTTAAGCTGCCACCTGCATCGCAACCTGTCATCATGGCACGCTACATGAGACAGGATTTAGTTAGCGAGAGGGGCAGATTTCTTCCAGACCTTCTTCCCAACCCCGAAAATGACCATTCTTTAGGTGTTGCTGCACAATGCGGCACAATGTAACTACGAGCTCCACTCGCTTCGAACTCACAATGTAACCTTGATGAGCAGATCTAGTTGCGTCGCCCTTCAGGTTTCACCGGGTTATTCCCTCCTGGTACCTAATGAAGCTTTCAACGACACGTTTACTCTACGGTATGCGCATTGGATCCTGTTTTGGATTTCGTGCCCAGGTTGGATTGCATGATAAATTAAGTGCTAGATTGAGTGTTGGATTGCGTATTGGATTGCGTGTTGCATTGCGAGTTCGATTGCGTGTTGGATCGTGCGTTGGATTGTGCACCGGATAGCGTGTTGGATGGATTGCACGTTATATTGGATCTCGTGTTTGATGGTGCGATGATCGCGCATGTTGTTAGGTTGTCTGTTGAATTGCGTGTTGGATTGTATGTTAGATTGCGCGTTGCATTGCGCGTTGGATGGCACGATGGATGGCACATGGGATCGCACAATGGATCGCCCGTGAAAACGCGTGTAAGATTGTGCGTTGGATTGCATGTTGGATTGCGCGTTGGTCTGCATGATGGATTGCATGTTGGTTTGCGTGCTGGTTCACGTGTTGGTTTACGTGTTGGTTTGCGTGTTTGATTGGGTGTTGGATTGCTTGTTAACTTCTTCAGCACACCATTATTCACAACAAGAGACACAAGCTTTAGATGGACTGTGGAGGAGTGCTGGGAAGCAGCTGCAACAGCAGGCACAAGCGGGGGTGCGAATCAGCTTCAGGCATCAAGATCAGCGTCGGCCTGGGTGGTGTCGGCAGTGAGCTGTGCGCGGCGCACGCCCCAGAAGGCGGGCGGGTTGAGGCCGCGACGCACAGCCGTGAAGCGCCACCCCACGTGCATGCCACAGCGCCCGCAGTGCGCTATGGTCCACGCGTACCTGCTCAGTGCCGCGGAGTGGGCAGTGGTGGGGCGATCCGAGGAGACACAACAAAGGGGGTATAGCGCAGGGTGGGTGGAGGGAGAAGCTCATACGGGAGGGAGTGCTCTACAGTGCAGCACATGTGGGGTGTGGTGGATGAACAGAGAAGTGGAGTGTGGTGGATGAAAAGAGAAGTGGGGTGTTGTGCATGAACAGAGAAGTCGGGTGTGATGAATGAAGAGTGGATGGAACAGAAGGAGAGCAGGAGTGCACGGGGTTCAACAAGATGGAGTGTTGGGAGATGCTGTGCATTGTGAATCCAATGTCCTGCCAAGGTGGCGTAACACAACCGGACCGAACACGGATGCAACCGTGCAACAAAACTGCAAAACTGCCATGCAACCGTGCGTGCTCACCACGTTGTCAGAACTTAGGCTTAGAACTGATACATTAGTAGTGAGCTCAAAGCTCTTTAAGTACATCAGGAATGAGCAAGGTATGGATGAGAAGGGAATCGGGGGGCAATCCTAGGGAATCAGGGGTAATCCCAAGGCAATCTCCAATTGGTGGGTTGGAGATTGCTTGGAGATTACATTTGGGTTTGGTTGGGATGTGGGTGTACACCCAACCAAACACAAAGTGCAAACTACACTAAACTAGGATATAAAAGTACAAGTACAAAATGTGAGATTGAGGACTAACATCAACACACGTGACCCTGGGGACTCGTTGGGCTTACCCCGGGAACCAGCTGTTCTCTGTCTCGGCGCTGCCCTCGAGCACGAGCCCTCTGGCGCGCGAGAGAGTGAGTGTCTCGTGCACGAAGCCATGCGCGTTGACAAAGGCGCTGATGGCGCCCTCCGTGCTCATGCACACCATGTCACTGCGCCGCGCCACCCGACACTGCCCGTGCACAGGTGAGGGGCGGGCAGGGGAGGAGAGGAGAAGGAGTTGGAGGAAGGTGATGTGTGGGGAGGATGCGGAGGAGGCGCCTCAATGGGACACTGGAGACACTGGAGGATATGGGAAGACGCGGGAGAGATGAAAGTTGAGTTTGAAAGCTGCCAAGCATGCTGCTGTGCTTTCGTGGGAAACACGTGGGCGGCAGACAGGAGGGCAGCAGACAGGAGGGCGGCAGACAGGAGGGCGGCAGACAGGAGGGCGGCAGACAGGAGGGCGGCAGACAGGAGGGCGGCAGACAGGAGGGCGGCAGACAGGAGGGCGGCAGACAGGAGGGCGGCAGACAGGAGGGCGGCAGACAGGAGGGCGGCAGACAGGAGGGCGGCAGACAGGAGGGCGGCAGACAGGAGGGCGGCAGACAGGAGGGCGGCAGACAGGAGGGCGGCAGACAGGAGGGCGGCAGACAGGAGGGCGGCAGACAGGAGGGCGGCAGACAGGAGGGCGGCAGACAGGAGGGCGGCAGACAGGAGGGCGGCAGACAGGAGGGCGGCAGACAGGAGGGCGGCAGACAGGAGGGCGGCAGACAGGAGGGCGGCAGACAGGAGGGCGGCAGACAGGAGGGCGGCAGACAGGAGGGCGGCAGACAGGAGGGCGGCAGACAGTGGTGATGGATGGACGGGACGGAGGAGGGGGCTAGGAGACGGAAGAGAAGAAGAGGAGGAAAGAGGAACACTGCACGACTACATGAAAGACCTTGCGTTCCACGACTACATGAAAGACCTTGCGTTCCACGACTACATGAAAGACCTTGCGTTCCACGACTATGTGAAAGACCTTGCATTCCGAGGTATGTATATATTGTATCTCATCACAACTGAGATAATGTAACACCTGCAGATACCACACCTGGCACCATAACACCCCCCGCTGTTTCTTGACGAGAGTCTGCACACACGCTAGCTTTGGGGTTCCAACAATCTGTTATCAGATCGGCTTACATTGCTTTGGTGTAAATTTCTCATTCCCAGCACATCCAAGCTGATGCCCCCCGAAGAGGCGTACCCGGCAGGTGGAGCAGAGGAGGTGGTCGATGCACTCGAGCAGACGAATCTCCTTCTGCAGCCGGTACACCGTTGACCCCACCTGCACCCATGCACCCATGCACCCATGCACCCATGCACCCATGCACCCATGCACCCATGCACCCATGCACCCATGCACCCATGCACCCATGCACCCATGCACCCATGCACCCATGCACCCATGCACCCATGCACCCATGCACCCATGCACCCATGCACCCATGCACCCATGCACCCATGCACCCATGCACCCATGCACCCATGCACCCATGCACCCATGCACCCATGCACCCATGCACCCATGCACCCATGCACCCATGCACCCATGCACCCATGCACCCATGCACCCATGCACCCATGCACCCATGCACCCATGCACCCATGCACCCATGCACCCATGCACCCATGCACCCATGCACCCATGCACCCATGCACCCATGCACCCATGCACCCATGCACCCATGCACCCATGCACCCATGCACCCATGCACCCATGCACCCACACATCACACACTCGAGCTAAACATGAGGGATACGATCAACAGAATTCAGGCAGCACGAGCATATTGAGTGCCAAGCAAGGCAGAAGAGCACAAGTGCGCGTGACATTGGTTAGTGCCACAGGGCGGTGAGGAGGGCACACACACCTGCAGCAGGTGCAGGCGGTGAGGAGGGCACACACACCTGCAGCAGGTGCAAGCGGTGAGGAGGGCACACACACTTGCAGCAGGTGCAGGCGGTGAGGAGGGCACGCACACACACACCTGCAGCAGGTGGTGGCGGTGGCGGTCGCTGATGGGCATGTTGGCCGCCACCACAAACGACAACGCCTCCGGTGCCCTCACCAGCCCCTGCAGCTGCTGCGCCTGCGCTGGTAGCAGCTGCGCACACATGTCTGGCGGGGGGGAGGATACAAGAGTGAGAAAAAGACGCAGTTGGGAGGGAGGAGATAAAGGGCAGGTAAAGGGAGCATTTAAAGGGAGCAGGTAAAGGGAGGAGCTAAAGGGAGGAGCTAAAGGGCGGGCAGAACATGTCAATGATGACCACAGAAGCTCGTTACACATAAACTACAGCCTCACTTTTGCATTTTTTGTTATATACTCTTGTTGAGATTACTATGACTGGTTGATCATCAACCAATCCCAACGTCGTCAACCCAATTGGTCCAGACCATTTCTGAAGTAAGTACGAGTCTTGACCTCCTCTCGCTGATCCCTCGACCCTGCTCATGCTGGTGCACATCTCACGTGCTCCAGCCTGGCCTTGCCCGTCTTGTCTCCTGCTTGTCTCAACATGATGTTCGAATCACAACGTTCACTCAAAGTGATGTTTGAGCTGCGCCCAGAGAGCACCTCACCTGCCACGCGCCCAGAGAGCACCTCACCTGCCACGCGCCCAGAGAGCACCTCACCTGCCACGCGCCCAGAGAGCACCTCACCTGCCACGCGCCCAGAGAGCACCTCACCTGCCACGCGCCCAGAGAGCACCTCACCTGCCACGCGCCCAGAGAGCACCTCACCTGCCACGCGCCCAGAGAGCACCTCACCTGCCACGCGCCCAGAGAGCACCTCACCTGCCACGCGCCCAGAGAGCACCTCACCTGCCACGCGCCCAGAGAGCACCTCACCTGCCACGCGCCTGGCGAGGTTGAGGGCGTCGAACATGCGGTACACCCAGTGCGGCCATGCTGCACACACCGCCCGCCTCCTCCACCGCACCTCCTCCATCGCCCACCGCTCCGCCGCCCCTCCCCACGCCTCCCACCTTGTCCTCTTCCTCCTGCTGCCCGCGCTACCTTGATCTCCCCTCCCATCTCCCCCCCTCCCGTCCTCCTCCCCCTCATTCCCTCCCCTATCCCCCCTCGCCTCCCCCTCCCGCACGCCAAACAGTCCCAACAGTCTGCTCAGGCGCACGTCTCCCCCCACTCCCGCCTCGCCCTCCCCCGCCTCGCCCTCCTCTCGCCGCACATCGCCATCACCCGCGGCCTCGCTGCCGTCGCCGTCACCCCCAGCAGTCCTTCTCCCTCCCCCCCTGCTCGCTTCCCCTCCACCGCGCTCCTGCCCACCTCTCGTCTGCGCCCTCGCTCCTCGCCTCTCTCTGCGCCGCAGGGGCGCCACCCATCGCTGCCACCACCGCCTCCCTCCCCTGCGTCTATCCCGCCCCTCCCCTTCCCCATCGTCTCCCTGCGACTCCTCCTCTTCTTCCGCCTCCTCCTCTTCCCCCTCGTCCACTATCGTCTTCCTCCTCCTCCTCCTCCTCCTCCTCCTCTTCTTCCTCCTCATCTTCCTCCTCCTCCATCCACGCTCCCTCCTCGCCCTCCATATGGTCACCTTGCTCTATAAGCCTCCTCACTAGCTCCCTCCTCCTCTCCTCCCTTCGCCTCACCCTTTCCTCCTCACTCCCCCTCCTCCCATTCCCTCCACGTCCTCCCCTAATCCGCCCACCCCTCCCCCCACGCCCATCATCGCCTGCAGCAGCCCCGCTGCTGGGCCCATGCTGCTCACCCCTGTGTGCCAGCCCCACGGCCCGGCCCTGCTCACCACCCTCACCGCCCGCCTCTGCACCCGTCGCCCCCTCTCCCCCCCTGCCGCCCACTGCCTCTCGCATGCAGCTGGAGGGTGCCGCCCGCATGCCGCGGCAGCGCGAGAAGGCGCCAGCTGGCAGGCGCAGGGGGGAGGCGTCGTCGAGAATCTGCACGTCCGCTGCCGGCTGCGAGGGGCCATGGGGGCGCGCAGGGTGGCGCGGGGCGGGCGCAGCACGGGTTGCGGAACACGACTTGCCTTGTCAAGAGCCTGACACACGGCCGTGAGATAGGGGAAGAGGAGAGTTGCAAGGGAATGGGAATAGGCGAAAGGAGATGGTGGGGAGAATGATGATGAACAAGGAGCATAAGCAACAAGGCAGTGTCGAAGAACAGAAAGTGTGGAAGGGTCTGAATAAAGACAAAGACAGCAATAGCAACAGAGACATGGGAGTGAATTGACAAGGCTGGACGGTGGTGCACAGTTGAAGTTCCGATGGTATGAGGCTCGTCCACACAGATGGCACACACACTGGCGCAGAGAATGCACCGAGAAAGCACAGAGAGGAGTGGCAGGGCGGCTGAGGCAAAGAGAGGAGGGGCAGCGCGACAGGGGGCAGGGGGCAGGGGGCAGGGGGCAGTGGGGACGCACGGAGCCATCGGGGTCCATCCAGGCGCGGCGCACGAGGAAGCGCTGACGACCCCTCGTGACCACACTCATGCTGCCGCCCTCCTGCTGCCTCACCCGCCGGATCTGAGCAATGGGGGACACACGCGCACGCAGGGGCGACACGGCAGTGGAGAGCACTGAGAGGTGCCTGGCAGCCATGACAGCTGTGCCTGGTGCAAGCGCTGGCTTGTAAGGTTGTGATTGCACATGCACATGCACGACGCACCTCCGCTGTTGTGCCCACCTCTGCTGTTGTGCCCACCTCTGCTGTTGTGCCCTGCCCACCTCTGCTGTTGTGCCCACCTCTGCTGTTGTGCCCACCTCTGCTGTTGTGCCCACCTCTGCTGTTGTGCCCACCTCTGCTGTTGTGCCGACTGATGCCACTCGGATGTCAAAGCCATGCGGGTCCATGCGCACATGCACCTGCACGCACCCAACCCATGCACACATGCACGCACACCCACACCCCCCACCAACCCCCCCACTCCCCCCCCTCCTCCCCCACCACACACACGTGCAAGCATACACATTCACACGGCCGTACACGCCGCGCGCGCTAGGAAATTCATCTCGGCATCAGCCACGAGCACAAGGCATGGATCATCTTGGATCTACTCAGCCAGAAAACTACCCACGCACGCGGCGTCATCTTCTACGAGTGCCTTTTTCTCGAGCAATTCCGCCACGACGAGCAAATGAACGCGAATCGCGTTTACGCGAATGACGGGCATAGCTACGCAACACCTGAGGACGAAGCCGCTGCAGCAATCCTGGAGCAGGACACCAGGGGCGAGTTCACGGGAAGAGACTGCCAAAACAGCGACGACGACGACGACGATTCCTCTGGGGGAGGAATAGGCAGAACAGGAGGAAGCTGCAGAGGCGTAGCGTCACCAGCACCACCTGAACCAGAGAGTGACGACGACGACGTGCAGGAGGTTATCCCGCGGCATCGCCACGACAGCACTGTCTTTGGGATGCAGCTTCTTGGGCTCCACACCGCCACCTCAGCGGCACCACGCGTCATCGAACCGAAAAATCCGTGCCAAGCTCTCACTGGATGACACAGCAAGAAATGGGGCGAGGCGATGGCTGCGAAAATTAAGGCGCTCGAATCCCGAGACACCTGGGTGCTCGTCGACCGCGCTGCAATCAAGAAAGCAAGGATCCTTTCTGGCAAGTGGGTCTTCCGTGTGAAGACCACAGCAGACAACACGATTGAACGGTTCAAGGCACGCTGGGTGGTGCGTGGCTACGATCAGAGGCACGGGATTGATTTTGATCAAACATTTGCACAAGTCAGCCGTCACACATCCGTCAGAATTCTGCTCGCCGTAGCCGCTGCGTCAAATCGATGTGAAGAATGCATTTTTGTACGCGTTAGTAGATGCAGTCATCTACGTGGAGCAGCCGCACACGTACGGAGAAGGAGACTCGCACGTGTGTCAGCTGCGCAAGTCCCTTCATGGGATCAAACAAGCGCCATGGCTCAGGCGACAGTACCAGCACAACATTCTGCTAGAAATAGGCTTCAAGCAGATGCCTCAAGACCCCGGGATGTACCGCCGCGACTTCCGTAGTGATTACATCCTAGTCACCGTCTACGTCGACGATCTGCTCTACACGGGGTCAAGCAACGAACTGCTCGAGAAGTTCGAGAGGAATCTGGCAGCGTGCATTGATATTATCTGCAGCAACGAGGTGAAGCAGTTCTTGGGACTTGATATCTCCTACGCGCCAGAAGCCATTCACCTCCCGGTGGTTAAGTATGCAGAGGAGCTTAGGAAAAGATTCAAGATTTCACTTGCGCCGCTCTCCACCCCTTATCGCACACCTCGACCGAACCACAAACCCGACAACAAAGCCCTATCCCCTGCTGGAATCCAGACTTACCAGCAGCAGCTGGGATGCCTGCTCTTCGCCTCCGTCACCTGCAGGCCCGACCTTCCCTACATCGCGAGCCAACTGGCTTAGTACTCTGGCAAACCAACTCCTAAGAACCTTCTGGATCTACAGCGCACCCTAAAGTTCTCCGTTTCAACGCCCAAGATTAGGCTCTGCTACTCAACAGTGCCAACCCCATCCTTCAACCTCATCGGCTACGTGGACGCTGATCACGCAGCAGACCCCGACAATCGACGGTCGAAGATACACATGAACGAAAGAGAAACCCATCCACTCATCCATAGCATATGAAGGCCTGCAAGCAATGGCATTACTTGATGTTCACTCAACTCTACACTGCCTTTCGTCCCAACCTCATCCAAATGTGTTCCCCCACCACCTCCACCCCCACCATGTGCTGCCCCCCCATGTGCTGCCCTGCCCCTCACCACGCCCAGCAGGTGCGCGGCCTGCCCGGTGGCCCCCATGGCGCGAGTGACGGCCGCCCTGAACCGCGCCTGCTGCACACGCAGGGGCAGCGTCTGCTCGGGGAACAGCACGATACCTGGTGGGAGGTGCAGGCGGGCAAAGCATTTGAGAAGGACAGCATGTGAGAGAGGCGGGTGTGCATGGCGGCTGCATGCTGCAATGAACCCATCGGCGGCACATAGGGCATCGGCGGCACATAGGGCTGGGCGGCACATGCAGCGAACAGTGAAGGACACAGAAAGCAGCACGGTGCAGAGTGATGGCAAGTGATGCCGACATGACAGACCAGCCCCACTCAGGAACGGGCACGCAGCGGGAGGAACAGGCACGCAGGTGGAGTAAGCAGAGAGGAGGGAGGGTACGGAAGAGCATGGGAGGGTACGGAAGGGCATGGGAGGGTACGGAAGAGCATGGGAGGGTACGGAAGGGCATGGGAGGGTACGGAAGGGCATGGGAGGGTACGGAAGAGCATGGGAGGGTACGGAAGGGCATGGGAGGGTACGGAAGGGCATGGGAGGGTACGGAAGGGCATGGGAGGGTACGGAAGGGCATGGGAGGGTACGGAAGGGCATGGGAGGGTACGGAAGGGCATGGGAGGGTACGGAAGAGCATGGGAGGGTACGGAAGGGCATGGGAGGGTACGGAAGGGCATGGGAGGGTACGGAAGGGCATGGGAGGGTACGGAAGGGCATGGGAGGGTACGGAAGGGCATGGGAGGGTACGGAAGGGCATGGGAGGGTACGGAACGGCATGGGAGGGTACGGAAGGGCATGGGAGGGAACGGAAGGGCATGGGAGGGTGCGGAAGGGCATGGGAGGGTACGGAACGGCATGGGAGGGTACGGAAGGGCATGGGAGGGAACGGAAGGGCATGGGAGGGTACGGAAGGGCATGGGAGGGTACGGAACGGCATGGGAGGGTACGGAAGGGCGGGGTGAATGGCAATGGGGGACATTCGAGGCTTACCTTGGAGGTAAAACATGGGCAGGCGAAGAATGGTGCCTCCCTCGGCGAACGCCTGTGCTCCTGTGATGTCGTCCCCCTCTGCATGCACGGTACGGGGTGAGCGGCGTGTGGGTGAGCGGCGGGGCGCGACGGCTGTAGCCCCGTGGTGGGGCAGGCGAGGGTTGTAGCCCCATGGTGTGGTGGTGCATGCATGCATCGAGCAGTGATGATGACACGGCAATGACATGAACTCAAGTAACTGATTATGACACATCACTCAGAACGACCATGCACCATGCACCATGCAGCATGCAGCATGCACCATGCACCATGCGCCATGCGCCATGCGCCATGCAGCATGCACCATGCACGTACCTCCGAGGTAGGTGTGCAGCGATGTGATGGCCGGATCAAATGTGAGCCCTCCGCGCATCCTCAACGCGTCCCCGTCGCCCCTGCTGCATGCATGGATGATTCACACATGAGATAAGATCAGATCTGACGGTGGGATGGGGCAGTGCTGTCGCAGGGAAGTGATGGCAGTGTAGGTCTTGCTCATCGCGGAGCAAGAAAGGGTGTTACCCCCGCATGACGAGGCTGCTCCCACGGCACCACGTGCACATGTGTGGCACCTGAGGCACATGGGATGTGGCACCTGGGGCGAGAGTCACCTGGGGTCATCGCTGTCGCTGTCGCTGGAGCTCAGCGCATGCTGCCTCGCCTCGCCCACTGCTGCCCGGCCCCTCTCCTCCTCATCGTCCTCCTCCCCCTCCTCCCCCTCGTCCTCCTCGCCCATGTCCTCCTCCTCCAGCTGCTCCCCCTGGATCGCCAGAATGCGCTCAATCTGCTGCCGCTCCACCGCACTCACCACCACTGCCATCGCACCCGCCCCGCCACCTGCTCCTCCTCCACCGCCGCCGCCATCACCCGCTCCGGCACCTCCATCACCCTCTGCACCGTTCCGCACACCTGCCTCATCCCCCTGCCGTGACGCCTGCAGCAGCTGCTGCTGTGCTGCACGCCTGCCCTCACCTGCCTGCACGCCCCCATGTGTGCCCCTGCTGCTGCCCCGCCCATTGCCATGCCACGACGCTCGCCCTCGCTGCTCACTTGCACTCCCCCCCGCCCCTCCCCCCCCCTCCTCCTCGTGCTCTTCCTCCAGCTGCGCCCCCTCCACGGCGCGTATCTGCTGCATCTGAGCTCTCTCCGCCGCCGCCGCCTCGTATCGCCTCACCTCCTCAGCCCCCCGCGCTCCTCTCCCCATCCGCCTCGCCTCCTCTCTCTGGGCTGCGCCGCCCCTCCCACGCAGCGCCCCCACCTCGCCCTCTCTCGCCCCGCCCCTCTCCCCCTGCTCCTCGCCTCGCACCGCTTGCCTCCTCTGTCCCTGCTCATGCCGCCTCGCCCCTCCAGTGCCTCGCTCCGCACGAGCCCCTCCCTCCCCACCTTCCCTTGCCTCCACTCCGCCATCTTCGTTCCCTTCCCCCATCTGCTCCTCGCCTCGCACCTCCCCCCCCTCCACCTCTTCGTCATCTCCCTCCTCTCGCTCTTCTCCCGCCCTTCCCTCCCCAACAGCCCCTGCTACCACTCCCTCCTCCATCTCTCCCACCTTCCATCCGTCCTCCCCTCCCTCCTCCCCCTCCCTCCCCCTCCCCTCGTCCTCGCCCGCCCCCGCATCATCATGCGCACTGCCGCCTGCCACCGGCCCTCCCTCCTCCATCGCCCCATGCTTCCCTCCTCCTCTCCCGTCACTACCTGCACCACATGACGCCTTCCCCGAGCATGCCCCCCCCGAATCCCCTGCTGTCGCCCGTCTCCCCTCCGCATCCCTCTCGTCCCCCCCTCCCCTCCCACTGTCTCCCCACTCGCCTGCCCCGTGTCCGCCGCTGCCCGCCCCGCCTCACCCTCCGCACTCCCCGCAGGCGCGCTCCCCGCCACGGCGCCCACCAGTGCGCCCATGGACCTGCGCCACCCTCTGCCCCTTCCCCTCCGCTCCCCCTCCGCCGCCCCCTCGTCCTCCCCCTCCTCCTCCAGCGCCATGTCATCCAGCTCCCTCAGTTGCGCCAACTGCCGTCGCTCCGCCATCTCCGCCAACCGCGCGGGCGTCAAGTCCGCATCGCGCGCAGCCCCGTCGCCGCGGCTAGCGGTTCCACCGAAGCCGCCGCTGGCGGCGCTGGGGCCTCGCGCAGCGCGATTAGGCGGCCCGCTGGCGGCGTGGGGCGACCTGCGGCGCGGTTGTCGGTCCATGGGTGGGGGAGGTTTGCAGCAAGCGACTCGAGAATTCCTGCACGCTTGGGATCTTTTATCGACAGGGAAAACTGGCCCCGCATGCACGCACGCAATCATGCGGTATCGCCACACATCGTCGGCGGCAGTTGCTACAGTGTTAGCTGCGACGCGCACATGTTGTCGTCTGTTCACGACGCGGGGCTGTGAGATTCTTGTGAGGTCCACGGTACGGGGTCAGCTCCTTTTAGCTCATGCATGCGGGCGCTGTCAGCGTTGGAAAAGGGGTTGGACTTGAATTGAACACCTCAACCCTGAAAGCGTCCACCACCTGCAGAATGGTTACAAATGGGTTTCCTGAACTGTGTCCCCCGCGCATGGTGAACACACCCAAGTTGGAATGTTTGGTACCGCATGCACACCAACAATTGCTTGCGACGATTCCGCCTCGTAGTTACCAGCCTTGACAAACCAAGCGCAACAAATTCGAGGTTTCGTGGCCCAGTAACCCGTCTGACGACTTTCGCCTAGTCGCACACAGGGGAGCAAGTTCCGTTTGTGACATGCACGCACATCAATCCCAGCCGCCACCTTCCTATTCGTTGCTTTACTTAGCGGTTTCTTTCAGCACGAATAGAGCACGACTCACATCGACCTTTTCCGCCCCATTACTAGCGTTGCCTTGTCTTGGCTGGGTGGCGCTCACGTGTAGAGGCGTACGGCAGCGCCACCTCACCCTACCAGATCTCACCGCAGCCTTTCTCGGCCGTGCGCGCGGTGCACCGTGCGGTGCGGGCGGAACGGCCACGCGCGGCCATGAATCCGGTGAGCCGCGTCGCTGCTGGAATCGAAACGATCTCGCGTAGTTGGTCGTTCGCTCGCTGCGCTGCTCTAGCCGCCTCCCCTCCTCAAATGCCACGATGCCACGTGTGCGTCCATGACTGGCTGCGTGGCAGGCTCTCGTGGATCGCGACGACGCGCAGCGGCAATACCTGGAGCAGCGGGTGAGATGCGCGCGGCGGTAAGGGGAGATGCGCGCGGCGGTAAGGGGAGATGCGCGCGGCGGTAAGGGGAGAAATGAAATGAGAGTGAGTGGAGAGGAGAGGAGCAGAGAGGATTGTGGTTGCACAGTTGATCCGTCTTTTTCCATTTCCATGTCTCTTCCGCGTTTCCCTTGGTCATGCGCACAGCCCCCATTCACTCACACCGCTGCGCCCGCCTCATCACGTCATACCGCCCGCACGCCGCCATGCCCTACGCACTGCGTTCCTCCTCCCTCCCCCCCCTCCCCAGCCGCCGTCCCCCATCTCTCATTCAAGGTGCTGTGGGCAGTGTTACACGGAGATGCACGCGTCTGTCCAGGCCACTCAAAGCTGCCACCAGTCCTCCTTCCAATCCACCTTTCCCCTTCCTACTTTGCTGCCAACCCCCCCCCTGCCGCCACCCCCCCTTGCCGCGGCGCCTACTTGTGGGCGGGTGTTGGCGCGGGCGTGGAAGCAGGTGGTGCGGGCGGCGGTGGCGGAGGTGTACAGCGACGAGAGCGCGGACGCCGCCCATGCCACGCACAATGCGGTGAGAACCTGCCGGCTGCATGGGCTGCTCACCCGCTCTGTGCCTGGTCACCCGCTCTGTGGCTGGTGAGTGAGCGCGCGCGTGGGTGTGAGGGAGGTGAATGGAGAAGAGAGAGAGGGGGTTGGAAACGAGGACGGAGAGCGGAGTGGGGGAGAGAATGAATGGAAGATATATTGAGTGGAAACGAGAATGGGTGAAGAGAGAGAAAGAATGAGGTCGTATAAGAGCCACCTCACATGGTCATTTGGTGGCTCAAGATGCAGCGGGTGCGATGTGCCAGTGCGAGGTGCCAGTGCGAGGTGGCAGTGCGAGGTGGCAAGGGAATGGAAAGGCGCATGCAAGAGCACGTTCCCTTTGACCTGTCCCTTGCAGATACTGGCGTACCTGAGCAGCACGCTCGACCCCTTGCTTGCCGTGCCGCCACCTGCCTTGCCCACCACGCCCCTCGCTGCGTCTGTGAAAGGCGTCCCCTCACACGCACCGTCGCACGCACAGCCAGCGGGGCTGGCGGGGCAGTTGGGCCAGTCGCGGCAGCAGCTGCTGGGAGTGGAGCCGCCGTGCCTGCAGCGAGCCGCTGCCAACGCCGCTTCGGTGAGTGACACGCCTTGACTTGAGGGCCACGCCGCTACAGCTGTGGTGAAGGTGACGAGTGATGCAGGCGGGGCGTGTAGCAATGAAGGGCGGGGTGCAACGGATGTGGCATGTGGTGTGCACCGGTTGAGGCCACTCTGCCATCATGTCATGCTGCAGTCGAGTGGTTGTGTGATGCGGCAGTATGCAGTGAGCAGTGGCACCACGTGTGTGTTGTGTTGTGTTGTGTTGTGTTGCGTTGCGTTGCGTTGCGTTGCGTTGCGTTGCGTTGCGTTGCGTTGGGTTGGGTTGCGTTGCGTTGCGTTGCGTTGCGTTGCGTTGCGTTGCGTTGCGTTGCGTTGCGTTGCGTTGCGTTGTGTTGCGTTGTGTTGCGTTTTGTTGCGTTGCGTTGCGTTGCGTTGCGTTGCGTTGCGTTGCGTTGCGTTGCGTTGCGTTGCGTTGCGTTGCGTTGCGTTGCGTTGCGTTGCGTTGCGTTGCGTTGCGTTGCGTTGCGTTGTGTTGTGTTGTATTGTGTTGCGTTGTGTTGTGTTGCGTGTGTTGCGTTGCGTTGCGTTGCGTTGCGTTGCGTTGCGTTGCGTTGTGTTGTGTTGTGTTGCGGCACTGCGTGGCGTGGCAGAACAAGGCGTGCCAGACCAGGCTGCAGCAGCGCGTCATCGATGCAGTGGCGTCCTCTGCAGCCAACATCAAGACCTTCATTCACTGTGCGCTCTGCCTCTATATTCATTTATTGTAATGGTTGTGATGTGACTTTATCAAGTGTCATATGACTGTATTGAGTGTGTTGTGACTGTTTTTGGCGAGTATTACAAGTGGGGCAGGCATCAACCTGTAGCACCTACCTACAGCCTCGGTTGTGAGTCAATACCTGGTCTGGCATTTCCAGTGGAACAGCTTCTGAAATGGGAATATGTGCTGTGCTGTGCTGTGTGCACACAGCATCATATGAGCCCTAACCCTGTCAACGCATGCATCACAACCAACCCACTGCCCTGGTTGCGTCTCTCTGGCCTCCGTGTGTCCACCCGCCTTGTCTTCGTCCTTCTGCCTGCATCCTCGCCCTCTACCCCTCCCCTTCTGTGTCCCCTCTGTCTCCGTGTGCCCTCTGTCTCCGTGTGCGCTCTGTCCCCCTGCAGTGAGCCTGGGGGATGATGCCTCCAGCACTGACACTCACACTGACGCTGTCACACGGTCAGTGAGCGGTCACGTGGGGATAAAACTGGTCATGGGGGCACTCGCTTGCTACTTGGCCTGCTTCTATTGAAAACGTTTTGTTGTACATTCCTAGATGCACTGATGAAGGTTTCAAGGGTTTGAATACGGCAGGACGGAACTTGACTGATCTGTTACAGTATCCCTGTGGTTGACCCCTCTTGTAGCCTTGCCGATGTTATCTTCTTTCCAGAGAAATGTCTACGTGTCTGTTGCTTGAAGCTGCTTCGAGCGTTTTCCAAGCTCCAGCTGTCCAAGCTATTCCAAGTGATGACCCTTGTTCCTGCCTGCCTGCCTGCCCTCCCACCCGCCCGCCCGACCGCGCACCCCGCCGCATGTGGGCAGAGTGCGGGAGGAGGTGCGGCGGGTGCGGGAGAGGGAGAGCGCCATCGCGCGCCTGCTGCTCGCCACAGCCAACACTCGAGCCACCCTGGCGCAGGTGCGCAGTGGGCAGGGAAGGAGCGTGCAGCGCGGCCCTCTCACCTACCACTTATGGCCCTCCATGACCACCTTCTTTTCTTCCTCAACCGTTTCTGTCTGCCTGCAATCCTCGTTCCCTATCGGCCTGGCCCCCCACTATCTCGTACTTTGCTCGGCACTCAGGAGCACGTGCGGGTGACAAGGGAGCTCCTCGCTCTGCTGCAGTTCAAGACACTCCAGCAGCACCCGCTGGTAACACTGCTTCTTGCTCATTGCAACCACAGCATCCCATCTTACTGCAACACACTTGTAACGAGTCTGTTCAGTATCATTTGAAACTTGCACATGTACCTGCCACCATGCCGCATGCACCCTGCTGCCTTGCCCCTTTACTCCAACCTCCCACTCCTTGCCACCCCTCCCCCCACACACGCTCTGCGTCCCCTCTGGGTGGCACATGACGCATGGCATGGCGCATGGTGCATGGCATGGTGCATGGTGCATGGCACGGTGCACGGTGCATGGTGCATGGCATGGTGCATGGCGCATGGCATGGTGCATGGTGCATGGCATGGTGCATGGTGCATGGCATGGTGCATGGTGCATGGCATAGAGCATGGTGCATGGCATGATGCATGGTGCATGGCATGGTGCATGGTGCATGGCATGATGCATGGTGCATGGCATGTCATGGTGCATGGCATGGCACATGGCATGGTGCATGGCGCATGGCAGGATGGGAGGCGGTGTAAGCTGGTGGAGGCAAGCGCTGCCCTGCTGCAGTGCAAGGAAGAGTGAGTGAGGGCGAGGTGGGGTGTGAGAGGGGGAGAGTGGAGGGGGTGTAGAGTAAGAGGGAGGGGCTAAGAGGTGAAACATGTGGTCATGATGGTTTGACATGTCGTCATCATGGTGTGCCATGTGGCCATGCCATGCGAGGTGGTTGGGCCCACATGGCTTTCTTGACAACCCCTCACATGTGGTCATCATGGTGCAACATGTGGTCATCATGGTGCAACATGGTGAAACATGTGGTCATGATGGTTTGACATGTCGTCACATCATCATGGTGTGCCATGTGGCCCTGCCATGCCACGCCACCCTCTTTCACACTTGCGTTTTCCCCATGCCTGCTCTCCCATGCTGCATGCTGCACGGTGCAGAGCGGTGGAGCAGCAGATCCGAGCTGCCACGTACACGAGAGACACCGTGCTGGCACTGCAGCACATCAGGTGAGGCACTGCAGCACATCAGGTGAGGCACTGCAGCACATCATGTTAGCCTACTTCCCCTCCATCAGTACCCTCTTTTTTGCACCTCCTCATGCTCAGGCGCTGCCATCCACCACCCGTGCTGCCATCCACCACCCGTGCCGCCTCTCTGCTGCAACCACTGTCCTCTTGCCAGCCCTCTTCTCTTCCTGTGATTCGTCCCATCCCAATCTGCCACCACCTCGTCCCCCTGTTTCCATGACCTGCATGGCAAGCACCTGGTGAATCTCATCTTCCATCTCCTTTTCCTTCTCCCAAAAGCACAACTTTCAAATCCCTCTTCTTTCGTTGATGCCAATATAAATATTTTTATCTGTCCATCCACCATGTTCTCTCTGCTCCTCCAGAAAGCACTTGTTGGCACGCAAGGCTGAAGTCAGCTTGGCACGAGATCAAGCAGTGAGTGCTACTTCTCTACTTCTCTGCTCTTCTGCCCTGCTACACTACTTTCTTGCACTACGCATGTCCTTGCATATCCTCTCATGCCACTCCACTGCAATGCGCTCGTCATCTCGCTGCCACTTCCAGCTTTCCTCCCTTCACTTTCCAATTCGCCCCCTCTTCTTTTCTATATCTTCCCTATTTGCTCCATCTGCCCTTTTCCCCCTTCCCACTACCCTTGACCCTTCCCCTTCTGACCCTTCCCCTTCTGCCCTTCCCCTTCTGCACCTTCCCCACCTGCCCCTTTCCCCTCTGCCCCTTCCCCTCTGCCCTTCCCCCTCTGCCCCTTCCCCATCTGCCCCTTCCCCTTCTGCCCTTTCCCCTCTGCCCTTTCCCCCTCTGCCCCTTCCCCCTCTGCCCCTTCCCCCTCTCCCCCCTTCCCCCTCTGCCCCTTCCCCCTCTGCCCCTTCCCCCTCTGCCCCTTCCCCCTCTGCCCCTTCCCCCTCTGCCCCTTCCCCCTCCCCTTCCCCCCTCTGCCCCTTCCCCCCCTCTGCCCCTTCCCCCTCTGCCCCTTCCCCCCCCCTTCCCCTCTGCCCCTTCCCCCTCTGCCCCTTCCCCCTCTGCCCCTTCCCCCTCTGCCCCTTCCCCCTCTGCCCCTTCCCCCTCTGCCGCTTCCCCCTCTGCCGCTTCCCCCTCTGCCCCTCCGCATCTGCCAGCGTGTGCGTCTGGAGCAGCTAACGCCCAACCCCGAATTCCTTGCTGTTGCGCGCGAATACAACCGAACCAAGGAGGTATGTTGCGTTACGGACTTGTGAAGGACGATTAAGGGCTTGTTACTATGGATGATGCAAGGCGTTATGGATGATGCAAGGCGTTATGGATGATGCAAGGCGTTATGGATGATGCAAGGCGTTACGGATGATGCAAGGCGTTATGGATGATGCAAGGCGTTACGGATGATGCAAGGCGTTACGGATGATGCAAGGCGTTACGGATGATGTAAGGTGTTACGGATGATGTAAGGTGTTACGGATGATGTAAGGTGTTACGGATGATGTAAGGTGTTACGGATGATGTAAGGTGTTACGGATGATGTAAGGTGTTATGGATGCGTGGCAACGTGCAGCCTGGCAGGTATGGCATGCACTCTTCTTGAGGGAGCATGAACCCGGAATGGAAGGCAAGTGGAGCGAGTTGAATGAAAGCAGGTGGGAGTGGTTGTGACGTTCCGCCCTTTGGATCTGCTGTTTTTGCTGGCAGCTAGTACATGTGGCCATCCAAGGTGTATGCATGTGAACGGCTGACATCAGCCATGCGCATGTATGGCACTTGTGTTCACATGCATGTGACACATGTTCTGCATGCCGTCTGCATGTCGGCAATGCCAAATGTATTTACAAGTGCCACATATTAGTAGGCGCATTCAACCGATTGCACTATCCCACACCTCACAAATATTTTTCGCACCTGCATGTGGCACCAACATCCCACCTCCCCCTGTGCCACAGGAAATCGAGCGGCTCTCCGGCGCATTCTCTCGGCTGAAGCACCATGAGAGCGTGTCAGCACACCGATCCTCCCATGCCGCCCGCATGCACTCTGACTTCTGACTCGCCTCCACCATCACAGCCTTGTCAAGCCTCGGCTTGAGGTAGAAGCTTAGTAGCCTCCCTCAGTGGTCTCTTTGATATCGTACTCTATTGTTTCAGTCGGATGTAGTGTAATGCTGTGGTGTGGTCTTTCTTCCAAACAGGCAAAACCAATCAAAGTCATTGGATAAGATGGAGAATCAGTCATTGTGTGCAGTTCAATGATGCACTGCAGTGTAGCTTAGTCATCGTTCGATGCTAAGGCGGAAGCGCATGGCGGTAATGTTCGAAATCATCTTCGAACCTGGTCTAACTAGCGAGGGTGACGGATCCGAATTCGAAGTGTATTGTATTACGGAGTGTACACCAACCAGAGGGAGAATTTGCGAATTTACCTAGCGACATTCGCGACAAACAAGATTAAAACCCGTGGGCCAAGAAACCACCAAAATCGAGTGAAATATGACGGGGTGACAAACTGGTCCGCTATGGGCACACATAGCGTTACAAACCGACTGTTGCGGACCAGCTCAGATGGGACACGCTGTGAGAGGAACGCCCTAACTGCAAGACAAATGCAATACCTGGAAGGCGCGACAGCGACTGCATTTCAAAAGTACGGCTACAGTCGATGCCCAACCCATGCACGCGAAATTGCCTTGTACGTTCCAGAAACCTTGCACCCGTGGGTTTCTTGCCGCGAAGTTGCACCTACGTTACAAGCACGTCGACCAATAAGAGCCACAGAAACGGAAGTCTGACTGATGAGACTGCAGTCAAACAGTCAACGGTGAGTTACAAAATTTTTATATAAGCCCTTTTTGCCCGAAGCGAATTGACGAAACCACCGCGAAATGCAGAATCACTTATACGCACATGGGGTAGGCCAAAGTTGGGGGGCTCAACCGGGCATCATGTGTACTCGTTTCAAGAGCGGAAGTCAGCAACCTCGGTGACACAGAATTCGCAATTAGGCTATCTTCATGAACGAATGTGATAAGGGTTTGACCTGCCTTAGGTACCACAATGTGAGCTCGCCATATTTTATCGTCAGAACTCGTTCGATTCGCACTCTTCAACTAGCGTAGCGGATTTGTGGCGGAAGCAGCCGTGATGCGCGGGAGAGGTGATGCCGCGGAAAGTGGGGAGGAGGGTTGTGACGTGGAGACCGCGAATGGCGTTGTAACGGGTGGTTCTGGTAACAAGGGTTTCGAGAACATCGTTAAACGAGACCCACGGACTCTTCTTGAGAAGCTTGACACGCCCACGTTGGTACGCGTTATAAAGCATCTTTAACACATTACCGACTTGTAGTAGGTTTTCTCTACTGGCTCATTCGTATGAAAACGTTCACCGCCTATCCTTTTGGATAGAAGGTTGGTGTTTGCTTCATCCTCCGTCCCGACCAATCAGGTGGCGCCAGAGCTCGCGCTTGGCCCTAAGAACCGGCTAGATCCGTACCTCACGGCGCTCGATAAGCTATCGGACGCGCTGCGGTTCTTCGAGGCGCACAGCTATCTGGGCAGCTGCCGCACCGAGCTGCGGCAGGGGAGGGGATTGATGGACGATGCGGTGGGGCGACTGAAGGAGGAGTTCGGAGAGGTGCTTTCCGGTGCAAGGTGGGCTAGGGCAGGTGTTCGCTTGTTAGTGCTGCCCATTCCCTCCTCATTCCATCCTCATTCCCCCCAGCCTTCCGTCCACTCTCCTTCCCCCTTCCTTCCCTCTCGTTACCCCCTCCTTACTCTCTCCTTCCCCCTCGCGTCCCCCCGTTCTGCCTCTCTCAACTCTCCTTCCCCATCTCCCCCCCCTTCGTCCCGCCCTCCCTCCAATCGCCTTCCCCATCCCTCCCCTCTCGTTCCGCCTCCGCCCTCCCTCCACTCCCCCTCCCACTCTCTCCCCACTCCGTCCCCAATCCATCCGTCCCCCACCTCAACTTCACCCAATCGCAACCCCACCTCACCCCACCCACCGCACCCACCATCGTTCTGCCTGGCGTGCCGTGCAGCCTGGTACCGGATCGCAAGGCGCTCGTCCAATCCGCCGCCTGCATGAAGCCAGGCGAGACGGTGCCGCCCGTGCCTCTGGTTCGGCCCGAGGCTGTGAAGCCGCTTCGGGCCATGGCAGCGTGGATGGTGGGCAATGACTACGAGGCAGCGTGTCTGCGAGTGTACGAGTGAGTCGTGTGTGCTTATCCTTATCATTGCTCCACCATGTGCACCGCATCCACCATGTGCACCGCATCCACCATGTGCACCGCATCCACCATGTGCACGCATCCACCATGTGCACGCATCCACCATGTGCACCGCATCCACCATGTGCACGCATCCACCATGTGCACGCATCCACCATGTGCACCGCATCCACCATGTGCACCGCATCCACCATGTGCACAGCATCCACCATGTGCATAGCATTCACCATGTGCACCGCATCCACCATGTGCACCGCATCCACCATGTGCACAGCATCCACCATGTGCACCGCATCCACCATGTGCACAGCATCCACCATGTGCACAGCATTCACCATGTGCACCGCATCCACCCCTCAATGCACCGCATCCACCCCTCAATGCACATCGTATGCTTAGCCTAGCCATCTCGTCTCGGGGTCTTGTATGTCAAGGCTCGTGTCATTCCCGTCCCTCGTCCCCCATCAAATCAACACCTTTGAATCTCCATCCGCTCAAAACCCCTTCCCCCTCTCCTCCCCGCACACGCACTTCCCCACACCCACTTCCCCGTTCAATTCACCCGGCCTCTCTGCCCATTGCCGTGAGCAGGGAGCAGCGGGCGTTAGCGGTGCTGCGGTGTTTGGAGCGGTTGGGCAGTGCGGCGCTGACGCTCGACCAGGTGGTGGCGTTGCCGTGGAACGAGCTCGAGCCCCTCATGAAGCTATGGGTTGAAAACCTCAAACTCACGGTAACGACGGATGGAGAACCTCAAGCCAACGGTAACGAGGGGTGGAGAACTTGAAGCTCGCAGTAAGGAGGGGTGTAGTAGACATGCGCAGTGAATCAATCGCAGGCTGGCCCACCGTGTAGGCAGGTTAACTCCAGCTTTTCTTGAGGCGCCTCAGGCCTGGCCTCCGTTCCGAGGGGGCTTGCACCCTGCACATTCGCTTCTCCCCCTCTCCTGCTTCTCCCCCTCTCCTGCTTCTCCCCCTCTCCTGCTTCTCCCCCTCTCCTGCTTCTCCCCCTCTCCTGCTTCTCCCCCTCTCCTGCTTCTCCCGCGTAACTCCTCCCATTCCACTCCTCTTCCCGCTGGTCGTTGCCCGACGACTGCGCCGCTGCCAGCTGCACGCCTTGGACTTGATGCCTCGCCTACTGTTGACAAGCTTCAAGCCGCAGCCCTCCTCTGCGTGTGTGCAGATGCTGGTGCTCATCGCAGCAGAGGAGGCGCTGTGCTCCGACATCATTGGGCCCGTCCCCTCCCCCTCCCCGTCGGCGCGCGCGCGGTGTGTGACGGGAGTGGCGGTGCGGGCGTTGAAGCAGCTGCACGCGTTTGGCGACATCATTGCCGACATGCCGCGCGCCCCCGAGCACGTCTTCTCGCTGCTCGAAATGCTCGAGGCGCTGCTGCACCTGCGCCCTGCTGTCAGCCACTCACTCACTCTCTCCTGCCTGCTCTCAACTGCACCACCACTGGCTTGCGTGCTGCAATGCCTCCCGCCTCCCCGCTCCGCCCCACACCTTGGAGTATTACTGGACTCGGCCCGTCCCTGTGTCCAACCAACCATCCCAACCTAACACCTCTGGTTCAATGCAGTCATGGGTGAACGGAACGTCACTCATACACCATACACGACAGCAAGCCAGCCGTGTGTTTGCATGCCGTCCATCCTTCTTCTGTACCCTTGCATTGCACTGTCCCTTGCATTGCACTGCCCCTTGCCTCTCGCCCCACCTCCTCGTCCCCCCACTCCTCCTCCCCAACCCCTTTTCCGGCAGGTGGAGAAGCAGTTTCCCGGGGAGGCGGGTGGGGAGGTGCGGCAGCATCTGGCGGGCATCTGTGCGGCGCTGTGTCGCACGGTGAGGGGCACCATGGCTGACTTCCACCACATCGTGCTGCACGACCCCACCCCGCCCCCCCACGTCAACGTCAACGTCACCCCCTCCCTGCCCCCCTCCTCCTCCACCTCCTCCTCCTCCTCAGCCCCCTTCCCCCCTCCTCCTCCTTTGGTTTCAACCGCTGGCCAGGAGGGGGGCGAGGAGAGGAAGGGGGAGGAGGACGGAGAAGGGGGATGGGGGAGTCATGGGGAGGAGGATTCGGACTCGAGCCACAGATCGGATTCCAGCCATCGATCTCACCACGGCGGCGGTGGATCGCACAATCGGACGGTCAGCGGCAGCGCGCCGAGCGGGAGGGGCATTTTGGGGGGCCTGCTGCCGAAGAAGGCTAGCAAGGGGCACGAGGAGGGCAAGGGCGAGGCACGGGGGAAGATGAGGGGGGAGGGCAAGGCGGAGGGCAAGGAGGGTGGGGGGTTGGCGGGGCAGGAGGTGGTTGTGAGAGGCAGTCCGGACGTGTCCCCGCTGACCAGCTACGTGGTGAACTTCATCCTGCTCTACTTCGACCAGTGCGTGCCCCCTCCCCCTTGTGATTCCATGTGATGTGATGTGATGTGATGTGATGTGATGTGATGTGATGTGATGTGATGTGATGTGATGTGATGTGATGTGATGTGATGTGATGTCATATCATATGATGTCATGCCATTTCATGTCATATGATGTCATGTGTAACGATTCCCTGTACTCGGAGGTGTTGAGTAAACACATTCCACGCTTTGAGGTAATGTGTAAATACACTTTACACCCCGTGCATCAGCTTGAGGTGGCCAGCTGCGTGGTCAAATCATAACGTTGACCTAAGGATCATGCCGTTGTGTTCTGCCAAAGGTGCCTCCCATGAGGCCGCTCACCCCACTACTCTTCCCTTCTTTCCCACCGTTCCCTTTCCCTCCCCTCCGCTCCCCTCACCCCTCCCCGCACGCCGCTGTGACCCGACCTGTGTGTGTGCCGGTGTGCACAGGACGCTGTACCTGGGCACGCTGCTGCTGGTGTACGACGAGGCCGGCGACCACCACGAGGGCGCCGTGCGCGTGGGCACCGCCACGCGGCAGCTGCTGGCGGCGCTCAAGGCAAACCTAGAGCGCAAGGGAGACGCGTTCCATGATGAGGCCATGCGCTCCGTGTTTCTCATGAACAACTGCGAGTACATCCAGCGCAAGGTGGAGGAGTGAGTCGCTCCCTTCCCGTCGCTTTTTTATTTGCATCTGCTGTTGTGTTGCTGTTGTTCCTGTTAGACTATCATCACTCTTGGTGGTAATAGTTGCTGTAGTACGCGTATGGAACAGGTGTGGTGGTTTTATGGGCATGTGATTGCTTACCCAGCTGAAATGATGCTGTGTGCATGTGATGTGATGTGATGTGATGTGATGTGATGTGATGTGATGTGATGTGATGTGATGTGATGTGATGTGATGTGATGTGATGTGCATGCGCATGGCAGGCAGCATGTGAAGATGATCCTTGGGCGGGCATGGGTGGATGAAAACGCTAAGGACCTCGAGAGGCACCGAGACGTCTACATTCGATGTATTGTGAATAAGGTGAGGTGGCTGCATGTTAGGTACCATATGAAAGGTGGGAACACAGCAAATGAATAAAAACTCCTGTATCAGGTTGGCAGGAGGGCTCCCATATCATCGAGTGGGCTTGCAAGCTCAGATCCAAGGTTGCAAGCTCAGATAAAGGTTGCAGTCCTACTTTCTCTGCTGCGCTGCGCACCAACAATCTGCATCCTTGTGAATCTCGTAGCTTCCTTGCTGAACGAGAGCCTTTGAAGAATGATAATCTCATACAGCCATACAACCACTCGTCGTGCCCCCAAGCAACACCCCAGTCAGATGGCGACCACTTGATTGGATCATCGAGGGGACGTGCACGCCTTTTGAAGCAAGGCCCGGGCCCTCCTCCTCTCCCTGCCGACTGACTTCTAGTCTCCAGATGCGCTTTGAGAGTTCTCACAGCACACACCACCAAATACCCATGTTCGTCCCGCCACCACCCGACCCGTCAGGTGGGCGCCATGCTGTCGGACCACCGGGGCGACGTGGCAGCGTTCACGAAGCGAGTGCAGGCGCTGCATGCGCTGCTGGAGGGCGTGCAGGCGCAGCAGAGCGGGTGGAGCATTGGGAATGCCGACCTGCGCGCGTTCGTGCGCGGGGAGGTGGCCTCGCAGGTGCTGCTGCGATACTCCGACTTCCTCGACCGCCACAGGTGCATTTCATGCCACTCCCGCTCCCGCTCCCACTCCCACTCCCACTCCCACTCCCACTCCCACTCCCACTCCCACTCCCACTCCCACTCCCACTCCCACTCCCACTCCCACTCCCACTCCCACTCCCACTCCCACTCCCACTCCCACTCCCACTCCCACTCCCACTCCCACTCCCACTCCCACTCCCACTCCCACTCCCTTCCCGTGTTGCTGTGCGCTCGAGGGCACTCCCAGTCCCGTGTTGCAGTGCTGTTGAGGCGACGGAGGCCGCGTGTTGAGGGATGTGGTGGAGGTGGGGTAGTGAGGCGTGTGGGGAGTAAGGGAGGGAGAAGCAGCAAGAAGGGGAGGCAGTGGGGAATCAAGAGGGATGAGGTTGGAAGAAATTGAGGTGAAGGGGTGCAAGAGAAGAGTGTGTTCCTTGATGGGATGGAAGAAAACGGTGGGTTTTTCTGTAGCCACTCGCGACATACATGCCACATGCATGCCACATGCCACATGCATGCCACATACATGCCACATGCATGCCACACACATGTCGACACTCACACCACACACATGCCTTATGCCACTCGGGGTTCCATCTCACAGCATGTGGCTGCTTCCGTGTGTCTTGGCATGACGCGTTGGTTCGGCTCGATGTGGCCTGGCATGGCAGGTCTATAGTGGAGAGCCGAGCGTGCAAGGTGCGAGTGCTGACACGGCAGGAGATGCACGCGTGGGTGACGGAGATATTTGACATGAAGAAGCATGCATGAGGTGTGCCATGCCTTAGGGAGCGTGATGGAAACACCAGAGGAAGGTGTCTTAGTGCTGTAACATAACATCCTAGCATCAGATAGGCTACAGGGTGGAATGAGTCAATGTTCATTGTCCTGCCTGCATTGTGTTCTAAAGCAGGTGTTTCAATATGCTGAAGTAGGTATCAATACTTCCAGGCCTGAGAAATTGATTACTAAGTACATCATTTGACTCAGGTAGGGGCAAATACTGTTAAACTGTATTATGCTTGTAGGCTGTAGTGGGGTAGCCAATATGGGGTACAACCCCAACTAGGGTTTCATATTTGTACCCAATCTTCTGCTAGTTCATTCATTCTTGCCTAGTTATTCTGAAATGGTATTCAGAGCAGGAGGTCCCTAGGACCTACCGACCGTTTTTTTTTTAAGGGCCCACCACCGCTCGCATGCGGTTACCACGCTACCCCGTGCCCTAGCCTCGTAGCGCCCTCGTGCGCCCTCGTTAGCGCCCTCGCGCGCCCCTCGTTAGCGCCCTCGCGCGCCCCTCGTTAGCGCCCTCGCGCACCCTCGTTAGCGCCCTCGCGCGCCCCTCGTTAGCGCCCTCGCGCGCCCCTTGCTAGCGCCCTCGCGCGCCCCTCGCTAGCGCCCTCGCGCGCCCCTCGCAGCGTCGCCCGCACGCCGAGCCGCCCGCCCGCCGAGCCGCCCGCTCGCAGCGTCGCCCGCCCGCCACGCTGCCCGCTCGCCCCTCGCCCGCCGCGCTGCCTGCTCGCAGCGTCGCCCGCTCGCCCCGCTGCCCGCTTCGCAGCCCGCTCGCCCCGCTGCCCGCTTCGCAGCCCGCCCGCCCGCTCGCTGCCCGCTTCGCAGCCCGCCCGCCCGCTCGCTGCCCGCTTCGCGGCCCGCCCGCTTCGCTGCCCGCTCGCAGCGCCGCCCGCCCGCCCGCTACCTGCTTCGCAGCGTCGCCCGCCCGCTTGCTGCCCGCTCGCAGCGTCGCCCGCCCGCCCGCTGCCCGCTTCGCAGCGTCGCCCGCTCGCTCGCTGCCCGCTCGCAGCGTCGCCCGCCCGCCCGCTGCCCGCTCGCAGCGTCGCCCTCCCGCCTCGCTGCCCGCTTGCAGCGTCGCCCGCCCGCCCGCTGCCCGCTTGCAGCGTCGCCCGCCCGCCCGCTGCCCGCTTCGCAGCCGCCCGCCGCGCTGCCCGCTCGCCGCGTCGCCCGCCCGCCCCGCTGCCCGCTTCGCAGCCCGCCCGCCGCACTTCCCGCCTGCAGCGCCGCCCGCCTCGCCTGCTGCTCCCTGCCTGTGCACCGCCGCTTGCTCCTGCTGTGGCTGCTAGCTTCGCTCTAGCGCGTCCCCTCTGCTGCTGCCGCTGCTCTGCTGTGCCCTCACGCCTGAGCTATGGCCTCTATTCGCGTTCTTTCCTTCGATGCTGAGGGCCGTCCCGTGCAGTTCACTTCCTGGCTCGACGACCTGCAGTTGTATCTTATGAGCAATAGCACGGACCACATCTCCCTCTATGACTACGCGTCTGGTGCTGCCGCTGCTCCTGCTGCCACAGCCGAGCTTAGTGTACGTTCACAGTGGCAGACTCGTGACGCTGCAGCTCGCCTGGCTATTCGCAGTCACCTGCCGTTAGCTGAGCTAGAGCACTTTGGCGACTGCAAAACCGCTAAAGCCCTATACGACGCTGTCGTTGCTCGCTACTCCTCACCTGCCACAGCCGAGCTTAGCCGTCTCATGCTGCCTTACCTGTTCCCTGACCTGTCCACCTTTGCTACAGTCGCCGATCTTATCACCCACCTTCGCACTAGTGATGCTCGCCTGCGTGCCGCCCTTCCCACCGAGTTCTGCGCTAAGAACCCCCCTCCCCTGTACTGGGCACTCCACTTCATAGTCACCCGTCTCCCTGACACCCTCAGCTCAGTGCGCGACTATTTCCTTGCTCGCTGTCCCACTGAGCTCACTGTCGCCCTCCTAGAGGAGAAGCTGCTAGCAGCCGAGAAGAGCATTGTAGCTGTTGGTGCTGCTCGCGGCGCTCCTCGCACCCCCATCTTTGAGGGGTGCTCTCCCTCTCCCCTCGCTCCCTCCTATGCTACTGCTGCTGCTGTTGACTTCCTTGGTGCTGAGTCTGCTGGCGCTGCTTCTGCTCCTGGTGGGAGGCGCCGCACCGGCAAGGGCAAGGGGGGCAAGGGTGGCGGGGGTGGCGCTGGGGGGGGAGGGGGTGGGGGAGGTGGGGGGGGAGGCGGTGCTGGAGGGAGCGGTGGCGGGAGTGCCGGTGGGAGTGGGGCCGGCGGCGGAGGCGGGGGCGGCGGCGGGAGCAGTGGCGGTGGTGGCAGCGGCGGCAGTGGCGGCGGTGGCGGTGGCGGTGGCGGTGGCGGTGGCGGTGGTGGCGGTCGGAGCGGAGGTAGTGGCGGCGGTGGAGGTCGGAGTGGAGGCACCGGCTCGGGCCAGAGCTCCCAGCAGCAGCAGCGTCCCCAGTCGACCCAGCAGCTTCGTGAGTGGCTTGCTCAGCGTGGGACGTCGGGGGGCAGTGGCCGCTGTTCCTATGTCATTCGCACAGGTGATCGCAAGGGGCAGACGTGTGGAAAGTTCCACACTCAGTACCGCTGCTTCTTCCGCCTTGACGACGCTTGGCGTGAGGAGATGGGCGAGGATGTTGAGCGCCCTCGCTGGGCTGAGCTGATGAGGGCTGGTGTTGATATCTTTGCTCTTGACTATGATGCTATTATTGCTGCCATGTATGCATTGACTGTTAGTGCCGAGGGAGACTGTTACTTGTGTGTGCCGCCTGACCCAGGTATAGGGCCCGCTGCCCTAGGTACTAGTGAGTCTGCTCTCTCTGGTATGGTGCCCCCTGTACCTGCTCCCTCCAGCACTGTCCCTGCTGCTTGCGAGTCTGCTCTCTCAGGTACAGCACCCACAGAGACTGCTCTCTCAGGTACTGCACCGGCTGAGACCTGTCACACCTTCACCCTTGACTCAGGTGCTTCCCGCTGCTTCTTTCGAGACAGTACTGAGCTCACACCGCTTCCTGCACCGGTCCCAGTCTCCTTGGCTGACCCCTCTGGGGGCCCAGTCCTTGCCCAGTCCACCACTGTGCTCCCTTGTCCGGCGGTTCCGTCTGGCTCGTTGACGGGTTTCCACCTCCCCTCGTTCTCGACGAACCTGGTGAGCAACGCTGTCATCCAGGATCAGTGGGTTGACACCTTTACCCCTGGAGGACAGCGTGTGGCGATCTGCACGTGCTCCAGGACCGGCCGTCACCTGGCTACGTTTACTCGTCGGCCGGGGTCGAGTCTCTACACACTGACCACTGCGTCTCCTCAGGTCGCTGCTGTCGGTCAGGTGTCCGCGTCAGGTCTGGTGGCCCACGCCTGTGAGTGTCGTTCCCTGTCGCACCAGACTCTTCTCTGGCACCACCGCCTGGGCCACCCCTCCTTGCCACGCCTCCGTGGCATGCACCGTCGCCGCCTTGTGTCTGGTCTTCCCAGGTCCCTCCCTCCTCTCCCTTCCTCGCCTGCGCCACCTTGCCTTCCTTGCGTCGAGGGGCGGCAGCGCGCCGCTCCTCACTCCTCCTCGTTCCCCCCGACAGAGGCTCCTCTGCAGACGCTCCACCTGGACGTGTGGGGCCCAGCCCGCGTTCGTGGCCAGGGCGGTGAGCGGTACTTTTTGCTGGTTGTCGACGACTACTCGCGTTACACCACGGTCTTCCCCTTGCGCACCAAGGGTGAGGTCCCTGCTGTTCTGATCCCTTGGATCCGCACAGTTCGTCTCCAGCTCCGCCGCCGTTTCCGGACGGATCTTCCTGTCCTGCGTCTGCACTCTGACAGAGGTGGTGAGTTTTCCTCCGACCTCTTGAGGACCTTCTGTCAGGCGGAGGGCATCGAGCAGACCTTCACGCTTCCGGACTCCCCACAGCAGAATGGGGTTGCTGAGCGCCGCATTGGCCTGGTCATGGAGGTCGCTCGTACCTCCTTGGTCCACGCGGCGGCTCCCCATTTTCTGTGGCCGTTTGCGGTACGGTACGCCGCGCATCAGCTCAACCTCTGGCCCCGTGTCTCCTTGCCGGAGACCTCGCCCACACTGCGTTGGACGGGGGAGGTTGGCGATGCGTCGCGCTTCCGGGTGTGGGGTGCTCGTGCCCTTGTCCGCGATACGTCCGCGGACAAGCTCTCCTCCCGCACGCTTCCCTGTGTCTTCCTTGGCTTTGTCCCTGACGCGCCGGGCTGGCAGTTTTACCACCCCACCTCGCGCCGGGTCTTCGCCTCTCAGGACGTCACCTTTGACGAGTCGGTCCCTTTTTACCGTCTCTTCCCCTACCGTACTGCCCCCCTCCCTCCCCCGCCGCTTTTCCTTGCTCCTGGTCCCCCTCCGGTAGACCCCCTTCCCCCTCAGGGTCCTGCTCCTTCAGGTGTCTCTCAGGTAGACCCTCCTCCCGTCGCTGAGCCTGTCGAGGTCACAGGTGACTCAGGTGCTGCTGCAGGTGGTGCTGCTGGGAGTGCTGAGCCTGCGGGTGCTGGGCCTGGGAGTGCTGGGACTACGGGTGCTGGAGCTGAGGGTACTGTGCCTGAGAGTTCGGCGCCTGGGGGTGCTGAGCCTGGGGGTGCTGCGACTGGGGGTGCTGAGCCGGCGTGTGCGGAGTCTGGGGGTGCTGAGTCTGGGGGTGCTGCGCCTGCGGGTACTGAGCCTGGGGGTGCTGCTACTGAGCCTACGGAGCCTCGGGTTGCTGCGTCTGGGGGTGCTCCGGTTCGGGGTGCTGAGCAGTCTCTCACACCACAGCAGCTTCGTGACTGGTACGTCCGGCGCTTTCGCCGTCCTAGTGGCTCGGCTGGAGCTGGGGGTACTGGAGCTGCCGGGACTGGTTGTTCTGGGAGCACTACGACTGGAGCTGCTGGAGCTGGGGACTCTGGAGCTGGCGGCGCTAGCGGAGTTGTAGCTGCCGACTCTGGGGGTGCTCTTCCTTGCGGTGCTGCGGACCCTGGGGGTGGTGCTGCTGCTGGTGCTGCGGACCCACCTGGTGGAGCTGCTGCTGGAGCTGCGGACCCGAGCGGTGGCGCTGCTGCTGGTGCTGGGGACCCGGACGCTGGAGTCTCTTCTGCTTCTGGAGACGCTGCGCGGCCGCGGCCGTACTTCGTACCGCTCCTTCAGCAGGTTCTTGGGCAGGCTCCTCCTCCTTGTCCTCCTCCCTCCGTAGAGTGTCCTCCGACTGTCCAGCCGCAGTCACAGTTACCGCCTGCCTCGCCTCTCCCTGCTCCCTCTCCTTACACTGGTCCCACAGGAGGTCTTACAGAGCGTCGTGAGCCTGAGTCTCGTCCTGCGTCGCCTGTCCGTACTGCTCGCACTGGTCGTCGTGTCCGTCGTGAGCGTCCTCCTCCTGTCCCAGGCACTCACTACATGACTCTGCGTCCCTCTACTGCTCCTCAGCGTGTCCCTCTGCCGTCTCCTCCTGCGTCCTCTTTGCCTGACGTTTCGGACCCTGAGTCTGACCGGTATCGTGCTGAGCACCCTACTGTCACGCGTCTCCTCGCCACCGTTGTCACTGACCCTACCTTTGAGTCCTCGGCTGCGTCTGCTCTGGTCGCTGAGTTGGTTGACTTTGCTGCTGCCTGTCGTCTAGACTACGCTGCTCGCCTTGTTGCTGGGTCTGAGTCTGCGTCTGTCTGTCCTCCGTCCGTCGGGGGTGAGTGTGCTCTTGGCACGGACGTCCTTGAGGACAGGCAGGAGGACTTTGACTCTCTCGCGGCTGCTGTACCTCATCTCGTGGCCTGGTTGCTTGCCCCTGAGGGAGACCCGGATGCACTAGACATCCCCACTCCGCGCACTTACGCAGAGGCGATCTCGGGTCCCTACTCCTCTCAGTGGCAGACAGCCATGGACGCAGAGATGGCATCCTGGAAGTCCACAGGCACCTACGTCGACGAGGTTCCCCCTCCTGGGGCGAACATCGTCGATGGCATGTGGATTTTCAGGGTGAAGCGGCCGCCAGGTTCTCCGCCTGTCTTCAAGGCTCGTTACGTTGCTAGAGGCTTCAGTCAGCGTCAGGGGGTCGACTTCTTCCAGACCTTCTCCCCCACCCCGAAGATGACCACTCTTCGGGTTCTGCTGCACGTTGCTGCTCAGCGTGACTACGAGCTTCACTCTCTTGACTTCAGCACAGCGTTCCTGCAGGGCAGCCTGCACGAGGAGATCTGGCTGCGCCGCCCACCTGGCTTTACTGGGTCGTTTCCTCCTGGTACCCAGTGGAGCCTCCGCCGGCCAGTCTACGGTCTCCGCCAGGCGCCACGCGAGTGGCACGACACACTGAGGACTACACTTGCGGCTCTTGGGTTCGCGCCGTCTACTGCTGACCCGTCGCTGTTTCTGCGTACAGACTCGTCGCTGCCGCCGTTCTACATTCTCGTGTACGTCGACGACTTGGTCTTTGCTACTGCTGACACTGAGGCACTCGCTCGTGTGAAGTCGGAGCTGCAGAAGAGACACACCTGCACTGACCTGGGTGAGCTGCGTAGCTACCTTGGCTTGCAGTGTCGAAATAGTAGGTATAGTAAGAGGCCATAGCTAGGGATGACCTAGCTAGGCAAGGGAGAATGAAGCAAAGGAAGGGGTTTGCACTAGCAAGGATGGGATACAAATAGCAAACCCTAGAAGGGTTGTACTCGCTATAGAGCACCCCACTGCAGGCTAGAGCATAATATTATGACACACCCCCATAGCCAAAGTGGGGTGTAATCAGCAGAACAAGCAAGCAGTACAAGCTCAGGGTGGATCACAATGTCACCACACATTCTGAGCACAAGTTCAAAAGGCAATAGTTTAAAGTTCACAATAATGGGTAAAGCTAAAGCTGTCACAGAGGGCAAGCGAGGAGGAGGAGGGCTGGCGAGAGGAGAGAAGAGTGGAGACGACGACTGAAGCTGCAGACACACGGGCAACAGACGGCACTGGTGCAACTCTAGTGGCTACCGGACGCAGAGCCCCGGAATACAGGGGTAATATCCGCTGCAGAGGGTGCAGCGGACCCACGGGCGACAGGTGCAGCCGGCTCTCTGAGCTACCGGAGGTCCGCGGAACCCCGGAATACAGGTGCTGCGAACGACACGACGGCAACCTCCGCTCAACCTCCTCCAACTGCCCCACACACCCCCCACACACCCACTGCTGAAACCCTAGCTCCATTCCCACGGCACCCCCCTTAAACCCCAAACCCTAGGCTCCCACACACCACCCCCCTCAGCGGCAGCTGTAGCAGAGGGAGACTAGGGAGGAGGAGGAGGAGCAGGGAACGGCACGCAGTGTCTTCACCCCCATACCCCTCACCCCCAAACCCTAATTCAGGAGAACGGGCTGTAGGAGGGGTGGGGCGCCAGTAGAAGCACGGGGGACAGTGGGGAGGGCAGGGGCAGCGAGGAACGGGCCGCCCACGGGCCTGGCACAGCCGCCCGAACCGCGCGCAGGCGGCCCGAGCCGCGCGCGGGCCTGGCGCTTCCCGTACGGGCCGCGCGCGGGCCTGGCGCAGCCCGTACGGGCCGCGCGCGGGCCTGGCGCAGCCCGTACGGGCCGCGCGCAGGCCTGGCGCAGCCCGTACGGGCCGCGCGCAGGCCTGGCGCAGCCCGTACGGGCCGCGCGCCGGCTGTACGGGCCGCGCGCAGGCCACGACGGGCGACGGGAGGCGAGTCGACGGTGGGGGGGTGCGCGCGGGTCCCCGGAGGCGACGCGAGGGTCGACGGGGGCGACGCGACGTGCAGGGTGGGGGCCGCGAGTGCTCCCCAGGGCGCCGCGACGGACGGGCGGGGTGCGCGCGGGCTCCCCCACGGCTGGAAACCGCCGCGCGCCTCGGCGCGCACGGCGGGCAGGGAACCGCCGCGCGCCCCGAGCGCGCGGCGGGATGAAAAATTGAAGGCCGCGCGCCACGGGGCGCGCGGCACAGAGTAGGGCAGCGGAAGCAGTAGTGGGGCCCACAGGCCAAGAGCGTAACCGCTCTGATACCATGTCGAAATAGTAGGTATAGTAAGAGGCCATAGCTAGGGATGACCTAGCTAGGCAAGGGAGAATGAAGCAAAGGAAGGGGTTTGCACTAGCAAGGATGGGATACAAATAGCAAACCCTAGAAGGGTTGTACTCGCTATAGAGCACCCCACTGCAGGCTAGAGCATAATATTCTGACATGCAGATCACCCGGGACAGAGCTCGCCGCACCATCACCCTGACTCAGTCACACATGGTGCAGCAGGTCCTTCAGCGCTTCGGCTTCCAGTTCTCCTCACCACAGGCCACACCTCTGGCTACCAGCCACTCGCTCTCAGCTCCACCTCCGGACGAGTCCGTAGAGCCGAGTGGCCCGTACCTAGAGCTTGTGGGCTGCCTCATGTACCTGATGACTTGCACGCGACCTGACCTCGCGTACCCTCTTAGCATCCTTGCTCGTTACGTTGCACCTGGGAGACACAGGCGAGAGCACTGGGAGGCTGCTAAGAGGGTGCTGCGCTACTTGTGCAGTACATCAGGCATGGGGCTGGTGCTTGGAGGACGCGACAGAGTTGTCCTCACTGGCCACTCGGACGCTTCTTGGGTGGACGACCTGGCTACGCAGCGGTCGTCACAGGGTTACACCTTCAGCCTTGGCTCTGGTTCTGTCTCGTGGCGGTCCACCCGCTCTTCCTCTGTTCTCGGCTCTAGTTGTGAGGCTGAGATCTACGCCACAGCCATGGCTGCACAGGAGTTACGCTGGCTCACCTACCTGCTGACTGACTTGGGAGAGCGGCCTAGTTCTCCTCCAGTTCTGTACGGTGACAACAAGGCGGCTCTTGCCTTGTGTCAGGAGCACAGACTGGAGCACAGGACGAAGCACATTGCTCTTCGCTACTTTCTTGCTCGAGAGCTTCAGCAGCGCGGTCAGCTTCGGCTTGTGTACGTGGACTCGAAGGCCAACACTGCTGATATCTTCACCAAGGCGCTCCCGCCTAGTGATCATCAGCGGCACTGTACTTCTTTAGGCCTTGTGTCCACGTTTCCTCACTTGCTCACTGCTTGACATTCTTTGTACTGTACTTTATATATATCTTGTTGCTTGCTTGCTAGGTTTTGATCACTGTGTTGCTTGTCTTGTACTATATCTAGCACTGCATGTGAACTGGCCTTGTGGCCTTTACTTGTGCTCGGAGTGTGGTGACGTTGTGATCCACCCTGGGCTTTGCTTTGCTTTGCTGGACTGGTCTTGTGACCCTTTGTTCTCCCCCACTTTGCCTATGGGGGTGTGTTAAACTGTATTATGTTTGTAGGCTGTAGTGGGGTAGCCAATATGGGGTACAACCCCAACTAGGGTTTCATATTTGTACCCAATCTTCTGCTTGTTGATTCATTCTTGCCTAGTTATTCTGAAAAATACTGCATTCCACCTGTTTACACACAAAATTCCACTTTCAAAAGGATATTCACTAGAATGCAGGGCCTTGTCAAAGTAAGGCTCACAACAAACTGATTTGCAGCTCAGCTCAGCTCAGCTCAGCTCAGGTTTATTGAAGATACCGTATAAGTGAGTAGCTATGCCCTCACTACTGGACGGCAACGGCCACTTTCATGTTCATCCCACAGTGGCCGTACACCTTGCAGCCAAAGTACAGCGTGCTGCCCCTTGCTGTCGCCGGCACTGTGAACCTGAACGGGGAGCCAAGCAGGGCAAGTCAGGCAGAGGGAGGCATCAGAAGTATGGCTAGGATGCTATTTGGAAACAAGTGTGAGGCAAGGCGACACAAGGGAGGCGGACACATGCGTGGTGCTCTGCTCACTTGTACGTCTTGCGAAGGGCCACGTGTGCCTTCTCCTTGGCACCGCTGAAGTCACAGCTCTGGTAGGCAGCAGCGCTGCTCATCTGCCACACGTCGTGGGAACCCGTCCACTTGAACACTGCCATGCACGGCACAAGAGATGCAGGGACATGGTATGCAGGGCGCACAGGTAAGGTAATGTGTGATGCGCGGAAATATTTGGAGTCAATGCAAGACAAGGGAGAGCAATGAGCGGTCATGAAGCAAGGTGGTCAACTTAGGGTAAAACATTAAGGCGAGCAAAGAGCACGAGGGGCATGCAACCAGCAGTGAAGGCACAAGGACCGTGGGGGAATTTCAGCGAGGGGAGGCGCCAGGGTAGTGGCGGCACATGGGACAGGCACGCACCGAGCACGTCGCCTGCTTTAGCGGTGGGTTTGGGCTTCCATCCGCTCACACCGTACGTCCACCCCTTGTTGCCGCCCACCACTATCTCACGCGCCTGTGCTCGTGGTGCAGCATGGATGCACATGGGGGAACATCATGAGACACGAGCATGCTTGCAGGATTCCTGGAGCTGAATTGCACGTATGTGAGCAAGGGCACCGCCTGACCCGTGAACAGAACGCGCCGAGCGCTGAGCAAAGAATGTGCCGAGCAGCATGGGACGAGAGGGACGGAAGCGGGCAAAAAGGCGAAGAAAGAGTGAGCGAGAGGGAGTGGGAGCACGAGTGCAGTAGCAAGTGCGGCGCTGAGACTCGAAAAGGCGCGGGCCGCACGTTAAGGCGTGGAAAGGGAACTCAAGCGGGGCGAGCGAAGGAAGGGCGAAGGCGAGGGGCGAGGGACGTACCTCTACGTGAGTTGCGGCTGAGGAGCAGATGATCCGACGGCAGGGGCGATGATTGGATCGGACGGCAGGGACGACGATGACAGGACGGCAGGGGCGACGGCAGTACACGGCGAGGCGGGCGGGAGGCCACGATGCGATCGGCGGACGCGAGAGAAGCACAGGGCGAGTGGAACGACACGGGTGGGGGCGGGGAAGAGGGAGGGTGGGGGAGGAGATAGGATGACAACGCAGATGCGGATTGAAGCCGAGGTAAGAGGCACGGCACGACACGAGTGTGACGGTGCAAGCGAACTGGAGCAGCGAATTTGAAGAAGCGATTTTGAAACGAGGGCGTGGGGCGTACCGAGTAGGACGAGCAGGCCAGCGGCGACGAGCGCGATTGCGGAGAGCGAGCGAGCCATGGCGACGAGGGGGCGCGCAACGAGATGTTGAGCCTTGGCCGCGCAAGGTGCTGCAGAAGGTCCACTACCAATGAAGCCGCGGCTTCGACGCCTTGAGGCTCTGTCGATTGCGGTCTTCTGAGCGAGACACGAGGCACAGACGCGCCGTGCAGGGAGGACTGGCTGTTTTCTGAGGCTCAGGTTGGTCGAAGGCAGAAGCAAGGCCGTGAGGTGTAAGATGAAGGGCAGGGGCGTGAGCATATGGACGGGTAGGAGATGAGCGGGTTTAAGTACTTGCTCATCATTATTGGAGCTGGTGGTGATGTCGCGATGAAGCTGCGTGTCGCGCGCGCTGGGAGAGCGCAGCGTAGCGCAGACGGCCGCGCATAGCTGAGCTGCGCGGTCAGCGATTATTTGAGGGTGCAGTGCAGTGCACGGGTGGCTCCGTCGCTGCCTTTGGTCTGAACCCTGGACATTTCGTGGTCCGTGCCGCAGGGGTTCAGGGACCCCTGGTTGCAGTGTGATGTAAGGTGGTACCGTATCTTATACACTGGGAAGAATGCTTGGGATTTCTTGTACCGTATCTGTACGATGATGGTAAGCTGCGTTTGTAATGTTGATGGATTCATCTGAAGCACGAGAAATTTCGGTTGTTCCACCTGTCGACCGTGCATTTACAATTTTTCTGCTGTAGTCCTCCTTGTTTCTTGCGTGTACCTTTTTGCGACATTCTCAGAACACGTTACATCTGCCAACTCTAACGATTCCTAAGTTGGTCAGCACATGTTCAAGATTTGATGTGGTTGTGTAGATTCTCCATAGCGCGGACACGGATGCTTGATTTCTTCGGCGGACATCACCCTTGGTGCGGTCGGACGAGCTTGGCGAGTTTCTCGCATTTGAGAAGGCTCGCCCAAACGTGCGGAACCACTCGAATGGCGTCTCGTTTTGAAAACGAGCAGCTAGCAAAGAGCCTGGATCCAGCGTAACAAACGGTTGTCGTCTCGCCACCTTGTAGTGTAGGAAGGCGCGCAGGCCCCCACATGAAGCACGCCTCGCCGACGTAGCCGGCGACGCGGCGGGTGACATAACGGGCGAAGTAGCGAGCAACGTGGCGAGCGACGTAGCGGGCGACGTAGCGGGCGACGTAGCGGGCGACGTAGCGGGCGACGTAGCAGGCGACGTAGCGGGCGACGTAGCGAGGAACGTAACGGGTGACGTAGCTGACGACGCATGAACGATGGGTAACCAGGTGGTGATCGCGAAGGCGGCGGCGGGCGTGGCGTCGGACTACTGGGTGCACGAGCTGCCGCGCGGCGTGGTGCTCAAGGACGTGCTGGCGCCGGGCCGCTTCCTCAAGACGCTCGACTGCTTCCACCACGAGGGCCGCGTCATCGTCAAGGTCTTCCTCAAGCGCGCCGACCTCAACCTCCCGCTGCAGGCCAGTCATCCCCGCGCCCTCCCGCTGCAGGCCAGTCATCCCCGCGCCCTCCCGCTGCAGGCCAGTCATCCCCGCGCCCTCCCGCTGCAGGCCAGTCCTCCCCGCGCCCTCCCGCTGCAGGTCAGTCCTCCCCGCGCCCTCCCGCTGCTGGCTAGTCCTCCCCGCGCCCTCCCGCTGCAGGCCAGTCCTCCCCGCGCCCTCCCGCTGCAGGTCAGTCCTCCCCGCGCCCTCCCGCTGCAGGCCAGTCCTCCCCGCGCCCTCCCGCTGCAGGCCAGTCATCCCCGCGCTCTCCCGCTGCAGGCCAGTCCTCCCCGCGCCCTCCCGCTGCAGGTCAGTCCTCCCCGCGCCCTCCCGCTGCAGGCCAGTCATCCCCGCGCCCTCCCGCTGCAGGCTAGTCCTCCCCGCGCCCTCCCGCTGCAGGCCAGTCCTCCCCGCGCCCTCCCGCTGCAGCTCGTCCTCCCCGCGCCCTGCCGCTGCCAATTCCGCGTTACAGGCGCTATTAAATCTTTCCGTGCCGCAGTTTCGTAAGCTTCCGTCGCAGGCGAGTGAGAGTGAGTGGGTTATGGGGAAGGCAACAGTAGATGAGGGGGAGGGCCTCTGCGCCACGTGCCTCTCGAGGCTAGAGAGCCTTCCCCACCTCACAAGAAGCGCCATCGCCACTGGTCAGGCACGCGGTGCGCTCGCCACGGCTGTTGACAGCGGCAACTGCACGGCCTCCTTATCCCCATCCCATCCCATGCTGCGCCCTCCCATGCGCCCTCCCCTGCGCCCTTATCTGCGCCGTCCGCTGCGACCTTATCTGCGCCCTTACATGCGCCCTTGCACTCTTACCTGTGCCCTCCCCTGCGCGCGCCCGTCCTCCCCCCTCTACCAGGCGTACGAGCAGCAGCTGAAGGTCATTCGCCATCGCCTCTCAGGCATCGACAAGTCGCACGTCTGGCCCTTCCAGGTGCGCCCTGCCCTTCCAGGTGCGTCCTGCCCTTCCAGGTGCGTCCTGCCCCATGCTACACTGCTCCATGCCTTTCCTTTCTCTCCCGCCTCTCCAAACCGTCCTCTCTACATTCTGTCTTTGGCGCCCCTCGTCCTCTTTTCGACCACCCCCTATTTGTTTTCTTCTGATTTATATATCCTAGATTTCATCCTTCCCCACTGTCCCACTATCCCACTGTCCCACTGTCCAACGCCGCTCTCTCTCACCTCTTTCCGCTGCCCTCCCCCCCTCCTCTCGCCCCTCGTCTGGTCCCCCTCCTTCTACCAGAAGTGGTACGAGACAGAGCGAGCGGCGTATCTGGTGAGGCAGTACCTATTCAGCACGCTGCACGACCGCCTGGGCACGCGCCCCTTCCTCGGCCTCACCTTCAAGAAGTGGATCGCCTTTCAGGTGCGCTGCCTTCCAGGTAACCCTGCCTTCCAGGTAACCCTGCCTTCCAGGTAACCCTGCCTTCCAGGTAACCCTGCCTTCCAGGTAACCCTGCCTTCCAGGTAACCCTGCCTTCCAGGTAACCCTGCCTTCCAGGTAACCCTGCCTTCCAGGTAACCCTGCCTTCCAGGTAACCCTGCCTTCCAGGTAACCCTGCCTTCCAGGTAACCCTGCCTTCCAGGTAACCCTGCCTTCCAGGTAACCCTGCCTTCCAGGTAACCCTGCCTTCCAGGTAACCCTGCCTTCCAGGTAACCCTGCCTTCCAGGTAACCCTGCCTTCCAGGTAACCCTGCCTTCCAGGTAACCCTGCCTTCCAGGTAACCCTGCCTTCCAGGTAACCCTGCCTTCCAGGTAACCCTGCCTTCCAGGTAACCCTGCCTTCCAGGTAACCCTGCCTTCCAGGTAACCCTGCCTTCCAGGTAACCCTGCCTTCCAGGTAACCCTGCCTTCCAGGTAACCCTGCCTTCCAGGTAACCCTGCCTTCCAGGTAACCCTGCCTTCCAGGTAACCCTGCCTTCCAGGTAACCCTGCCTTCCAGGTAACCCTGCCTTCCAGGTAACCCTGCCTTCCAGGTAACCCTGCCTTCCAGGTAACCCTGCCTTCCAGGTAACCCTGCCTTCCAGGTAACCCTGCCTTCCAGGTGCGCTGCTCCCGTGCATGTGACCTCGCCTTCCAGGTGCTGCTCTTTCCAGTCATGGAAAGGTAGTTTTGCTGTAGACTGTATTATACAACAAGTATTTGTTTTTCCCGTCATTCATCCGCTCCCTCCCCTCCTTGTCGCCCCGCCTCGCCTCGCTCTCCCCTCGGTGCAGATCCTCAAGGCGTTGGACCAGGCGCACTCACGAGGGGTCTGCCATGGTGCGCCCTCCGCCACCCCCTCCCTCCTCCCTTCCCTGCCCTTTCCCCTCACTCGTCACTACCGCTAATTGCGCTGCCTCTCTGTTCATCCCCCCTTTTTCTCGCTATTCCCCGCCTGTTAGTGCTCCGTTCTCTCATGACGTTCCGCTATCTTTTTTTCCCACCTCTCCTGTCAGTGACACCACTCGTTCCACGCGCCTCACGCCCTCCCACCCACCATCTGCATGCTTGCAAAGCCACCTCCCTCTGATTCACGCATCCACACCTTCCCCTTACGGCACCTACCTCCCCTCGCCACGCACGTCGAACAATGAGCACACAGTGTACGGTGCACGTGATGGCATCACCGTCTGCTTGCTTGCCCTGAATGAACCCCATTTCCATACCAATTTCTCACTCTGACACCCCTCCCCATGCAATCCAAAGTGGAAAAGAAAGAGAACAAATGCCATCCGTAAAGAGAAAGAAGAGAAAGTAAAGGCAAATTGATTCACCCTGCTCCATGCGCCCATCCCATGCTCCTCTATGCAATGCATGGGGGCGGGGCGAGCAGGTGATTTGAAGGCGGACAACGTGTGTGTGACGGCGTGGAACTGGGTGCAGGTGGTGGACTGGGCGCCCTTCAAGCCTGTCCTCATCCCCAGCGACAACCCCGCCATCTTCTCCTTCTTCTTCGATACCGCCCCCTCCGGCCGCCGCCGCTGCTGCATCGCCCCCGAGGTGCGCCGCTCCCGCTGCCCCTCCTGCTGCCACTCACGCTGTCACTCCCGCTGTCACTCCCGCTGCCACTCCCGCTGTCACTCCCGCTGCCACTCCCTCCACCCGCTCTGCTTCCCCTCTTCAACCAAACCCAGGCATGCCCGTTCCCCCTTGCCTCTCCTTCAGTAGATCCCCTGGAAACTACTTGTACACCAACTTAGGATATAAAAAACAAAAGCAAGTACAGACACTAGTCTGTCTCTAGCACACACTCTCGTTCTTTGCTCTCTTATTTCGATCTGCTGCAATGCCGTGTGTATTGCAGCATGGCCACCATGCCCATGCAACACACATGCCGCAGTTGCCTTTGTATCAACATGCTCTCACGTGGAACATTTGGTGCTGCGTGCATGTGTCCTGGTGTGTGTCTATTGATGACATGACGTGGCATGTCATGGACCGGCGTGGCACGGCACGGCATGGCATGGTACGACATATCATGGCATGATCTGACGGCACGGCAGCGGTTTGTGTCGGCGAGTGAGTGGAGGCAGAGGCAGAGCGAAGTGGAGGGCGGGGCGGGGGGAGCACAGCTGCAGCCCGCCATGGACATCTTCTCCGCCGGGTCAGTGCTGCTCTCTCTGTGTGTGTGCATGCTGCTCAGGTGGTGGGAAAGGGGATTGAAACGGTGTGAAGGGATGACAGATGAGATCGTTGCATGCATGCATGTCCTGCGATTCTCACCATGCCATGCCGCACGCACAAGCCTGGTGGAGTCAATCCTTCCCCTTGCCTGTGCCCGCCCTTCCATCGTTCGCCCCTTCTGGGTTGATCCTGTGCCGTGCCGTGCCGTGCCGTGCCGTGCCATGCCGTGCCGTGCCATGCCATGCCATGCCGTGCCGTGCCGTGCCGTGCCGTGCGGTGCTGTGCTGTGCCGTGCCGTGCCGTGCCGTGCCGTGCCGTGCCGTGCCGTGCCGTGCCGTGCCGTGCCGTGCCGTGCCGTGCCGTGCCGTGCCGTGCCGTGCGGTGCTGTGCTGTGCATTGCTGTCACGCTGCCAATCCCGCCTCTATGAACGCTCGCTGCTAACGCCCGCTCCCCTCGCCTCGTGCAACACACTCCCTCTCAAGGGCAAGCATCATTCCTTGACCGCACCTCCCCCAGCGCTACACTAATCTCTCTCCCCGCATGCCCGCGGCAGGTGTGTGATAGCGGAGATGTTTCTGGATGGCGATGTGCTCTTCGACCTCTCCTCGCTGCTCGCCTATGTGCACGGCTCCTACGACCCCCTCCCCCTCATCGATAGGGTATGCGCCACTGCCACCCACCCCCCTCTCAACGGGTGTGTGCCATGGGCCTTGAGGTGGGTATCCACATGTCTCTTATTGCATCCCACCTGCCCCTCTTCTGCACTCCCACCGCTGCTGCTCCTCCATCGCACCGCTTCGCGCATGCTCCTGCCACACACAAAATGCCTCCCATGTGCATACTCACCCCCCTCCCTGTACCCCCCCCTCCCTCCCCCCCCCCCCTCGCCCCCATCCCGTGCCCTTCATTCATTCATAGAGAGCCGTGGTGGCGCGCATGGAGCAGAGGGAGGGAGGGACCCTTGGCGCCGTTTTCCAGCCGCATGTGGCGGCCGGCCGTGCCCGCACTCGCTGCTGCTATCCCACTTCTCTTCTTGCTTCTCTGCGCTGCCTACCCCCATCCCCACACCCGTCCTCATCTCTCCACATTGCAGATCCCGTGCCCATCAGTGCGGGCGCTGGTGGCGCACATGGTGCAGAGGGACCCCTCACAGCGCCTGCCCGCAGCGGCGTACCTGACGGCGTTCAGCGACCCCCAGGGCGCCGCGCTCTTCCCCCAGCCCGCCTTCGACGCGCTGCACGACCAGCTCTTCTGCCTCCTGCCCTCCATGGACGCTGATGGCCGGGTAACATGAGAGAGGGGGGGTAACATGAGAGAGAGGGGGTAACATGAGAGAGAGGGGGTAACATGAGAGAGAGGGGGTAACATGAGAGGGTAACATGAGAGGGTAACATGAGAGGGTAACATGAGAGGGTAACATGAGAGGGTAACATGGGGGGTAATATGGGGGGGTAACATGAGAGGGTAATTTGAGAGGGTAGAATGGGTTGGGGGGGGAGGGGTGGTAACAAGGGGGTTGAGGGTCATGCTGCTGGGGTGGATTGATGGGGTGATGGAAGAGGGGTGGTGGTGTTGGGATGCTCATACTGTTGCTGCTGCTGCGGGTGTTGCCATGCCAACATGGGCAGCAGCAGCTGGGTGGTTGGTGGGCATGAGCTTGAACGACATCCCCACTCAAAGGCATGGGCACGACGTAACTCTTTACACTTCCCTGCGACTCTCTCCTTTGTCCCCATTCCCCACCTACTCCCCATTCCCCAGATCGCCCTCACCCGCCAGCTCTACCCGCGCCTCTCTCGCATCATCGCCTCCACGCTGCACGGGGGTGGAGAGGGGGGTGCGGACGGGGAGGGAGAAGATGAGGGGGCGGGGGAGAAGGGTAGTGCTGGGGAGGCGGAGAGGGGGGAGAGTGGAATGTGGGGAAGCGGGAGTGGGGAGCAGGGAGGCGAGCAGGAGGTCGCAGCGCAAAGGGGCATGGAGGGGAGTGGTGAAACGATGGGGGATGAGGAGGGTGGTCGTTGTGAGCAGGTGACAAGCAGTGCGAGGGCGAATGATCACGGGAGCCTGCAGGACAGCGGCAGCACTGGGTGTGATGGTAGCGCAGGTGACAGCACAGGTGCGGACGGCATGGGTACAGGCGACAGCATGGCAGGTGTTGAGGGAGCGGGGAGAGCTGAGGAAGCTGAGAGAACGGAGAGTGCTACAAAACCAGGGAGAGGCAGCACAGGGGCACGCGGCAGTGCGAGTGAGAGCATGGGGGGCGGGGTGGGCAACAGCGGCAGCGCCATGGTGCTGCTGGTGGGGCTGCTCACTGCCTGCCTGCGCAACGCTCGCCTGCCACACTCACGCCGCCACTGCCTGCTGCTGCTGCACGCCGCAGCGCACCACTGCTCGCACGCTGTCTGCCTGCAGGCCGTCGCCCCCTTCCTGGTGGCCGTGCTGGCCCCGGACGGCCTCACCGCCACGCCGCTGCACGCCCTCGACACGCTGCTGCCCGGCGGGGCTGCCAGCCCCCCTCTGGTGCGGTGCACGGCGCTCACGGTGCTGACGCGGCTGCTGGCGCGCGTGCGGGGCTTCCCGTCCACGGACGCGCGCTTCTTCCCCGAGTACCTCTTCCCCTCGCTCTCGCTGCTCCCCCGCTCGCCCCACGACAGCGTGCGCGCCACGCTCGCCCTCTGCCTGCCCTCCCTCGCTGCCTCCGCACTGCGCTTCCTGCTGCTCGCCGCCGGGAGCACCCGTGCGACCGGGGGAAGCGAGGGGGAGGGCGGGCAAGGGGCGAGTGAGGGAGAGAGGAGAAGCAGCAGTGCAGCGTGGGAGGAGTGGGGTGGTGGGGAGACTGACGGGGACAACGATGACAGCAGCAGCGGCGTACCGGGCTTGGCCCTGGCAACCTCCAGCCTGCCCCCATCCCAGCGGGCCAGCAGCGGCGCCACGCTGACGGCGCTCAAGGCACTGGCAGCGGCAGCGGAGGGGCTGGGAGAGCAGCATGCAGGCGAGCTAGCGGAGGTGAGGGAGGCAATGCGCGTGGCGGTGGAGGAGCTGTCCACGCTGCCCCGCAGCACACCGCCCATCCGCCTCTCCCTGCTGCACCACGCGCCCGCCCTCGCTGTCTTCCTCGGCCCCTCCCTTGCCACCACCGCCCTGCTCCCCCTCCTCATCACCTTCCTCAACGACCCCTCGCCCCGCGTGCGCTCTGCCTTCTTCCACACGCTGCCCGCCCTCTGCCCCCATGTAGCCCCCTCCGCACTGCCAGCCTTCCTCCTGCCGTGCCTCGAGCAAGCCTTGGGGGACACCTCCCACCCGTCCGTGCCTGCCGCTGCTGCGGCGTGTCTGGCCCAGCTCGCACGTTCACAGCGCCTGCAGCAGCGGCGGTGGCTGCTGTCGGCAGCGCGGCATGCAGCGCCGCTGCTCAGGCACCCCGAGGGGGACGTGAGGGGCTCTGCTGTGGCGTTTGCAGCGGCTGCTGCGGGTCAGCTGTCGGCTGTTGACGCCCACGCATTGCTGCTGCCGCTGCTCTCCCCCTCCCTGCGCTATCGCCCTGCACTACTCACCTCCCCCGCCTCCCTTGCTGCTGCGCTCAAGGCGCCCCTGTCAGCCCACCCTGCTGTCCCGCCCCAGCCACCCGTCCCAGCCCAAGCAGGTGTGGTTGCCCAGCAGATGAATGCAGGGCAAGCAGCGCCTGGCTTCCGCGTGCCACATGCACTCCCACCTGCTGCTGGCCGTGCTGCTGCAGGTGCGGGTGTGGGTGTGGGCGAGCATGGCAGCAAGGGAGGAGTTGGTGCAAATGGCGGCGAGGAAGAGCAAGGTGCAGACATGGGAGCAGTGGGCGTGGGGGGAGGAGGCGCAGCAGACATGCAAGTGAAACAGTCGGTGGGTCAGGAGGAGGGGAGGGATGTGGCGATGGGGGCGAGTGGGCGAGCAGCAGCAGTGCAGCACATGGCCTTGTCGACACTCGCACACTCCCTCTCCATGCAATATGCTCTGCCCCCCGCACAGGGCGCAGCAGCAGCAGCAGCGCCATACCCCGCCATGGGTGCCGCGCTGGCCAGCATGCGCACAGACTCGGGGCAGCCCTGGCCGCCCCTCCCCTCCACTGCTCCATGGCCCGCCACCACTCAATGGCCGTCTTCCACCGCTCACTGGCCCTCCACACCCCTCCACACTCCCTCGCATGCCTCTGCATCCCACTCTCTCCTCGTCCCCCCCCTCCCCCCTCTCCACCCCTCCATCTCCCCCTTCCGCCCTGTTCGATTCCCATCCCCTCGCCCCACGTCCTCCCCGCTCTCGCTCTCCTTGTCCTTCCACCGCCCCCCTCCTCCCCTCACCACCCACCCGCCCTCTTCTCTCACCTACTCCACCACTCACCAACCCCTTTCCACACACTCTCTCGCTCCCATACACCTGCCCGTTGCTCCCTCTCTCCCGTCTCTCCCCTCTCCCTCGTCGCACCCCTCGCCCCACTCCCCATCAGCCTCCTTCTCTCTCGCGCCTGCCAGCCCACACGCACAGCCCCACCCAGCCTTGGACCTGCCACCCCTCGCTGTGCCTCTCTACTCCCTGGCCCACCCCGCCCCCGCCCTGCCTGCCTCCGCCTCCACCTCTGCTCTCCCCTCCACCACCCTCTCGCCCCCGTCGCTGCCTCGCCCCCCTTCAGTCCTCTCACCCTCCGCCTCACCCACTGCCCCTCTTGCTGCTGTTGCTCCTCTTGCGGCTGCTGCCAGTGCTGCAGCAGCTGCAGCCTGTGTGGGTGGTGCACAGGGTGCCACGCTAGATGCTCTGCCACCCACACCACCACCTGCTGCTGCTGCTGCTGCTGCTGCTGCTGCTGCTGCTGCTGCTCACACTCCTCCCTCTGCGTCTGCTGTGGCGTCTCTGCCTGCCCACCGTGCCACAGCCAGTCATCCCACTGCTCACGCTGAACCTCCCACCAGGTCTAGTGTTGCAGAGTGCCACCAGTCGCCCGCTGCACCCCCTGCTGCGCGCTCCACTCAACCGCCTGCCACGCACCTCGCATCGCCCGCTGATCTCCCATTCGCCTTTGACTCGCTTGACGACCTCCCCTCTCCCTCCCCCACCTCCTCCGCTCTCCCCACCTCCAACCCTGCCTCCCAGCCGTCCCTCCCACCACTCACCACTCCACATTCCGCCACCGCACCCACCAGCACTCCACCAGCACTCCCACCCTCTCACGACCCGCCACCTGGCACAACCCCTCTCCCTCCCCACACACTGCGTGGCCCTCCTCCGCCCCCCCCCATTCCCGCGCCAGTGTCGCAGTCACTGGTGTTCCTGGGCACCACACAGCCGCACACGCGCATCTCCTCCCTCTCCCTCTCCCTCCGCTCCTCCCGCCGCCTCCCCTCCTCCTCCACCCCCCCTCCCTCCACCTCACTGGCTCCTCATACGGTTCCTCCTACCATGCTGGCCGCCGGGCGTGGAGCAGAGAGTGAGCAGGGAGGCAGAGCAGAGGAAGAGACTGTCAGGCGTTTGCCTGCGGCACAGATGGAAGGTCAGGCCACCTTACTGGAGAGGCCGAGGCCGTTAGCTGGTGGCGCTGCTGCAGGCGAGGTGCCAGCTCATGCAGCAAGCCAAGCTCAATCATCCGTGGCTGGTCACAGTGCCGCCCATGTCAATGCCACGTCATCTGCCACGTCATCTGCCACGTCTGCATCCCCACACCTCGTGGGACCAGGCGAGGTGCGTGCAAGGACCACGGGACATGCACAGCTGCCAGCAGCACCACCAGCAGCACAGGTAGCACCGCCAGCAGCAGCAGCGGGTCAACCAGCAGACGCGGCAGCAGAGGAGGGCAGGGACAGTACAGCCACAGCAGCAGCAGCAGTGAGTGAGGGGGTGCAGAGGCTGCTGGGGTGGGGCAGTGCGGACGACGGTGCAGCCATGGCTCTGCCCCCCGCCTCGCCCTCACCGCTCTCCACCACAGCAGCAGCATGGCGGCCGCGGGGAGTGCTGGTGGCGCAGCTGCACGAGCACCGTGCTGCCGTGCCGGCGCTGGCAGTGGCGGCCAACAGCCAGTGGTTCGCGACGGCCTCACATGACGGCACCGTCAAGGTGTGGGACGCCACTCGCCTCGACCGCGGCACTGCCTTCCGCTCCAAACTCACCTATGCGCTGGGGGCCGGGGGGACGGCAGGGGCAGGCGGGGTGGGGGGTGGGGCAGGGCGGGCGACAGCAGTGGCGGTGATGGGGGACAGTGCGACGGCGGCAGTGGGGTATGCAAGTGGGGAGGTGCATGTGGTGCATGTGGACTATGCGCCGCGCTTCCTCTCCTCGCCTGACTCCTACCGCTGCATCACCCGCATGCCCTCCCTCGAGCCCTCCTCCCCCTCCTCCCCTGCCTACCACGGCCCAGGCGGCTCAAGAGGGCCAATCCTCTCCGTGCACTCGTGGGCCGCCTCCCACCTGGGCGCTGCTCACTCTCCCCTCTTCGCCTCCTCCTCGCTTTTCTCCAGCAACCCCCTCTCCTCCTCCCACTCTCTCCTCCTCGTCGCCTCACTGCACGGCGGCATCACCCTGTGGGACATGCGAGCTGCCCGCCCCGCCTTGTCGCTGCACCTGCACGCGTTGCTAGGGGCGCCGGTCCACGTGCTGCCGGACCCGCAGCACGGCCTCTGGCTGCTGGCGGCCTCATCGTGCTCCGCGCTCTGCCTGTGGGACCTGCGCTTCCTGCTGCCCCTCTCCTCCTGGCGCCTCCCCTGCGCCCCCTCCGCGCCCCACCCGCCCCCCATCACTGCACTGGCGCCCATGCTGCCCGCGCCCTTCCACACCCCAGGGGACGTCATGGGGGGCGCGGCAGCAGGGGGGCCTGAGCACCTGCCAGGCTGGTTTGGGGCGGACCGAGGGAGCGGAGCATCAAAGGGGGCAGCGGGGGCTGCAGAGGGTGCGGCAGCAGCAGCGGGTGCAGGGGGAGCAGTGGGGGGGGCGTCGCGGCCTCTGGTGTATGTGGCGAGTGGCAGGGACGAGGTGGGGCTGTGGAGTGCCGACACTGGGCAGTGCCACCAGGTACGGTGCCACCAGGTACGGTGCCACCAGGTACGGTGCCACCAGGTACGGTGCCACCAGGTACGGTGCCACCAGGTACGGTGCCACAAGGTACGGTGCCACCAGGTACGGTGCCACCAGGTACGGTGCCACAAGGTACGGTGCCACCAGGTACGGTGCCACCAGGTACGGTGCCACCAGGTACGGTGCCACCAGGTACGGTGCCACCAGGTACGGTGCCACCAGGTACGGTGCCACAAGGTACGGTGCCACCAGGTACGGTGCCACCAGGTACGGTGCCACCAGGTACGGTGCCACCAGGTACGGTGCCACCAGGTAAGGTGCCACCAGGTACGGTGCCACCAGGTACGGTGCCACCAGGTACGGTGCCACAAGGTACGGTGCCACCAGGTACGGTGCCACCAGGTACGGTGCCACCAGGTACGGTGCCACCAGGTACGGTGCCACCAGGTACGGTGCCACCAGGTACGGTGCCACCAGGTACGGTGCCACAAGGTACGGTGCCACCAGGTACGGTGCCACCAGGTACGGTGCCACCAGGTACGGTGCCACCAGGTACGGTGCCACCAGGTACGGTGCCACCAGGTACGGTGCCACCAGGTACGGTGCCACAAGGTACGGTGCCACCAGGTACGGTGCCACCAGGTACGGTGCCACAAGGTACGGTGCCACCAGGTACGGTGCCACCAGGTACGGTGCCACCAGGTACGGTGCCACCAGGTACGGTGCCACCAGGTACGGTGCCACCAGGTACGGTGCCACAAGGTACGGTGCCACCAGGTACGGTGCCACCAGGTACGGTGCCACCAGGTACGGTGCCACCAGGTACGGTGCCACCAGGTAAGGTGCCACCAGGTACGGTGCCACCAGGTACGGTGCCACCAGGTACGGTGCCACAAGGTACGGTGCCACCAGGTACGGTGCCACCAGGTACGGTGCCACCAGGTACGGTGCCACCAGGTACGGTGCCACCAGGTACGGTGCCACCAGGTACGGTGCCACCAGGTACGGTGCCACAAGGTACGGTGCCACCAGGTACGGTGCCACCAGGTACGGTGCCACCAGGTACGGTGCCACCAGGTACGGTGCCACCAGGTACGGTGCCACCAGGTACGGTGCCACCAGGTACGGTGCCACAAGGTACGGTGCCACCAGGTACGGTGCCACCAGGTACGGTGCCACCAGGTACGGTGCCACCAGGTACGGTGCCACCAGGTACGGTGCCACCAGGTCCGGTGCCACCAGGTCCGGTGCCACCAGGTACGGTGCCACCAGGTACGGTGCCACCAGGTACGGTGCCACCAGGTACGGTGCCACAAGGTACGGTGCCACAAGGTACGGTGCCGCAAGGTACGGTGCCACCAGGTACGGTGCCACCAGGTACGGTGCCACCAGGTACGGTGCCACCAGGTACGGTGCCACCAGGTACGGTGCCACAAGGTACGGTGCCACAAGGTACGGTGCCACAAGGTACGGTGCCACAAGGTACGGTGCCACCAGGTACGGATGCTAGCGTCTTCACTGAACCATGGTTGGAACAGCAGGCATCAAACCCCTGTGCCATCATTCCACCCTCAGCCGTCTGCTCGTTCACAAGCACACATGAAAGCACCACACCTTGCTTGCACCGTGGCGTGTCCTCACCTGCCCATGCCCCCTTCCGCTCTCCCCCTCCTCCAGGTCTTTTCCGTGGCTCCCCAGCCCTCCTCCACCACCGCTCCCCCTCCCTCCCTGCCCTCGCCCTCCAACCTCCCCACCGCTCTGCAATCCCGCCCACACCTGCTGCCACTGCCGCCCTTCACCACCACCACCACCACGCCCTCCGGCCGCACCCTCTCCTCCTCGCCCTGCTTGCCCACCGGCCCGCCGCTGCTCCAGTCAACACAGTCAACACGGTCAAGGCAGCAGTCGTTGCTGCGGGTGGAGCAGCTGAAGGAGCCACCGGGCAGGGCGGGGGGGGTGAGGGCGCTGCTGGGAGTGCCGGGGGGCAGTGCGCTGCTCACAGCCGGCACTGACTGCTGCATCCGCTACTGGTGCCGCCTCAGGTAATGCTGCTGCTGTCTCAAGTGCTTGCTGTCTCAAGTGCTTGCTGTCTCAAGTGATTGCCACCTCAGGTGATTGCTGCCTCAGGTGATTGATGCCTCAGGTGATTGCTGCCTCAGGTGATTGCTGCCTCAGGTGATTGCTGCCTCAGGTGATGCTCTGCTGGTGGTCCGTGCAGGGTGGGGTATGTTGCGACTGCCACAGTTCTGTATCCATTTCCTCATTCCTCCCCCACCCCCTCCCCCCCGCCTCCTTTCCTTCCGGGCGAGAGGGCAGGCCGGAGCAGAGTGGGTGGGTGAGTGGCCCCACAGCCAGGGGAGCGCGGGGAGAGGTGCTGCACCCGCGCTACGACATGCGCATTGTGCACGGCGCTAGAGTCATTCAGGTGCGCGCATTACGTGCCTATCTCCCTTGCACTGCGTTTCCATGTACTGCTTGCTGCAAGCACCAGTCCCACTCTCTCCCCTCGCTGTCTTCCAGTCTGTTCGTCCCATCCATCCAATATCACCCGCTCCCACGCCTTGTCTACCCCGCTTCCCTCACCGCAGGAGACACCGCCCCCCTTCTACGTGGATGCAGCGCGGCAGCGAGGCAGTGGTTCGGGCGCCTCCACTCCACAGGCAGGCGGGCGGGCAGCAGCAGGCAGCCAGGGGCACGCGGATGCAGGCCCGGGAGGGGCAGTGGGAGGAGGAGGTGGAGGGGCGGGGGGAGGGGGGCGGCGCAGCATGGTGGAGGTGGCGGCGGTGGATGTGGGGGGGTGCCACCGCGATGCCGTGCTGGCACTGGCCGTGGCCGACCCGGGGCAGCGCCTGCTGCTTTCCGCCAGCCGTGACGGCGTCGTCAACGTCTGGCGCTAACACCCCCACCTGGCCTCGACTACAGTATATCAATCGAAGGAAGAGGCTTGTGTTGGGGAGCGCAGGTTCACGGCGTGACTGACTCTTGTACAGATACCTAGTATAGCAGGCCTTCGAGGGATGACAATGGTGAATAGAGGTGCTTCATCTATTTTGCGTGAAGATGTAAGACTCTAGTATGCGGCCTTATATCGTGCCACGTGTATATCAATTTCAATGCCATCCACGCTATCGGAAAACTGGGGGGTTGGATCGGCTCGCTAGCGAAAGCAGATGATGCTAGAAAAGAAACGAAAGTGCCCACAGTGTTATCAAACCTTACGCCATTCTGCGAGCTGCACAGCACACTTGGAAGTGCCCAAATCATTCTTGATGGCAAGCAAGTTTGGTCAATTCAGGTTATAAGTGAGCTATGTTGCGGCATTGCGAAGCTTGTACTTCCTGAGTTGCTTTTACCGAAAAACTGTGGGCCTGTAAAAGTGGCAATCAATCACCTCAACCGTGGCTGTTCGTCGGAGCATGTCATTCCACGTCGATGCCACGTCACAGCGTCTTGCTAGTTTCTGGCGAGCACTTTTCCATTTCTCAGCAAACCGTTCTTACCGGAGCACTTAATAGCGGTGGCGAAACTCGCTCGTTTGATGGAACCGTCCGTGGCTCGCTCTGCTGCGAGCAGCAGTCTGGGCAAGTGCCCAAAAACGTCTGCGACCATCCACCTCCAATCCATACAGCTGTGGGTTGCTCGCCTCCCTTGGCCATTTAGCAAAGAGCACAGAGAGCAGGTCAAAGGCTGGTCGCTACCGCCGCAGAACTAGCCCACGCCCCGCCACATTCGACCGGATCCGCGTACCGGCTAGAAGCACCCACCACCAACCATCAGCACACACCGCGCAGCAGCAAAGCATCGCCGGGCGCCATGATGGCAGTCGCTGCGCGCGCTACCCGGCGAGGAGCCGCGGAGGTCCCAAGGCGACTGCTGCCATCGCATCGCCATGCGACCGCTGCCGTGTCGGCGGCCTTCGCGCTTTTGCCCACAGCTCCTGGCCGCCCGTTCTTCTCGCTCTCCGCCGGCCCCACCCAATCAACATCCGCCATCTGTCCTTCAGCCGCGTCGCCTTCAGCCGCCGTGTCCTCCGCCATGCCATCCGGCTCCGCCAGCCCCGCCAGTGCCGCCAGGCGCGTGCCGTTCTCCCCCGTTCCCCGCATGGCCGCGATTGGCGGCGACGTGGACGTGCGCGGCGCGGCGTTCCGACTGCGAGAGAAAGCGATGGAGCGATTGCTGGGCGAGCTGCGACAGGCGACGGACACGGTACGTCGCACAGCAGTCAAACGACACGCACTGTACGTCGCACAGCAGTCAAACGACACGCACTGTACGTCGCACACACATAGATGCGAGGGGCAGGGGAGGGTGGGCGTGGCGCCTGTGACTCTCTCCGCCCTCCCTCACTCTCATGCCACGCCCCTGCTCCCTGCCTGCTGCCCACCCGGGCGTCCTGCAGGTGCTGCAAGGAGGCGGTCCCAAGGCGGTGCAGCGGCAGCACAGGCGAGGCAAGCTGCTGCCCCGGGAGCGCATCGACCGCCTGCTCGACCCCGCCTCGCCCTTCCTCGAACTCTCCCAGGTCCCGCCCCCCCTCCCTCTCGCCCTCTCCCCGGCCCCTCTTGCACATAGAACCCATCTCCTCTGTCCGCCAGTTCACCTCTGCACCCCATTAGGCGTCACTCCCTTATTCTCACCTTCCCCCTCTGCCATGATGCCATCGCCATCTCCCCATCTTTCCTCCTCAACAACCCCACCTCCCCGCCTCTCTCCCTCCGCCGCTCCGCACCTTTCCGCCCCTTCTCCGGCCATGACACGCCAGCTGGCGGGCATGGGCATGTACGGGGAGGAGGAGGTGCCGGGGGGGGGCATCGTGACAGGGGTAGGGCGCGTGGGCGGGCGGGTGAGTGTGATAGTGGCGAACGACGCTTCAGTGAAGGGTGGCACATATTACCCTATCACTGTGAAGAAGCACCTACGGGCGCAGGAGATCGCTGCTCAGTGCCGCCTGCCCTGCATCTACCTCGTTGACAGGTACAGCCTGCCCTGCATCTACCTCGTTGACAGGTACAGCCTGCCCTGCATCTACTGCCAGTTCACCAACAAAAGTTCACCGTTTAATTCTTAAAGCTGTTCATTTAAATATGGAGGCTTGATTCCCGTTTTTTTATTTTCACGCTGATCATTCCCCTCATTCCACCCATCCCACCCCCACATCCACCCCACCCACCCCACCCATGGGCAGTGGAGGGGCCAACCTGCCTCGGCAGGCGGACGTGTTTCCCGACCGCGACCACTTTGGCCGCATCTTCTTCAACCAGGCACGCCCCGCCCCTGCCGTCCATGCACTGCCTGCTCTCACTCATACCACAGTGCTTGTAATGCATGTGTAGCCCCACCTTCTGCCTCCCTTCAACCGCCATTTCGCCCCAAACATCACCTGCTCTCCTCTCACTCATCTCTGCAATCATCCCCTGCTCCATCCTCACTCATTTTCCCAACCTCCTTTCTTCACAACCCTCCCCCCTCCTCCCCTCCCCCCAGGCGCGCATGTCGCGGGACGGCATACCACAGATAGCGGTGGTGATGGGCAGCTGCACGGCGGGGGGGGCGTACGTGCCGGCCATGGCGGATGAGAGCATCATCGTGCACCGCCAGGGTACCATCTTCCTGGGGGGCCCGCCGCTTGTCAAGGTGCGCCTGTGCCGTACTTGCTTCGTCTGCCCAACAACTATCGAAGCGCCAATGTCGGTGAAGCCATCTCCAAAGAGTCAAAACAGTTGTGCATATCCCGTGTGAATACAAGAATGCAAAGGTCTGGTTCATTATGCCACGCAGGAGATGCGTGCGTGAGGGTTGTCAGAAGGCGAGGTGCTCAAGGAAAGGAAAACGGAAGGTCTTCATGGCGTGACTGCACTGCAACCCCACTGGCATCATAAGATTTCCCTCTTGTTGTGTGCTCGTTTGTGCACGTGTGTGTCTGTGTGCTTGCATCCATGTGTGTGCGCAACATCCATTGCAGGCGGCGACAGGGGAGGAGGTGACAGCAGAGGCGTTGGGGGGAGGGGCGGTGCACAGCCGGGTGTCAGGGGTGACGGACCACCTGGCCCGCGGTGAGTGACGGACCACCTGGCCCGCGGTGAGTGACAGGCGCTTGCTTGGGCGCACGCGAGCAGGGCGGGGTGTGGTGACAGGGAGTGATGATGGCAGGGAAGGAGAGATGGGAGGGAGGTGGGCACGTGCATGCTCACAGAAGGATGCACAGTATGTGATTCACCCTGAGTTGCAAATACCACCATGCCACATGCGCGCGTTCACGCTGCCTTCCACAGACCCATAAACTGGTTTCCATCCACCCTTCCCCCATGCGCCTTTCCTCCCTTCCCCCAGACGAGCTGCACGCCATTGCCATCGCCAGGCGCATTCTCGCCTCGCTGCCCTCCCCCCACCCCGCCACCTCCTCCGCCTCACCCATCCCCCATCCACTCTCCTCACCCCTCTCCCCCCCTGCGTGGGAGGAGCCACTCTTCCCCGCGGAGCAGCTCAGGGGCCTGGCGCCGATAGTGGGGGGTGAGGGGCGCAAGGGGGAGGGCGAGGGGGGGGAGGAGGAGGGGGCGGCGGAGGCGAGGGGGGTTGACATGCGGGAGGTGATTGCGCGGATCGTAGATGGCAGCCGGTTCGACGAGTTCAAACGCCTCTATGGCTCCGTGCGTCCATGCTTGCTCGCTTTGCTCGCACTCTGCTGTTGCTCTGCCATGCTTGTGCTCCTGCAACCATCCTCCAGATGTTCAATGGTCGATAAGAAACAAGGATGCTTGCATTGCTTCTCCAGATGTTTTTCCTCAACTGAATGCTTCTCCAACCCCCCTCCCCGCCCTCCCCTCTGGTCCCTCCCATTTCCCCTGTGGTGGGTGGCAGTCGCTGGTGTGTGGGTTTGCGCGCGTGCAGGGGCGCGAGGTGGGGGTGGTGGCGAACAACGGCGTGCTGGTGGTGGACGCGGCGCTCAAGGGCGCCCACTTCGTGCAGCTCTGTGACCACCGCCGCATTCCCCTGCTCTTCCTGCACAACATCTCCGGCTTCATGGTGGGCATAGCGCATGCACATTGCACAGATCCTGTACGAGTCCACGTTGCACGTGAATCAATGTGGCATGTGAGTCCATGTGGCATGTGAGTCCATGTGGCATGTGAGTCCATGTGGCATGTGAGTCCATGTGGCATGTGAGTCCATGTGGCATGTGATTCCACGTGGCATGTGAGTCCACGTGGCATGTGAGTTAGCACCGCATGGCATGTCCGCATGCGTTCATGCCAGCCTTACACCCATTCGTCTCGTCATCACCTGTGTGCGTGCAGGTGGGGAGGGCAGCAGAGGGTGCGGGCATAGCCAAGGCAGGGGCTAAGATGGTCATGGCCGTTGCATGTGCACAGGTACGCCATCTCCATGCCGATGCCATGTGCCATGGGCCATGGGCGCAGTGTGCCATGTGCAATGTGCCATGCATGTTTCCACAGTTCTGCATCAACATGTCCCACAAGCGACTGGGATAGCCACAGCAGAGCGCCCCTTGCATCTTCCATCATATCCCACATCGTCCCTCCACCACACAGCCTCCATCCATCTCCCTCGTCACTGTTCATCCCATCTGCCGCGCGCGCCCACCATGCACAGGTGCCCAAGGTATCGCTGGTGGTGGGCGGCAGCTTTGGGGCGGGCAACTACGGCATGTGTGGCCGCGCCTACTCGCCCCACTTCCTCTTCCTCTGGCCCTCCGCACGCATCTCCGTCATGGGCGGCCACCAGGTGGGTCTGGGCGGCCAACAGGTGAGTCTGGGCGGCCACCAGGTGAGTCTGGGCGGCCAGCAGGTGAGTCTGGGCGGCCAACAGGGGGGTCTGGGCGGCCAGCAGGTGAGGACGATGGGCGGCCAGCAGGTGAGGACAATGGGCGGCCAGCAGGTGTGGACGATGGGCGGCCAGCAGGTGGGTCTGGGCGGCCAGCAGGTGAATGTGGGTGATTGAGCGATAAAGAAATCCAACTTGTGGTGGCATGGCAAAAGGTTCGTTTCATCTGCTTGTGTTCCTCGGTGTGACTGTGTTTCTCACCACCTTCTCACACATTTTTCCCACAACATTCCCAGCTTTTTCCCATGCGTTGTGTGGTTTTGTTTTTCCATGGGGTGGCATGGCATGAATGGCATGGCATGAATGGCATGGCCATGATGACACGGCACGGCATGGCACAATGGCAGGCAGCAGGCGTGTTGGCGCAAGTGGAGAAGGACAAGAGAGCACGTGATGGCACTCCGGTCAGACCCACCACCTCCGCTCCTCCTCCCATGCACCCATGCTCCCATGCACCCATGCTCCCATGCACCCATACTCCCATGCACCCAAGCACCCGTGCTCCGATGTTCCTATCCTACAATGCGCCCATACTCCCACGCACCCGTGCTCCCATGCCCAATTTCTTCCATGCTATGGCAATCTCAAAATTCACCCACTCTCTCTCTACCCCGCATCTCGCTGCCGTACCCTCTGCTGCATCTACCCCTTGTGCCTTGCACCGCACACCGCAGTGGGGCGAGGAGGAGGAGAGGGCGTTCAAGCAGGGCATAGCGCAGCGGTACGACAGCGAGGGGTCGGCCTTCTTCTCCACGGCGCGGCTGTGGGACGATGGCATCATCGACCCCGCTCACACCCGCACCGTGCTCTCCCTCGCCCTCGCCGCCACTCAAGCTGGCATGCCTGCTGCTCACGCCCCTGCTGATGCCGGGCCTAGATATGGAGTGTTCCGCATGTGATGGCGGGATGGCTGCACACTGTGCTTCGCATGGTGGTGACACGTGGCTTGCTGCTTTGTTACCTCCTAGTGTACACTTGAAGGCGATGGGGATTTGTTGTGGCTCGGTTGTGAGGTTGCCACAGCTGGATGTTTCTAGATACAGGGTGCATGATTCAGAACCTTTTGTATATATGTATCTGTATATATAATGTCTTTGATTTGATCCAGATATACTGATTGTGTCCATACAGGCTCCACCCTTCCCGGTTTATACTTTTCACAAGTTGCTTGCTAAGCATGTGCTGGAAGTGTGCTTATGGCTGCACGTGATTCTCTCTACATGTTCGGGTACCTAGTACATTGATACATGCCTACAAGGGCGCTTGGAATTGGACCTGGCAAATGGGCTTGCGGCTGGGAGTCTCTCTCTCTCAACCTTCTCTCACATTACATTACACTATTCTCATCGCAACAACACAAAAGGGCAGCATCAGTCTACAGTAAGTACTCTACAGTTGAGTACATTACATACCCTTCCCCCAATCAATACACACAGCACCTACCACTGATAAAATCCCACCCCACTTTGACGCGTCATTCAGAATGCACACAGGTGTCACGCGTGCACTCATACAGGTGAGGGGTATATACCTGCCCTATCTCTGCCCACCTTGCTTCCTTTCACCTGCTCTCACCTCAGTCAGTCATCAGTAAGGCTCTCTGGTCCTACTTTGTGCATTTTGTTCCGCACCTTACTGCCTCACATCCACCTCTCAGCTCCCTGCTGCATCACTCCCTCTGCTCCACAGCGGTACCCAGCCTGACAGGATTCGCCAAGAGGAGGCAAAAATCAGGAACCACAACTTACCCATCCCTCTTTGACTCCCTTTCCCTTCCGGCGTTCCCCCCACTGTTCCACCAACGCCCTATCTACCAAAGCACTTGTATTCCCAAATCCCTCACATCCACGCGGCTCTCCTCCCCTCAGCAGCAGCCGGGCTGGGGGCACCCCGCAGGCAGGGGCAGGCGCAGATTCCCAGAGGTGCGGAAGGTGCGAGGAACCATCCTGTCGACGTAGATGAGCCCTGCCAGGTGGTCGCACTCGTGCTGGCGGTGGCGTGGCGCAGCCACAGCAGGTACAGGTGTGTGGGGCATGTTGAGGGATGGGCGGGTTGGGACGAGAGGGCACAAGGGTGATGAGGGCAGCATTCCGCACTTGTTCACAGGGCAGAGAGCTTCATACCGAAGAAGCGCAAGGCAGAGAGTCAGGAGTCTGGTAGCTGACTATCCGCATCAGAGAGACAGCATCAGATCATCCGCATTGTTCAGAGTTACATCGCATTGCCGCCTTCACCAAAGCAGAAGGTGCGGCACTGCTCTCACCTGCAGGATCCGGGCCTGCCAGCCCGTGGCATGCACCGTGATGGGCTTGCCATCCCGCGCCAGCCCTGACACCTCCACCTCTCTGTACCGCTCCACCATGCCCCTGTACCCATTCACACTGCAGTGCACAAAATGGGGAGGGACAGGCGAGAGAGGAAAGGGGTCGTGAGGAGATGGGTGAGACTTGACTTGCTGATGGCATTGAGGCGCCCGTGCCATGCCGATTGCACTCCAGCAGCAGCAGGAGAGAGAGATGTGGGCGGACTGAAGGGTTTTGTTTGTGCAGAAAAGGAAGAGTGAGGTTGGTGAGTGTGGCGTTGCGAGTCAAGTGAGAGATGGCGGACTCCAGGGAGTTCACAGCACAGCAACCACCGAGGTGAACGGGCCCAGCCACACATTCCATGGACCACCGTTGTGAAACATAATGTGACATGAGGATATGTGAAGAGAGGGATTGGTGGGAGTGTGGGGGATTGAGTAAGGGTGAAAGATGGTGCCAAGGACAGGCAACAGTGGGTAGGACAAAAGAGCAAAGTGATGGCACTTATCAAAAGGGTTGAGCATGCATTATGATCCCAGGAAAATGAATAGAGAATCGTGATGGCGGAGGAGAGAAAGGTGCAAGGGCAGAGAGTGGAGAACGAGATGGGGAGACGATTGGCGGTCGGCACGAAGACGAGAGGACGACGGTGGAGAGCGAGATGGAGAGATGATTGGTGATTGGGAAGAAGGCGAGAGGATGAGGGTGGAAGCAGTGAGAGTGCAGAACGCCAGTGAGAGTGCAGAACGCCAGTGAGAGTGCAGAACGCCAGTGAGAGTGCAGAACGCCAGTGAGCATTGCCCGTCCTGTGTGTGTGCCGGCAAGGGCGGGCGCGCGGGCGGGCGGGAAGGAGAGTGGGAGGGAGGGAGGGAGGGAGGGAGGGAGGGAGGGAGGGAGGGAGGGAGGGAGGGAGGGAGGGAGGGAGGGAGGGAGGGAGGGAGGGAGGGAGGGAGGGAGGGAGGGAGGGAGGGAGGGAGGGAGGGAGGGAGGGAGGGAGGGAGGGAGGGAGGGAGGGAGGGAGGGAGGGAGGGAGGGAGGGAGGGAGGGAGGGAGGGAGGGAGGGAGGGAGGGAGGAGGGAGGGAGGGAGGGAGGGAGGGAGGGAGGGAGGGAGGGAGGGAGGGAGGGAGGGAGGGAGGGAGGGAGGGAGGGAGGGAGGGAGGGAGGGAGGGAGGGAGGGAGGGAGGGAGGGAGGGAGGGAGGGAGGGAGGGAGGAGGGAGGAGGGAGGGAGGGAGGGAGGGAGGGAGGGAGGGAGGGAGGGAGGGAGGGAGGGAGGGAGGGAGGGAGGGAGGGAGGGAGGGAGGGAGGGAGGGAGGGAGGGAGGGAGGGAGGGAGGGAGGGAGGGAGGGAGGGAGGGAGGGAGGGAGGGAGGGAGGGAGGGAGGGAGGGAGGGAGGGAGGGAGGGAGGGAGGGAGGGAGGGAGGGAGGGAGGGAGGGAGGGAGGGAGGGAGGGAGGGAGGGAGGGAGGGAGGGAGGGAGGGAGGGAGGGAGGGAGGGAGGGAGGGAGGGAGGGAGGGAGGGAGGGAGGGAGGGAGGGAGGGAGGGAGGGAGGGAGGGAGGGAGGGAGGGAGGGAGGGAGGGAGGGAGGGAGGGAGGGAGGGAGGGACGGAGGTAGGGAGGGAGGGAGGGAGGGAGGGAGGGAGGGACGGAGGGAGGGAGGGACTGAGGGAGGGAGGGAGGGAGGGAGGGAGGGAGGGAGGGAGGGAGGGAGGGAGGGAGGGAGGGAGGGAGGGAGGGAGGGAGGGAGGGAGGGAGGGAGGGAGGGAGGGAGGGAGGGGAGGGAGGAGGGAGGGAGGGAGGGAGGGAGGGAGGGAGGGAGGGAGGGAGGGAGGGAGGGAGGGAGGGAGGGAGGGAGGGAGGGAGGGAGGGAGGAGGAGGGAGGGAGGGAGGGAGGGAGGGAGGGAGGGAGGGAGGGAGGGAGGGAGGGAGGGAGGGAGGGAGGGAGGGAGGGAGGGAGGGAGGGAGGGAGGGAGGGAGGGAGGGAGGGGGGGGGGAGCAGCGCGGGCACCTGAGGCAGCCTTCAAAGAAGCGAGCCTTGGCGTCGCCCACAGGCTTGAGCACGGGGTTGATGATCACCTGCATGCATTGGCGCGCAGTGCAGCAGCACGAGGTGGACAGACGGTGGGGAGAGTAATGGCATGGTTCCAAGAAGAGAATTGTGTGGAGAGGCGGCAATGCAGCCTGACACAGACAGGCAGACTTGATCAAGAGAGGCAGGCATTTGAGCGGAGTGGAGTGGACAGCACAGAGTGGGGCTTGATTCAACGCCCTCTATGTGCTCTAGTTAATTTCCTTGAACATAGAGCATCATTCATGCGAGTGCAGTTGGTTGGTCGTTCGTTCATTCAATCCTTCATTCTGTTGATTCACTGACTCAACACCCTCTCAAGCACGCACTCCACACGTACCAGCAGGTTGAACGGTTGGCGCTCCTGCTGTTTGACTTCCTCGGGGTCGCAAGCCTTCATCAGCTCCACCGTGTCCTCCAGCACGATGATCTGCGCGCGCATACGCACACGCACACGCACACGCACAGTGGAAGGCCGAGAGTAGTCGTGAGCGCACAGGGGGACAGACCGGGCGCACAGGGTGGCGGTAAGAGGTGCCATGGCGGTGGGGGGAAGGCCTTCAAACTTCCCGGGGTCCTTCCTGCCAGAGCAGTCCGTTTCATCCCCTTGACTGTTCTTTATGAACGGTGAAATCCACCGCCATACCTGCAGTGCCCGTACCTGTAGTGGGTGGCCGATTTGGTTGGCTGCGAGGCCGACACCTGGCGCTGCGCGCATGACTGCCACCATGTCGTTGATGATCTTCTCTATCTCTGGACTGCCAATGTGCTGATGCCACGTGGCACGGAGGTGGATTAGCAAACGGGTTGGAACGAGGGAGAAGACGGGAAAGAGGAGAGAGTGCACGGTAAACGGACAAGGGAAACCGTTAATGTGAAGCAGGAAACGGCGGCATTGTCACGCGGCGGGTGGAAGGAGTGTTTATATCCAGCGGCTCAAACGCTGTCCTATATATCGGAAATGTTGAGATCACATTGTAACGGGTGGGTGTGTAAAATGAGACACGACGACGCGAATGTACGAGGCACACTGGCAGTGAGCGCTTGAGGCTCATGAGTTCACAGGCACCCACCCCCCACGCACTTGCCCGAATCACTCAACCACAAGGGCACTCCGCACCACTCACTCACCGTGGCGGGCACTCACCGTGGCGGGCACTCACGGTGGCGGGCCCTCACGGTGGCGGGCACTCACGGTGGCGGGCACTCACGGTGGCGAGCACTCACGGTGGCGGGCACTCACGGTGGCGGGCACGGGGCGCGCGGGCTCGTGCAGCACGGGGTCGCCCGCCTCCACCACGTCGGGCAGCGCCGGCTTGCCGAAGTTGAAGAACGCGCGCGCCGCCACTCCGTGGGAGTCCCCCAGCGACTCGCCGCGCGACGGCGGCGTGCCGGCTATGCGCGAGGTGGGCGTGGAGGAGAACTGCGACACGTCTCGCAGGTGCGGCGCGAAGTCCATCTTTTCTGTCGACGACACCCGCACCATGCGCGCCGTCCCGCTTGCTGGCGGGCAGCTGATTGGCTGCGATGCTGTCGCCATGACGACGCGATGGCGGAAAAGACTCGTTCGGTTTCGTACGGGCTGCTGTAGAGGAGAATGCCCTGAATGTACTGTGCGATGAAATGAAGACGCGGAGAGACAATTCGATGCTAGGGAACGGGAGCACGCGTTCATTTCAAGAAGCAGAACAACACAAACTAGAATGTGTAGCTAGACGGCTGACCGAATCGACTGGCAGCAATTGAGGAAGCAGAGAGACAGCAGGCAAGGAGAAACCAGAATTGCAATGGTGTCACGAGAGGAATCTAGATTCTAGGATGCACCACCCAATGCCAGTTAGTGGTTGGAAATCCGTGACTCGTGAATTGTCCAACCTTGATCTATTCGCTGCCTCACACGGCATGCCATCTGAGCTGGAGTGGGGACCACTAACGAACGCGGGATCGATTCGCAGATGACGTGGAGAGAGCAATTTTTCCCTTCGCTCCAGCCATGTGCTGGTCGCACCCAATAAGAGAACACGAAGTGGATCACTCTACTCCGAACGTTGATGATTTGGCATGTTAGTCCTCCAGCGGAATTGTAACGGATAATTCTCGTTCGTTAACGATTGACTCTGGAAGCGCGGCCTGTTATCAAGGGAAAACATGTGAATGGTAACTTATATGGGGCACTATAACTCTAAGAATTTTCCTAATTCCTTACTGAGGCCCCCTTATGCGCGTATAATACCGTATTCTCCCGGATAAAACACCCCCGGGTAGCTTGTGCGGGGTGGGTGTTAGGGCGCTTCACCTCTCGGTTCGAACATCACACTCGTTCGAACAGGCGAAACGTTACTTGTTTCGACACTGTTCGTGTAGGTGTTCGTGACGTCGCCAATCCCGATTTTCGCCAATCCGAATAGAGCTGTCACATGAAGCAGGAAGCTTTTCATTCCGCACATTCGAACAGGCTTGTCCGAACAAGTTGGGATTGGTGACACACAATTCCACACAAACGACTAATTTGATTGGATAACATTTTTCCAGGTCGCACACGAATGTTTACGACAATTTTTTGCGACGTCGCTCGTTCGTGGACGACATTGTCAAACATTATATGTTTATATGGTTGTAGGCTGTAGTGGGTTACGCCTTAGGGGGTACACTGGATTAGGGTTTCCTATTTGTATCCAGCCTTCTGTTAGTACAGCCATTCCAGTCCGTTATTTCTGACATGGTTTCAGAGCAGGTCCTTCGCTAGGACCGTTCTTAGGGCCCACCGTTACCTACATACCTACCTACCTACCGTGCGCCTCGTGCGCCTACGCGCCCTCGTGCGCCTCCTACCTACCGCGCGCGCGCAGCCCGCCAGCCGCCCGCGCGCGACTCGACTTTTTTTTAGCGCGCGTATCCCGCTAGCCGCCCGCGCGCGGTCGATTTCGCTGCGCGCGCCCCGCTAGCCGCACGCGCGCGGCTGTTTTTCTTTACGCGCGGCCCCGCACGCTGCCCGCGCGCTGCCTGTGCGCCTCGCTGACGCGCCCGCTGCTGCAGCCGCCCGTCGCCCGCTCGCGCACACCCCGCCGTGGCCCCGCAGGCCCGCAGCTCGCCGCCGCAGCTGCCGCACGCCCGTTGCCCGCAGCCGCCCGTCCGCCGACGCCGCTGCCGCCCGTGCACCGACGCCGCTGCCACCCGTGCGCTGCTGCCGCTGCTGCTTGCGCACCGCTCGCTGCTGCAGCCGCCCGTGCGCTGTCGGCGCTGCTGCCCGTGCGTATAAGCCCGTCGCCTGCTCGCGCACGCCCCGCTGCCCGCAGCCGCTCGTACGCCGCTGCTTCCGCTGCTGCTTGCGCACTGCTGCCTCCCGAGCGCCGCCGCTGCCTGTGCGCCGCCGCTGCCCGTGCGCCGTCGCTGCTCCTACGCTGCCGCTGCCCGTGCGCTGCCGCTGCCCGTGCACCGCCGTTCCCCGTGCGCCGCTGCCGCCCGTGCGCTTCTGCAGCCGCTGCCCGCGAGGCACTCGATCTCACTGCTGTTTATTTTCTACCTACTGCGCACACTGCTACCACTGCAGCTGCCACCAGTGCGCCGTTGCAGCTCCTGCTGCCACGCTTCCTACTACTACTGTTACTACTGCCACTACTACTACTGCTACTGTCACTATGGCTAGTCCGACAGTTCTAGCTTTCGATGCCGAGGGCCGCCCAGTGAAGTTCCAAACCTGGCTAGATGACCTGCACCTGTTCCTACAGCTCACTGCCAAGGAAGATATCTCACTGTACGACCACGCCCTAGGCCATGCCACTGCCCCTGACTCGTCTGCTGACAGCACTCTGCGTTCCCAGTGGCAGACCCGTGATGCACACGCTCGCTTTGCTATTCGCAACTCCCTGCCGCTAGACGAGCGCGAGCACTTCGGCCAGTGCAAGACTGCTAAGGACCTCTACACCGCTGTAGTTGCCCGCTACTCCTCACCCGCTTCTGCCACGCTAGGCCGCCTCACTCTCCCCTACCTGTTCCCCGACCTAGCCTCCTTTCACACTGTCGCAGACCTCATCACCCACCTTAAGACTAGTGAGGCCCGCTTTCGCGCTGCTATGCCTGCCGAGTTTCTCACTAGCAACCCCCCCCCGCTCTGGATCACTCTCTACCACATCGTCACCCGCCTCCCTGACTCTCTGCGCGCAGTCAGGGACCACTTCCTCTCTCGCTCCCCCACTGAGCTCACTGTTGCCCTCCTCGAGAAGGAACTGCTTGCAGCTGAGGCGAGCATCGTCGCTGTAGGCACCTCTCGTGGCGACCCCCGCACCCCGTTCTTTGAGGGGTGTTCCCCTTCCCCCCTCCTCCCCTCTGTCGCCTCTGCTGCTGCTGTCGACCTTCTTGGTGCTGAGAAGGTCGGGACCGCGTCTGCTTCGAGCGGGCGCCGCAGGAACAAGGGGGGCAGGGGTGGGGGTGGCGGCGGAGGAGGTGGGGGTGGAGGCGGTGGGAGTGGAGGCGCGGCTGGGGAGACTAGTGGCGGCAGTGGGGGAGGAGACAGCAGCGGTGGGAGTGGTGGTGGAGGCGGCAGCGGAGGCGGAGGTGGTCGTGGCGGCGGCAGGGGTGGAGGTGGCCGGGGCGGCGGTGGTGGGAGTGGTGGTCGTGGAGGCACTGGCGGAGGGCAGAGTCAGCAGCCCGCCCCGACGCTTCAGGCCGCCCGTGAGTGGTATGCGCAGCGTAGCGTTACCTGCACGTACGTCATTCGCACAGGTGACCGCAGCGGCCAGCAGTGTGGGAGGCCGCACCCCACGCAGCGCTGCTTCGCGCGCCTTAACGACGCGTGGCGCACTCAGTTTCCTGCTGCCACTGAGCTGCCGCGCTGGGCTGATCTGGAAAAGAGGGGTGTTGATATTTGGGCTTTAGACTTTGATGCTATTCTCACTGCCATGTATGCGATGTCTATTAGTGGAGAGGGTGCTCAGTACTTACGTGTTCCGCCCGACCCGGGCATTCAGGCCAGTCCGGCTGCCGCTCTAGGTGCTAGTGCGTCTGCTCCCACAGGTCCTGGTGAGTCTGCAGCCCTAGGTGCTCGTGCGTCCGTGTCCCCTGGTACTGAGTCGACTGCAGCACTGCACACCTTCACACTGGACTCAGGTGCTTCTCGCTCCTTCTTTCGTGACCGCACTGTCCTTGAGCCACTCGCTCGGCCAGTTGCTGTCTCCCTTGCTGACCCCTCTGGGGGTCCGGTCATTGCGACCTCCTCCACTGTCCTTCCTTGTCCGGCGGTCCCGTCCGGCACGCTGTCAGGTCTCTACCTCCCCTCGTTCTCTACGAACTTGGTGGCAGGTAGTGCGCTCCAGGACGGGGGTGTTCACCAGTTCACCCCCGCCTACGAGCGCGTGACACACTGCACGTGTGCTTGGACGGGTCGCCACCTGGCTACCTTCACTCGGGAGCCGGGGTCGGACCTTTACACACTGACCACTGAGTCCCCTCAGGTAGCTGCGTCCGCGTCTGCGTCTGCGTCAGGTCAACTGTCCGCCCCCTGCTCGTGTCGCTCTCTGGCGCATGAGACTGTCCTTTGGCACCACCGCCTTGGTCACCCGTCTGTGCAGCGCCTTCGGGCCATGCACAAACGGGACCTTGTTGCTGGTCTTCCCAGGGTGCTCCCTCCCCTTCCCGACTCGCCTGCTCCTCCCTGTATTCCCTGTGTCGAGGGACGGCAGCGCGCCGCTCCTCACTCCTCCTCCTTTCCCCCGACGACTGCTCCCTTGCAGACGCTCCACATGGACGTGTGGGGCCCAGCCCGCGTCCGTGGTCAGGGTCAGGAGAGGTACTTCCTGATTGTTGTTGACGACTTCTCGCGCTACACCACGGTCTTCCCCTTGCGCGCCAAGGGTGACGTCCCTGATGTCTTGATCCCTTGGATCCGCAGATCTCGTCTCCAGCTCCGTGAGCGTTTCCGCTCCGACTTCCCTGTCCTGCGTCTGCACTCTGACAGAGGTGGGGAGTTTTCCTCTGGCCTATTGGAGGCCTTCTGTCAGCAGGAGGGCATTGAGCAGTCGTACACGCTTCCGGCCTCTCCACAGCAGAATGGGGTTGCTGAGCGCCGCATTGGTCTGGTCATGGAGGTCGCTCGTACCTCCTTGAGCCATGCGGCTGCCCCCCATTTTCTGTGGCCGTTTGCAGTCCGATACGCTGCGCATCAGCTCAACCTCTGGCCCCGTGTCTCCTTGCCCGAGACTTCTCCGACACTGCGTTGGACGGGAGAGGCTGGCGATGCGTCGCGTTTTCGGGTCTGGGGATCTCGAGCTTTTGTCCGCGACACGTCCGCGGACAAGCTCTCCCGTCGCGCTGTCCCCTGCGTCTTCCTTGGCTTTGTCCCGGACGCCCCTGGCTGGCAGTTCTACCACCCCACCTCGCGTCGTGTCCTGGCCTCTCAGGACGTCACTTTTGACGAGTCCGTCCCCTACTACCGCCTCTTCCCCTACCGCACTGCCCCGCTCCCCCCCCCGCCTCTCTTCCTCGCTCCAGGTGCTGAGGTACCAGACCCCCTCCCCCCTCAGGGTGCCGCTCCCTCAGGTGTGTCCCAGGTAGACCCGGGTGAGCCTGTCGAGGTAGCTGTTGACTCTCGTCCTGCTAGGGGTGCTGAGCCTGGGGGTGCTGCGTCTGGGGGTGCTGAGCCTGGGGGTGCTGCGTCTGGGGGTGCTGAGCCTGGGAGTGCTGAGTCTGGGGGTGCGGAGCCTGGGGGTGCTGAGCCAGGAGGTGCGGAGCCTGGAGGTGCGGAGCTTGGAGGTGCTGAGCCTGGGGGTGCTGAGTCTGGGGGTGCTGAGCCTGGGCGTGATGAGCCTGAGCGTGCTACACCTGGAGGAGCCCTCTCCTCCCAGCAGCTGCAGGAGAGGTACCTCGAGTACTGCCGCCTCCGGAGAGGTGCTACTGGAGCTCGTCCCGGTACTTCCCCTCCTACCCAGGAGCTCCCCCCCATTCAGCAGATCCGCGAGTGGTACACACGGCGCTGCAGTCTTCGGAGTGGTGCTCCTGGTGCTGCGGACCCTGGGGGTGGCGCTGCTGCTGGTGCTGAGGACCCGGACGTTGGAGCTGCTGCTGGTGCTGCGGACCCGCCTGGTGGAGCTGCTGCTGGTGCTGCGGACCCGCCTGGTGGAGCTGCTGCTGGTGCTGAGGACTCGGACGTTGGAGCTGCTGCTGGAGCTGAGGACCCGGGCGGTGGCGCTGCTGCTGGTGCTGAGGACCCAGACGGTGGAGCTGCTGCTGGTGCTGAGGACTCGGACGGTGGAGCTGCTGCTGGAGCTGAGGACCCGAGCGGTGGCGCTGCTGCTGCTGCTGAGGACCCGGGCGTTGGAGCTACTACTTGTGCTGAGGACCCGGCCGGTGGAGCTGCTGCTGGTGCTGTGGACCCGGCCGCTGGAGTCTCCTCTGCTTCTGGAGACGCTGCGCGGCCGCGACCGTACTTCGTACCGCTCCTTCAGCAGGTTCTTGGGCAAGCTCCTCCTCCTTGTCCTCCTCCCTCCGTAGAGTGTCCTCCGCCTGTCCAGCCACAGTCACAGTTACCGCCTACCTCGCCTCTCCCTGCTCCCTCTCCTTACACTGGTCCCACAAGAGGTCTTACGGAGCGTCGTGAGCCTGAGTCTCGTCCTGCGTCGCCTGTTCGTCCTGCTCGCACTGGTAGTCGTGTCCGTCGTGAGCGTCCTCCTCCTGTCCCTGGCACTCACTACATGACTCTGCGTCCCTCTACTGCTCCTCAGCGTGTCCCTCTACCGTCTCCTCCTGCGTCCTCTTTGCCTGACGTTCCGGACCCTGAGTCTGACCGGTATCGTGCTGAGCACCCTACTGTCACGCGTCTCCTTGCTACTGTTGTCACTGACCCTACCTTTGAGTCCTCGGCTGCGTCTGCTCTGGTCGCTGAGTTGGTTGACTTTGCTGCTGCCTGTCGTCTAGACTACGCTGCTAGCCTTGTTGCTGAGTCTGGGTCTGAGTCTGTCTGTCCTCCGTCCGTCGGGGGTGAGTGTGCTCTTGGCACGGACGTCCTTGAGGACAGACAGGAGGAGTTCCAGTGTCTTGCTGCTGCTTTGCCCCGTCTCGTGTCCTTGCTAGTTGCCCCTGAGGGAGACCCGGATGCACCAGACATCCCGACCCCGCGCACTTACGCTGAGGCGATGGCGGGTCCCTACTCCTCTCAGTGGCAGACAGCCATGGACGCCGAGATGGCTTCCTGGAAGTCCACACGCACCTACGTCGACGAGGTTCCCCCACCTGGGGCGAACATCGTCAGTGGCATGTGGATTTTCAGGGTGAAGCGGCCGCCGGGTTCTCCGCCTGTCTTCAAGGCGCGTTACGTGGCTCGAGGCTTCAGTCAGCGAGAGGGAGTTGACTTCTTCTAGACCTTCTCCCCCACCCCGAAGATGACTACTCTTCGGGTGCTGCTGCACATAGCCGCTCAGCGCGACTACGAGCTTCACTCACTTGACTTCAGCACTGCTTTCTTGCAGGGCAGCCTGCACGAGGAGATCTGGCTGCGCCGCCCACCTGGCTTCACTGGGTCGTTTCCTCCTGGTACCCAGTGGAGGCTTCAGCGGCCGGTCTACGGTCTCCGCCAGGCTCTGCGTGAGTGGCACGACACACTGAGGACTACACTTGCGGCTCTTGGGTTCGCGCCTTCTACAGCTGACCCGTCGCTGTTCCTGCGCACCGACACTTCACTGCCGCCTTTCTACATCCTCGTGTACGTCGACGACTTGGTCTTTGCCACTGCTGACACTGCAGGACTCGCCTACGTGAAGTCGGAGCTGCAGAGGAGACACACGTGCACAGACCTGGGTGAGCTGACAAGCTATCTTGGCTTGCGGATCACCCGGGACAGAGCACGGCGCACCATCACCCTGACTCAGTCACACATGGTGCAGCAGGTTCTCCAGCGCTTCCGCTTCACGTACTCCTCGCCTCAGTCCACTCCTCTGCCTACCGGTCACTCGCTCTCAGCTCTGCCTTTGGATGAGTCCGTAGAGCCGAGTGGCCCGTATCCAGAGCTTGTGGGCTGCCTCATGTACCTGATGACCTGCACTCGACCTGACCTTGCATACCCTCTTAGTATCCTTGCACGCTATGTCGCTCCTGGCCGTCACAGGAAGGAGCACATGGATGCTGCTAAGAGGGTGTTGCGCTACTTGTGCAGTACGTCGGGCATGGGGCTTGTGCTTGGAGGGCGAGACCGAGTTGTTCTCACAGGGCACTCAGACGCTTCTTGGGCAGACGACCAGGCCACTCAGCGGTCGTCTCAGGGTTACACCTTCAGCCTTGGCTCTGGCTCAGTTTCTTGGCGCTCTACACGCTCTTCTTCTGTTCTCGGCTCCAGTTGCGAGGCTGAGATCTACGCTACAGCCATGGCTGCCCAGGAGCTACGCTGGCTGACCTACCTGCTGACCGACCTCGGAGAGCCGCCTCGTTCTCCTCCAGTACTGTACGTCGACAACAAGGCTGCCATTGCCTTGTGTGAGGAGCACAGACTGGAGCACAGAACGAAGCACATCGCCCTGCGGTACTTCCTTGCTCGTGAGCTGCAGCAGCGTGGTCAGCTTTGTATTCGCTACGTGGCCACTGAGGCCAACACTGCTGATGTGTTCACCAAGGCGCTTCAGCCTCGTGACCATCAGCGCTTCTGCACTCTACTAGGCCTTGTGCCTACTGGACCTCACTTGCTTACCTCTTGACTTTGCTTGTACTGTGATCATTATATATATATACCTGCATGTTTACTCTTGCTAGGTTGTGATCACTGTATCTCTTGCTCTGTTATAAACCTGCATGTGAACTGGTCTTGTGACCACTAGCTTGTGCTCGGAATTTGTGTGGAATCCTCGAGATCCACCCTGAGCTTGCTTTGCCTTGCTTTGCCCTGACTGGTCGTGTGACCCCCAGGTCTCCCCACTTCGCCTATGGGGGTGTGTCAAACATTATATGTTTATATGGTTGTAGGCTGTAGTGGGTTACGCCTTAGGGGGTACACTGGATTAGGGTTTCCTATTTGTATCCAGCCTTCTGTTAGTACAGCCATTCCAGTCCGTTATTTCTGACAGACATCGCTGTATTCGAACAGACAGCGTGTGCGAATAGCGATGGCGTCACCTGCAATGCACAGTTGTCACATTCGCACATTGCGCGAATTTGTGTTCGACACCACTTGGGAGGCTGTTCGTACAGCAAAACTGATACGTCTGTTCGGATTTGGGCCTTCCGGCCCCGAGGTGAAGCGCCCTTATATTCGACCCCATTAGTATTATACCCCCCTTTTTGGGGTGATTCTCCATAACACCCCCCTTTTCATATAGATTTCTTATTATAATAGCTGATAACGAGTGCGTGCAAGTATGGGAGGACGCGAAAATCCTCTCCCTTTACTTAATTACACAGAACTTTCAAATGATATCTGCCGAGATTCCCCCCCTCCCACAATTTCGCTGTCGCCAGGCTGCCGAATCTTTCGTTGTCAAGTGGCCAGAGAGGTGCTACATGCCATCTCCAAGATGGTCAAGATATCATTTGCCAAAACTCGCGTTCCCGCCTCTGAGTGTGCTGGTTAACCAACCTCGAAAACACCGAAGCTGTCCATTTATCAAAATCCTTATGTTAAAAAATGTCATATGAATAGATCCGTGTATTATTAAAGATTTCCCGTTGACGAGACCCCCCCCCCCCCCATTTTTTCCCAGTGGTTATCATAACACCCTAGGGTGTTTTATCCGGGAGAATACGGTACCAACTTTCGAAATCCTAGGTTCGGTCCAATGACCTCCTCCGGACGTCCTTCGCATCGCTTTCGGGTTTTTCAACCCCGAACCTGCATCCGACCTTGCGCGGTCCCACGACCTCGATCTAGCTATCCATCCCTATATAAATGCTAGGCTTCATGTCTTGCTCAGTACTTGTAATCTCTTCCGCGATAATGCATTCTGTACACTATTCTTTGATACAACTCATAAAACTTGGTGGAAAGGCTAATTTCTTATATTACCCTTGCATTTTCGGGATAGTTCGGTGAAGGGGTGCGATAGACTTGATAGGTGCGGCCGGCTGTGAAATAGATACAACTCCGACTACGCTAGCGTTTGCGCCTTCATCAAAGTCATAAACTTTATTGCTAACCCCATGTCCGTTAGGCGAAACCTGAGAAATGTGTAACTCGCCGAGTTTAACGATTTTTTGCAACAGTTCCGGCCGTCGCAGGCCAACTTGCAGATGATCCATATGGAGGAAGAACGTCTGAGGGAGGAAAACGACGAACTACGCCAAGCGCGGAGTGAAACGGAACAGGAGTCGCCTGCGATGGAGAAAACAAGTAATAGCTCCACACCGAACGAGGTGTGGAAGCCGCACTATGTGAAAAAACATTCAGAGGTGGGCGATAGCAATGCATTTTTTTTTTTTTTGGAAGCCGCACTAAGCGAAAAAATCTCACAAGTGGGCGATAGCATGCATGCATGGACCTGTCAGGGAATTTGTACAGATGAGAGGACGTCAAAATAAAATAAACGTCCTTCAGATCCCCCCCCCCCCCCCCCCCCCCCCCCCCCCCCCTCCTTCCTCCGGGATTTGTTGGACTATTCCATCACTTCTCCACATTCCTACATCAAACACTCTCGTCCAATTCTCTAGCTTCCGCACTTGCGACATTGGCGGTGGCTGTGCATGGATCACAACGCCACCACACACTCTGAGCATAAGCAAAGGGCCACAAGGCCAGTTCACATGCAGGTGTATATATGCAACAACAACAATACAGTGATCACTACCTAGCAAGAGCAAGCATGCAAGTATATACATATAGATCACAGTACAAGCAAAGTCACGAAGTGAGCAAGTGAGACGAAACAGGCACAAGGCCTAACATAGTACAGAAGCGCTGATGATCACCAGATGGAAGTGCCTTGGTGAATATATCAGCAGTGTTGGCCCGGGTGGCCACGTAAGCAACACGAAGCTGACCACGCTGCTGCAACTTTCGAGCAAGGAAGTAACGCAGAGCGATGTGCTTCGTTCTGTGCTCCAGTCCATGTCAAACATTATATATGTTGTAGTTCTGTAGGCTACAGTGGGTTTAGCCTTAGGGGGTACAATATTCTAGGGTTTCCTACTTGTACTCTCAATCTTCCTAGTCCAACCATTCCTCTCTTCTTCACATGGTATAGAGCGGGTTCCCTAGTGGGACCGTTACTTCCTTGGGCCCACCTTTGGAGATTTTTTTTTAGCCTGCCTGAAGCGCGCTTTGCGCCCTGCCCTAAAATTTCGCGGCCCCTTAGAGGCCTGCCCCTTAACGGCCCCTTCGCGGCCCCTCTTAAGGCCCTTCGCGACCCCCATCGCGGCCCTTCGCGACCCCTTCGCAGCCCTTCGCGGCCCCTTCGCGGCCCTTCGCGGCCCTCTCCCGGCCCTTCGCGGCCCCTTCGCGGCCCTTTCGCGGCCCTCTCACGACCCTTCGCGGCCCTTCGCGGCCCCATTGCGGCCCCTTAGCGGCCCCTCCGCGGCCCCTCCGCGGCTCTTCGCGGCCCCTTCGCGGCCTCTCCGCGGCTCTTCGCGGCCCCTCCGCGGCTCTTCACGGCCTGCCGTAGCCGCTCTGCCGCCCCGTTGTCGCCGCCCCAGCAGCAGCTGCCGTCGCCCCTGCTGCCGCTGCCGCTTCCGCCACGGCCGTTCGCCGCCGCCGCTGCTGCCGTGACAGCCGCCGCCGCCGCCGCTGCTGCCGTGACAGCCGCAGCCGCCCCTGCCGTGACAGCTGCCGCCACTGCTGCTGAGACAACCGCCGTCGCCGCTGCCGTGACAGCCGCCGCCGCCGTTTGTCGCGGCCGCCGCAGTTCGTCGCAGCCGCCGCAGCCGTCCCAGCCCTGCCCTGCAGCCGAGCCGCGGCCCTGCCCTGCCGCCCTGTCACGACCCTCATCCTGCTGGCGTACCTCGGCCTTGCCCCACCACTCGCGGGCTTCTACCCACCAGCCCCTGGTAAGCGCACCGCCGAGCCGCGCCCCTACTCCTTCTGCTACTGCTAGCCTGCTTCTGCTGCTGCTGCTAGCCTGCTCCTACTGCTGCCATGGCTAGTCCTACTGTTCTTTCCTTCGATGCTGAGGGTCGTGCAATAGACTTTGAGGTCTGGCTTGATGATCTGCAGCTTTTCCTGCAGTGTGATAGCAAAGACGATGTCTCGCTGTTCGACCTCACGTCTGGTGCCTCACCTGCCCCTGCTGCCGATGCTGACAGTACTGTTCGCTCACAGTGGACCACACGCGATGCTGCTGCCCGTCTTGCTGTGCGTAGTCACCTGCCGTCTGCTGAGCGTGCGCACTTTACATAGTATAAGACTGCTAAGACCCTGTACGACGCTGTCGTTGCGCGCTACTCCTCCCCTGCCTCTGCTGCTCTTACTCGCCTCTACCCTACCTTTTCCCTGATCTCGCCGCCTTTACTGCAGTCGCTGACCTCATTACGCACCTCCGCACTAGTGACACCCGCTACCGCGCTGCGCTTCCTGCTGAGTTCTGCGCCAAGAACCCCCCCCCCATGTACATCACCCTCTACTACCTAGTCACCCGGCTCCCTGACTCCCTTCGCTCGGTCAGGGATCATTTCCTCGCTCTCTGCCCCACCACACTCACCGTTGACCTCCTCGAGAAGGAGCTCCTTGCAGCTGAGAAGAGCATAGTCGCTGTAGGTGCCTCTCGTGGTGACCCTCGTACCCCTTTCTTTGAGGGGTGCTCCCCCGTTCCCCTTTTGCCCTCTGTTGCCTCTGCTGCTGCTGTCGACCTCCTTGGCACTGAGTCGGTCGGCGCTGCGTCTGCCCCTAGCGGGAGGCGCCGCAACAGCAAGGGCAAGGGGGGCAAGGGTGCTGGAGGAGCTGGCGGGGGTGGTGGTGGTGGCGGCGGAGGCGGCGGGGGGGGGTGGGGGTGGAGGTGGGAGTGGTGGCGGAGGTGGGGGCTCTGGTGGCAGCGGTGGAGGCGGAGGCAGCGGCGGCGGCGGCGGTGGGAGTGGAGGAGGTGGCGGTGGCGGCGGTGGCAGCGGTGGCGGCAGTGGCGGCGCTGGCGGTGGCGCTGATCGGGGTGGCTCCGTGCAGCGGGGAGGCTTCGGTGGTGGCCAGCGTCAGCAGCAGCAGCGCTCTCGTGAGGCCCCGCCACCCCAGCAGCTTCACCAGTGGTACGCTGCGCGTCAGCGGTCTGGGGGTGCTGGTCCCTGTGCCTACGTCCTGCGTACTGGTGACCGCACTGGGGAGCCGTGTGGCGGCCCGCACACCACCCAGCGCTGCTTCGGCCGCCTGACAGACGCCTGGCGTATCCGGTTCCCTGACGCCACTGAGCTCCCTCGCTGGCATGATCTGCTTAGGTCGGGGGTTCCTATCTTTGATCTTGACTATGATGCTATCATTGCTGCCATGTATGTTATGTCTACTAGTGATGAGGGTGACTGTTACCTGAGTGTTCCGCCCGACCCGGGCGGTGCAGCTGCTGCTCTAGGTGCCAGTGAGTCTGCTGCTCCAGGTGCTAGTGAGTCTGCTGCTCCAGGTGCTGGTGAGTCTGCTCTCTCAGGTACCACGTCTGCTCAGGCGTTGCACACTTTCACCCTTGACTCGGGTGCTTCCCGCTCCTTCTTTCGAGACCGCACCACTCTCACGCCGCTCAGTCGGCCGGTTGCGGTCTCCCTGGCAGACCCCTCTGGGGGTCCTGTTCTTGCCCACTAC